TTTGTTTTTTGAGAAATCCATGAGGTATTGAATTTCTTTTTAAATATTGCAATGTTAAATAATTCACAATGTGTTTGTGAAAAATGCATTTTGTTGAACAATTAATTTCTGCCATGAGATTTTGTATGAAATTATCTGCATGTTATTCTTTGTTTGATTATAGGAAATTGTTTATTAATCATTTCTTTGTCTTGTTCAAGTCAGATAAATCCAAGTTCATTCTCATAAAGTTTTTGTTTGATATTTACAACCCAATTATCAGAGTGTCTGCCGGAATATTAACATTTATTGAACAACTATTTGTAACACATTTTCAAGATACAATTGTCAGTTTTTAACAGCTTGAACCAAACTTTAAAATTACGAAAACTGCGAACAATTTTCATTGTGGCATTGATTCTCTTCTACTGTTGGCAAAGATTCTCTTCTACTATTGGCATTAATTCTTTTCTATATTTGGCATGGATTATCTTTTTACTATAGGCATAAAGTCTCTTCTACTTTTGGCGTAGATTCCCTTCTACTATTAGCAAACCTCTCATCTCCTCTTTCATTCCATGTATCAGTAGCATATTTCCCTGAAAATCACTAGTTTGATCTGGGTATAAATCAGTTGACCTTGTTCTTCCTTGTTGTTTGTCAACAGACATTCAGTAGCAAACAGTTATTGTTCTTTAGAGGTGATCTGAAGAATAATCGTCTAGAACTGAATCATTTGACAGCTCTTGTCTTCATGAGCCTCTCGATAATTTCAATACATTTTGTGCAAAGCATTTGAATTCGTTAATTTTTGGCCGCATCATTTATTCTTTCCTTAAAGGGGCATGGACACAGTTTCAACTGAATGTTTGAAAACAATTTTAATGTTTAGGATTCCTATCGAAGGCATCATCTATTGATTAGTAAAAATTTGAGCATCATTTGTTGATTAACAAACAAGATACAGAGCTTAAAGTTCTTTGCGGTAAAGGTTTTGTTAAGACATAAGAAATTCCTCAAACACAGACAAGGTATAAAAGTTTGAATGGTCATGTTGTTTAAAACCAATTCCTTCTTGTAATTTATACTTTATAACGGCTTAAATGCTTCAGACTCGATACCTAGCTACTAGTATGCAAGTACGTAAGGCTTTATTTCCCAATACAAACTGGTCGACCTTGATAAAGTCACTTCCATTTATGACAATATTTGATAAAACATAAATCAGCTTAGACGTTGTGCATATATAATTTACATGTTTGGGTGGTAGTCAAACGCAAGTTTTTGAAAATTATTCTTTATAAAAAAAAACAATATCTACTATTAATAGTAACCAATCACATTATTTATTCATTAGTATAATTAACTCAATAGAGAGTCAATAGGATTTGGGGACTACAGTGCGTCATCTAAGAAATAAGCTAGTTTAATAAAATTAATTGCCATAACGATATATGTACAGGTAAGCATCTATGTTATAGTTAAGATTCGTGAAGAATTGGATCAGTAGACCCCTCGCCACAAACGAAACATCATGCTGCTGACAGGTTTGCTCATGGCTGTTGCCACTGGCCTTTCATTCGGCGCACCAGCTGAATCGGAAGAACCGGTCAACTGTTTTCCGAAAAGGTGGTTGTCCATGGAAGAGATTCTATACCTGTCTGATGTTGTAGTTTGGGGAAAGGACACCGTTCACGCCAAACTGCGGCATCCAAACGCTCTGGACAGTCGGTTTGAAGTTTATTGTGTTCTGAAAGGTGAGAACTACCAAATACCCCGAGAACTCATAATTGAAGACATCGATACCAAACATCCCTGTTCAGCAGTGACTTTCCAAACTGAGGTGGGCCAAGAATATATCATTGGTCTTACTCTCATGACCAGTGGATTTATGACGTACGCCAATATCAATAAAATGCAAAAGTCTGCTTTCGCGCCATCTCCCGCCAATTTTGATCGTCTGATGAAGAGCTGCGAGTTAGCCAACTGGAGACCTCCGGAAAAAACACTAGAAGATATCTGTCCAGTCGTACCAGCCAATTTGACGTGCGATAGCATGACCACGACGCCGCCGCCTCCTTCGAATGATAGGTCTTCTTTCTTCGATATGTTGTTCGGGTTGTCTGATTCAAATGGAGGGAACGAAGCAGTACCAGTGTCGATTGCCATGATAGGAGCAGGCATTTCTGTGTTCTATGTCATCGAAATTGCGTTAAATTACTATTGAGCATTATTCTAAGGCAAAACAAAATTTGAATTTAGACATTTATGGAGAATATACTTGATAAGCAGTGTTTCAGGAACTGACTAAAAAGGTACAATTTTTCGCCAAAATATAAGCATACTAGTAAATCACCCGTTTTATGTATAACACATCGTACAAAATCAGAAAAACGTTTTCAAAGACATGAATTGTGAGCTTAGAAAAAAGCTGTTGGACCACGAAGGTGAAGTGCTTTAACGATTTGTGTGAACGTTTACATGTATATATTAGTTATATTCAATGTTGGATTTTAGAAGACAAACTTTAACAAAAAACGACAGATATTCTTGGGAAACAAACTGAAGCGCTCAAATTAATCTATGATTTTAATTTTCACGTGTTAATTTTGTTGAGATTTTTTTTAAAGATTTCAATACAGAATTTGCCAAGTAAACCAAGTTGACTTTGTTCTCTTTAGTTATTTGTAATATTTTACTAAATTATGATCGTTCTAAGAAGTTTGCTGTGAGAGATCAGTTTCAAACATTGTATATTCAGTTATACGTTCAGTTATATGATTAGGTAGGTTGCATAAATTATTTATGCAAGGCGTCATGAATTGTCTTGAGAAACACAATGATGGTGTTGACGAGTTTCTATAGCATGTATATATAGTGGATATAGTAATTTTTCTTCTTCTTTATTTTAGTTTGCGATTATCTACAATGACCCCTGATTACCTACAATGATCTCCGGTTATGTACCCATAACATTCATACAAAACATTACGGTTTTTTCAGATAGGATAAACTATTCTATGAAAATCTTAACAAAGAGGAATAACTTCTGAAGATAGATGTTAAGGGTGCTTTTCTAGAAGATAGTTGTTGATTATTTTGTGTACATGTGGCTTCTAATAGAACTACACTAGACAAAATTGCAAACGCACCACCTATGAGAATTAATTTTTTTACTTTTAAAAACCTGTTTATGGTCTATTTGATACATAAATATCTTACTTTAATTAAAAAAAAAAAGGGGGGGGCATATTTAAGGCAAACCTTATAAATTACTACAATGTTTACTGAAGTGTGACCAATTTCATAGAAAAAGTTAAATATTCGAAAAACAATTCAATGTTTTCTTTGTATTTGTGTTTTTTACATAAGTTCTAATTAAAAATTCAGAAAAAAAGTTACACCGCATTCGGCTTTGACGCTTGAAGAGCGTGCTAAAGCAGACGTAATGGCGTCTACAGGGGGTTTCTTAGAGAAATATGTAAAAAATGAAAATAATAAAAAGCTTATGAATTCCATTCATGAAAAATTGTTGTAAATAGATTAACAAATATAAAAATGTTTGCTATAGATAGCCACGACATTAAGTTAGCAGCATACAATAAGTTGAAAATTGTTCCACAAAACTAGGTCAACCGGAAATTGCATGAGTGGATTTGGTATGGAAATTAAAGCATCGGATGATTACTACGCGATGTGAGAGTCAATGACTGATTTATAACTGGGGGGGGGGGGGGGGGGACAACACCTTTGGCAACCTCACAGACCACCTTTAATGATGAAGAATTTCATATGTTGGCAAAAAATGGTGCGCAGTGCACAGAGGGAAATTGGTTTTCGGACCGAAAGGTCATTCAAGAGTCTTTTCATATTTGTCAATCCCACTGTTTTAGAAATAATGGCAGATTATATACACTAGTACTGATCCGGCAAAAGTTCAATTCACAAATAAGAATTAACAAATGATGCGTCGGCAATTTTGTCTTGTGTATTCATATAACGTTTGTAAGTTTTCCAAAAAGAAATGTCATCTATTGTAGGATTGAAATAAATTTAACAGAGAGAAGCAAAAAGAACCTAGATGTTTCAGTATAATGAAACCTTAATTAATTTTTAAATTGATGTAAAGGGACCTTTTGTTGGCCCGCTAGCATACTGTATAACTTTAATTGGGGGAGGGCAAAAGTGGGAAATGTTTTCATACCTTTGGTTCAAAGTTCAAATGTCCAATGTCTTTTTTTTTCCAGAAAATTGTCATAAATAAGGAGTTAACGTTTATCCTCTGTCATCCTTTATCCCTTGTAGGTTTATCCACTCTACAGATTCAGACATTTAACTACATGATCGGATCATATAAAATGTAATACACTTGTAGTAGAGGAGTTCAATTTATTTCCTGTACAAGTTTCTATGGACAATAATATGCGACTTTACATCATTAGTTAACTGTTTTATAGCATAGTACATGTGTATAACACTAAAAAAATCCTCTAAAATGATAAATTTAAAAAAAATTCAACTTATTCATGTTATCATGCCAATTGTTATCGAGAAATGACTTATGTAATGGGAATTTTCAAATTTTCTTTAACTGAAACGATAACACTTAAAAAACATTAAGTATATCTATGAAATTGACAGCAATAAACAGGGTCTCAAATCAAGTCACGTTCACAGATTTTAAAATTCTTATATTAAAAATAAATGGACACAAAAAATATTCTCTGAAAATAATCGACTTCTATACATACAATTACCATAAATATCGCTAAATATTTTTATAATGCTTCTTGACACATTTTTGCTTACACACCTATACAGCGTCTGTTGTCCTCGTGTGTTTTCCCGCCAAATGTCTAGCAGTGGTTAACTTAAGAAATATCACTCGATCTTGGCTTCATTTGCATTAATGACACACTGACCACATCACGACCTGGTTTTCTAAGGCCTATCGTTGGCTGAAGGTCCTTAAGTGCTCTTCATCGGATGAGCGAAACTCTGGAATGCTTGTGGGATTTTGCGTGATATTTCGCGCGGAACGAGGCTTTTGGAAGGTCTCTAGATTTTACTGCATTGTAGACGGTTCTGACCTATTTACGCATGGTTTATGTGGGTCGAATTCTACAGCTGACTTTAAAAAAACGTTTCATTCATAGATTTTTACAATGGTTTGATCATCGTGGGTGATTTCATGTGCGTGGTAGCAAGTAAATGAAATATTGACGTTCTAAGGTGAAATCACGTGAGGTATTCTTTCTGGCATTTCTTTGAAGAATGGAAGGGGGAGAAAATAGCAAGGAGGATACAGCTTCAGAAGAGCCCCAGAAGAGGGGCCGGGGAAGACCCCGAAAGGAAAAGACAGAAGAGGTAAGGTTCTCTTTGTTATATACGTGCCTGATCCCCATGGATATCAATGGCTTTGAACGTGCTAATGCTCTGTGTAACAAAGGCACGAAGAGATAGAAGATAATAACATTACCATTGAACCCCGGTTATCTGTTTTGCTGGGTGGTCACATTGCCATGCAGTTTTTGTTGTCAGGGTTGTAACAATAACATTCGTTGTTACATTGTTGAGTTTCCAATTCCCATTTTGTATCTTCCATGCAATAATTGCGCTTTTGTGTAAAATTTCACAGTAGAGAAAAAAACTTGTCTTTAACATGTTCAATGGAAATTAATTAAGTGGAACTTATTATTTTACTATATAATAATTAATTTGCTTACATTTATTTTTGCAACAAAAAAGTACAATAATAATAAAGCACACCTATTTGAATGTGCATGCGTCCGGACATCGTCATGCAAAGAACAAAGCAACGCAGCACTGAGAACACTAGCTGCAGTGCTGCAGCGTGGTCCTTTGTTCAGAGAGAATGAGATTATGTCTTTGTGTTTGCAGCCTGAAGACGCGGAACCCAAGCCCAAACGTCCAAGAGGGCGACCAAAAGGCAGCTTTAAAAAACCGAAATCTACGGTACGAAAGTAAAAGTTATTAAAAGAGGTTTTAAAAAATTTCCCCACGCATTTTGAAAAAATTGGAATTTCTAGGTATTTGACCTACTGAACAAGCACTCAGAGATAAACATCCGTTGTTATCTGGGTCAGATTAACGGGGGCAAGTCTTTGTACTGCAAAACTTGTCAACACAGAAAGTTATGTTGTGAATTTTATCATAGAGAGAGAGGGTGCATTTTTCTTAAAGAATAGGAAAAAATTCCTTTTTAAAAAAAAAATGAATTATATAAAGAAATGAAAGAAGCATTTATGAAAATCTTACATTTTAAATTTCTAATCGCCGAAACTTTTATCCATAACAAAAAATGCACTTAAATTCTTCAGGGCAATTATGTATTCAAACGTCAAAACTTTTTAAAAATAATTTTAGATACCCTACTTTAGCATTACTATGCCTGAAAACGTTCTTAGGTGTAAAAATATAATGTCTAAATTCTTTTTTTAAGAAAATACACAAATTGAAAAGAAATAGCTATTGTTATTCACAGAAAAAAATATTTTAATGCATACTCAGTATTTCATTTTAATTTTCTTCATGTTAGGAGGAAAAACCCAAAGGGACCCGGGGAAGACCTCGAAAGGTACGTATGCTTTACGTATAAATCCATTGTAAGATGGCAAAAAATTACACTGGCGTGTGTATAATTGATAGGTTCGCACTTGTTTCAGAAGAGGGTACACTGTATTGGAAAGGGAACATATTAAATTGATTTTTTAATTTAATACTTAGGTACCCGTATTTATCTGCCGTTTACTTTCAATTTTCCTTCTGTTGCAGACTCCTCCTTCATCACCAACAAAGGAGGAAAAGAAATCAAAATGAGATCGGAGTTTAGGGACAACAGGACCTAAAATAATGTACAGCATTGATATGTGTCCAAACTTCTATGTGCTGCCGTAACTGTTTTAATGTGTTCAAAGACTGGATCTGTATTTTAGTCAATGTAGTTCAGTTTATTTTTTTTTAATGGAAGATGCCCGTTCCTTAACTGCCTCAAGCATTTACTTCATGTATCCATGTATTATCTGTTCATGTTTCATTTTCACTGCATATTCCACTTGTCTCCATATATTGGCATTTTTCTCTCATTTCATCATTTTAATAAATATATACATTCTTTTTGCAAAACTGTTTCATGGCGTTTTAAACAATTGGGTTTATTAGAAGTGATGTTTGACCGAGGTTATGTCAGATTGGGAATTAGTTAAATTCTGTTAGATCATCATCATGCATAATTATCATCTGGAAAACAATAGGTTTTCTTCTCTTGGGAATGGCAAATGAGTGTGCAATAGGAAGTTATCATGGGTTTCCACACACTGACGTCAGAAACCCACGGCACAGAGTGCATGGATGCATGCAATTTGAAAGATCCGCCTATGATTAGAACTAAGAATAAACACGTTAAAAAACACTGCTTAATAAATTGGTTTTGTATATTGTACACCTTTTAATTTACAAGTTTGGGAAAAATGCAAATTCAGATTATTTAAGTTTGAAAACGTTACCTTTGAAAAAAAATTAACCTTTTCTCGTTCAAAGATGAAACTGTTATGTTGATTCTTTACTATTCGATGGAACAACTGCGCAAAAATGTGATATACGAGCTACTATATCTTAGTCTTGTCATTCTGAACTACTATAGTATGTAATGACGTATATATACTAGTATAATGGTACATATGTACGTATTTACTTTAAAAAAGGGTGAAATTTACCTTTTATTATAATACCACTTACTATTAAATTCAAACTGAACAATACATTAGTAAGTATTTCACATTACTAGTCTACTTAGTACTAATTCATTCATCTATGTGGTGACAATTAAAATTTCACTTCTATAAATATGATCAAGTATTACGATCTGCATTTCGAATCCATCAATAATCTGTATTACAATGCAAATAAATTTACTGTAAAATCACATATTTTCGTGGGGTAAAATTTTCACGGTTTGAGTAAAACTCTTCGTGGGGATTTGGAATTCGAGGATGAAGAATTGTAGAGTACTATGTATCATTTTACATACATGTATCGTGGTGGACATAAATTCGTGGGTCTCTTCATACCTCGAAAACAACGAAAATTAAACCCACGAAAATATGTGATTTCACAGTAGTTCTATACTAAAACAGCAGTGCATATTTAACGTTTTCTGGGGTGGGGGTCTTATGTTTTCGTTTTCTTTTCTTTCTTTTTTTTGGGGGGGGGGTCTTTAAATCTAGTATTTCTTTTGACTGACGAGCAAAGTGCTTTATAACCTGCAAACTAAACAATAATAGTGCGTTCGAAATTCACGCAACTTCAACACAATAATTGAACCCACCCCTTTCATCCTTGACACTAAGATTGATATTCTCTGTGTCAATAACCACTTGTTGTGCAGATAAATGCAAAGAATTGTGTGTTTTGTAATTAAAACTATATACATAACGTACAGTTAGTATTTCCAGGTTATCGAATAATAGTACACTCTTTTGCAACTAAAAATCCTGGATCCGCCTCTAAGACTCGATGTTTCTGACTTTCTCTGATGCAGGTCCGTTATATTAATAAAAATCCGACATGGATGGTAACTCCAGCACCATCAAGAAAGCTAGAAAAAAAATCAGTTACCAGGCAGACCTTAGTATAATGTCTGTATATTAGTTGAAATTCACTGCATATTTTTATCATTACTAGTCAGATAATGCCAGTAAGGCGTTTGATGTTTTTGTTTCGCTTCAGATAACAACATGACAGTGACGGTTGAAAGACCTTATTACATGTGAATTTTTGTACAATCCCTTTCGCCTCTTCAAAATTCATTTTTGACCATTTTTGTGTCGTTAAGTACTCTCTAGGCAATTCTGTGCTAACTACTTTCACATAAAGTAAAAAAAAAAAACCGTAAGATTTCTAAAGTATATTATCTTTTCCATTGGTGTACCAATAAATACACTGGTAGGGGTCTTAATTTCTTTCGGATATTTTATTGTCGAAAATTAAATTACTATATAGTAATTTTAAAATATCGATTCCGTCAAAGTATAATTACGACAACAATTTACCTAGTATGTAAACTAAAAACTGAAGAAAAAATGGGTATTATGTGTAAACTTTCATTCTTTTTCGTGGACTTTTATCATATATATATCATATATCCCGTTATCGAAGATTCGGGGGTATACTGTACGCGTGGAATTAATTATTTTTATGGTGCAAAAAACAATGTAAAATTCTTTGATGAACCGTCCATTCGCGAATTATTATTCTCGCGATTTGACGTTGAAGAACCCTTACGCGATAAAAAGTACTCGCGAAAAATAAGGAATCTACTGTATTGTTTTTTACCCTGTCTAGCTGTCTGTACCGGCCATCTAGTTTTCTGTCTGTCTGCAAAAGAATTTAACCTTAACTTTTCACAGGTTGGAGCTATGACTTTAATAGTAATTTTCACATGTGTATTCCTTGTGACAATACATTTCTTTGAGTACACAAATATAACTCTTATATGACCTGTTGACCTTCACCTAAGAGTTTGACCCACTTTTGCAAATTAAAAATCATCCAACTTTTACCTTGGCCATTACTTTTGTACTGTTGGTGCTACGGCTAATAATCAATTAATATTTCACATGTTTATTCATTGTAACAAGATCTTTCCTTGAGTACATTATATATTATTTCATCTTCAATTCTTTTTACCGGTATAGTTTTACCAACTTTTTTAATGAACTTTGGCCATAACTTTTGAACAATTAGTAATAGGGTTTTCATATTTCTCGTAACAATTAAGATAAGTGGACATATAAAAAAAATTGACAAGATAATCCATTGTACATGTAACTTTTTAGTAATCATGGAGTAGAATTTTAAACTATAAATCTCGTGTCTCGTGTACACGTTTTCTATAGAACACACGCCAAATATATACCAATCATCTTTTGAGATGAATGAAGAAATTACGAATGCTTATCCTAAAACAGAGTGGTGAAAGGGGAAAAATTCACCGTAGAGAAACACTGACAAGAGATATAAGGGCAGAGAGCAAACTTCTTTAGCCAGAAATTGGAAACTCTTTCATTTATAATGTAATTCAAAAATTCTTAAAATGAAATTTAAAATTGAAATTTTCCATGCATCAATTTTCATTTTATGCATCACAATTAATGAAGTCATAAGAATCGGTCTTATAAAAATTTGATATTTGTACTCCATAAAAGTATATTTCATATTTTACATATTTTAAGATATCCAATTTCAATGGGTAATCTAGCCTATTAGCCTTCGATGCTAAAATATTTTTTACCTTTCCTATCTGCTAGGCCTTCCATATTTTACATATGCATTTCGTGTGAAAAGACCTCTTCTTTCGTTATTTTTATTCCCGTGACATTGACCTTGGAGTATATGAACTACTTTTTGCGTAAAAACTTAAACCTTCTTCATGTTTCCTGAATGGCTGAATGGTTAGTACATTGGCTTCAATATGTTTCACCTGTGTGATTCTTTGGCAAGACCATTTTTGAGTACCAACATTTTTATCTCACACCTGAGCTGAAAACTGAAATAGCTTTTCTGATCGCCATTTTCAACTTCTTTTCAAGAACCACTAGGTCAAATTTTATTAAAATTGGTATTAGCATCCTTTCCTTAGGGGAAGTTCAGATCAGTTTAAATTGCTAACATAAAACCCACGTCTCATAAAAAGGGGTGAATGTCAAAAAAGGGTAAAAAATAGGGTGGGCTTTTTATGATTTGGCTAACATTGTCAGATTGGATTTTTCAAAAGTCTGGTAAAAGAATTGATTTTTTATTTTTGATATTTTTGAAAAAGATCACATACTAAGTAGCTATTAACTTGATTATTCTGTTAGTGAAGAAATACTTATTTCAGCAATCCAGAAACAAATCTTGTGTTGTTTTCAAAGATATTTTGAGAGTTTTATATAATTACTATACTTTAGAAGAAAAACTATCAGAAAATACTTTTTATTAAAAAAGATGGTCAAATTGGAAATGTCTATTTAATATGTCTAATTTTTGAAATGTTCTTGCATAATTATTTTTACAGTAAATAAACTTATGGTCTTCTTTTCCAACATGTATATGAAAGGATGAGTGAAAGGATCTGTATATTTGTGTATTTGTTCTGAAAAAATTAAAAAAAAAAATAAATTAAAAAAATAGGATGGGGTCATTATATAAAATCTTCTCGGGAAGCACTGGGCCAGAAAAGCTGAAAATATGAAAGTTTCTGAGGTAAGTGTAAAGTTTAAATTGTTTATATTGAACCCCCGGGAATAGGATGGGGTCATATTAGGGGATCAGAGTGTTATTGAAATATAATGTAAAAATATCTAAAAATCTTCCTTAGAACAAATGGATCAGAAAAACTGAAACTTATATGAAAGCTTCTGGAGTTATAGTGTAGCTTCTCAAATGTTCAAATCGTGCCCCATGGGGTTTGGTGGGGCCACAATATGAAAACAAAGTTTTATATTCCTGACGTAGTTTAAAATCTAAATTGTTTAATCATGGCCTCTTAGGTCGTGTGGGGTGAAAATCTGGTACAGAACAACAGGGCCACAGTTAGGTTTGCGTTTTGGTCCATGTGTGTCTCTCTTTTTTAATCTTTTTCAATCACATACATCTTCTGACAAATGACGTTTTTATATACCAAAAAAAAAAAAAAAAAAAAAGAGAGAGAAGAAGAAGAAAAAACCCCCAAAACATTCCATGTGTCTCTTGCTTTAACTCTTGACATTGACCTAATAGTTTTACCTGATTTGAAAAAAAAACTTCAAGCTTGGTCTTGATTTGGTCCTTAACTGCAATAAGGGGGGTTGTAGTTTTAAAAAAAAACAATCTCGTCATGTATCTTGTTTCCTAAACTCTAGGTCCAATATTTACAGGAAATTGCATTTATTTCCCCTATTTGATTTAACATATCATGGTTCTAAGAAAATGAAAACAGTCAAATCTCCATTGTTGCCTTACCTTTGATACGTGTAGGTGGGTCAAAGTTATATCTATAATATATGGGGTGTTTGTATGAAGTGGCCCCTGCAGCTGTCTTTGAGTAGAATTAAGTTTTTCTTTTATATGCATGTACACCAGTTTAGCTATATTATGTATATATATAAAATGATAATTTTTTAAACTTTGAAATGCATCGAGGTTCATGTGCAATCCTTGTCCAAGGTCCTTGTTTTGAAGAAATTTGGATTCTACATCTATTATAAGGAAGCCTCGTCTGGGCTGTCTGGACTGGATGAACCTTAATCCCCCCCCCCCCCCCCCACCACAACCACCACCATTTGCAAAATTTAACACAATCTAGTGAGTTGCTTTTTTAAAAAACTTTATCGGTACCTTTATGTTAGAAGTAAAAAGATAAAGCTTCTGTGCGTAAAAAAGGTCTCATATATTTTCAGTGAAAAATATCCCGTGAGCATTGTGGTCCTTGGGCCTATTATACGGTAATCACAATGAAGATCTTGGATCCACCCATTCACATATTATTGGTTTTATTTTGAATAGAGATCAGAATAAGAAAGATAATCATATTTGTACTTGCCATAACAAACACAGTACAATATTGTGAAAGTATCTTGAAAATAAATTGCAGATTTTGAGGATTATATTTTACGACAACTCTGGGGTTGATGGCATTTGGCGCATGCGCAGTTCATTGTATACTTCGTAATGTTTTGAATGTAGGGCGGAAGATTAAGTGATTTTTATCCCCTTTTCTGTTATTTTTGGTATTTCTCACTGGTGTTTGTGATTATTTGATAAGTACTTTGTTTTTCCTTGTTGCTTGTTACGCCGTTTTTGGTAAGAAATATGTGATATTTAAATGCAAAACTTTGGAACTATGTACCCCCTATGCAGTTTTCATGGAGAAAATCCGAATGCTAGCTGTCAAAGGTATTTCATCTTGTTATGATGGTTCGGTGCTTAGTGGACGACCGTGCATGCTGAAAAAATGTCTTATCCTAATTCCAACGCCTATACAAATAAGCCACCCCCTTTAGCAATACCGCCGAAAATACGGAGGGAGCAGAGACATTGGTCTCAAAGTATCAATGAGACAGTCGTGTCCACAGGGACGGGGCAGGAGGATGGGTTAGGAATCACGCTGTCCGGTGGGGCGGACAATGGACAGTTCGTGTGGATAGAGGCCATCAAATCCGACCAGCTTACATATCATAGCGGAAAACTTTACACTGATGATCTGATATTAGAAATACAAGGACAGAAAATTGCTGGATATACTTTGAGAGATGCTAATATTTGGTTAAAACAGGTCAGCCAGAATGGGGCACCTGTAATGATAAAAAGTATAAAAATAGGTAAGACTCTGCAAAGTGGTGTATTTAGTCAAAAATATGACATTTTCCAAGGTTTCTTCTCTGTGATTTTGATATTTAACATGCTAGGAAAATGTCAGAATGCTTTATACGAAATCTGGGAATTTTTTGTTGCCTCCAACCAGAGATGGTATTCTCAGATTGATTTTCGATACTTGCAAACTGATTTAAATGTCAAACTCTCAACTTATCAAGAGTACAATACTTCTAGTACTCATCAACATATTTTGTATGGTTCATTTGTAATACATAATACAATATGAAGAAAATATTTCATCAGACTGTCAAGATTTGTTTTCATTTCATGCATTTTTAAATCTTGCAAGTCCTGTATCATGTGTATCGAAATATGAACTGATGTTTTATTTTCATCAATTTTGGTAAGTACTAGAAGCATTGCGCTATAGAGAAATTGTGATCTTGGCATTTAATTTTTGAAAGTATCGAAAATCTAGTCAGTGGAAAATGCCAAAATTTCCAGTTTTCACCATTGCTGGTTCTGATTTTTTTCCAGGCGCATAAAAGTTAATGATAAAATGTCGAAATAAAAAAAGGAAAACGTCTGATATTTCAGAAAGGTCATATAGCCTGGTATTTTGTTTGCAAATAAGCAGAGATATGTGTTTAGTTGATGCCATATTGTCTTTTATAAGCCATTGATAAGTAATCTAATGTTACAGCTGCTACATGTAGTATTCTTTTAGAGAATTCCAAATGTAAAATGATTTCTAAATTCGAAGAAAAAACAGAGTCCATATATATGATTCCTATAAAATGCAACTATAAGTAACTCGGTGACATTCTATTACTGTGGTGAGGGTCTGTTGCGAGATTCAGATATAATCTGATTAATGTGTTCCTAGTGATTGTTGATTAAGGAATACTAAATGCCTATGTCTTTTTAATACCGGTAATCATCAAATATAAATAGTGATTAATTACTGGTATACTATTTTGCTTTGCTTTAGCCTTCAACGTTTTAGACTTTAGAAAGTTTGACAAAATATGCCTGAACAAAAAGTGCAATATGATTTTATCTTTCAGGTTTACTGCCAAAAGATCTTCGTCAGTTTTTGACTTCAAGATTTCCAAAGGGTTCTGTTGATCATGAACTACAGCAGACAATTCGTGATAATTTGTATCTTAGAACGGTTCCTTGTAAGTACAATAAAAGCTTTTCTAATGAAAATTTATGATTGTTAAGAAACTTGATCATAGTGTATGTACAAATCAGTACTAGTATAAGGCAGCAATGTGAAATTGTAGAAAAACACAATGTTTAGTTAAGCATTCTGTGATAATTGTAGTTCTGATCTTTTGCAATTTTTTAGTTTGCAAATCATTAATGATTTGATAACCCCTGTTATGTCATATTTTACACTCAAACTATTACTATAGTGCATAAACAAACTGATTTAGCAGTAGCTGAACATAACATGATAGGAACTGTAATATAAACTCTGATTGCTTCAATCAGGTACAACTAGACAACCAAGGCCAGGGGAGGTTAATGGAGTGGACTATACATTTCTGTCTATGGAGGAGTTTAATCAGCTAGAGAAGAGTGGCTGCTTGCTGGAGAGTGGATTGTATGATGGTAAGATAAGTGTACAGGTCTGGATAAAAAAAACTCTTTGACACCTCTGTGTGTTCCGAAATGAGTAAGCTACAATTTTATGGAGGAAAAGTTTGCTCGCTGTTCTCTTTACAATGTGTTCAGGTTGTATTTGTAAATTATATAAAACACTTTCCCCCATAATTTAGTGTTTTAGCTGAAAGAATTACAATTTTTGATATAAACAAGTATGTGCTCACTGTCATGATCATGATTATTAAGCAATCACTACATTAATGAGTTCATTACACATAGCAAGGAAGCAAATTTTTCTCTGGCATTTTTTAAGACACAGTGACATGATCTTTACTTTTTGATATGATAGACATTCATTTGATCATTTCTCATGAGAGAGAAATCGTGACATGAATTCATGTGGAAGTGATAACAAGATGATGCTGGCGTGCCCCTGATCAATCCCTATTTTGCATGTAAATGTCGTGTATCTTAATTATGAGTGTGGTCGTTGACCTCAAAGTCTGGCAGTAAAGAGGATACAACACTTGGATTCGCTGACAATGTCTTTTGAATATCAAGAAAGGTTTATTTCCATATAAGAAAAGACAGGAAGAAAATGCAGGGATAAACCTGATGTGGTATATTTACAGTTTGTTTGATTGAAAAAAATTAATGATTGAAAGACGTAAGCTTCTGATATTCCTTTAAATATGTCAGCAGATTTTTTATCTTAGTGCATATTCATTATTACTTAACATAAAGGTAGCTGCAAAAAAAATTCATGAAATTGAAGTGAAATTACAATTGTTTATTTCCATATACACTGATTTAGCATATTAATAAGAAAGGTGTGCATTAGCTTCATTCTGTTAATTATACTGTTTTTATCTTTTCTTCATCATATTTGTTTGAGAAGATAATTAGAGCTTAATTTATGAATAAATTGAGGGTGACGCTGCATGATTGATCGAGCATTTTATAGATTTTAGGGTAATTTGGTTATCAATATCAGGGTCAGGAGGTCATGATTGTGATATGGGAATGCTGATTGTCTGTAGATTGTAAAGTGTCATCATTAAATCTTTTTCAAAGAAAAATTATTCTATTTCACAAAATTACTGTTTGTTAATACATGTAATGATAATTGTAGCATTTTTCATGTTTTTGCAAATTATTTTAAAAGATTACATAGAATTTGAACCTTGAAGTACAGTTCATACTACAATCTGTAAATCATACACATGGTAATTTGTGGAGTTTTTTTTTTAGGGGGAAGGGGAGCATTCAATTACTTTTCCTCTCTACATTTTTTTTTGTATCAGTAATTAAGTGTACTAAGTCTCATGTACGAATAGTTGAATGGGTCATAACTACTCTGTTTTTGTTAATTTAGGAAACCACTATGGTACCCCGAAGCCTCCTAGTGAACCAAAGGGAGGCAACCTTCGGAGATCCACATCGATGGGAGCTCCTCTATCGGCCAGTGGTGACGGCAAACGCCGCAGAAACAGGAGCAACACTGAGGGTGGCTCCGCTCGTACTTCCCCGGTCCCCTTTCAGTTCGATGGGGAACGCAAGAAGTCTATGGAGAAGTTACAGATTGATGCTTCATTAGGTGTATTACCTCAAAACTGGGAGAAAGCGTATACCGAAGATGGCACTGCTTATTATATAGAGTAAGTTTATCAGTATAAGCCTGACCTTGTTAATTAATGTCTTGTAAAAAATTGTTATTTACCTCAGATGATTGGGTACTGTAGAAGTGGAATACATTATGGCGTTTTTAATATCACTATGTTAATGATTTAAGATTTTTTGCGAACTTTAAGCTATCGTGATTATTATTTCCCTTCATTTCTATCTAAAAATAGGCATAGCACCTGAATACTATTGTTTGCAGCTGACTGTAAAGTTTCACGTTACGTCACGATCTAGTTGACAGCTGCACTCAAGGTAAATTGTACAAGCCTCCTAACCGCAAGCTTTACGATATAGGAACTTTCTTCTTATCCCTGATTCGTTGCTCGTGCAACAAACTATTTCCGTATCAATGTTGATAATTTGAGTTGACCAATCACATGAATTGTTTACGCTGGATGCATCTGACGAAAAAGATCGTGACGAAACGTGAAACTTTACAGTAAGCTGCAAACAATAGTATATTTAAACAATTCACCGTGAAATTAAAACCAACATGAAAGGTTACTTTCTCACAAACCTTGAAATTTTAGACACATGAAATTTAAGACTTCTACATGATAAAGCAGACTCATGCAGGTTGACATTGTATTGATATTTGTTTCCCTGTTGTGAGTCAAAACATGTTGGCCAATAATTAATACAATATTTGTAATATTTTCATGATTTTTGTTTGATTAAAATAATTTGTTATCATGAGCTTTATCTTTATAATTTGAAATTTTCATAACTGTCCACTGAAAATATTTCAACAATAAATTGGTGCATTGAAGATTTTACGGTGATAATGATATTCATATCATATATGATTTAAAACCAAAAACTTATTTAAATATTTTGATTTATTTCTATACGAAAATAAACATTTAACAGAGCAAAGACAGTGCATTTGCACTGAAATATGATGTGTTAAAATCATGGTGCCAGACTCTTACATTCTCTAGTTTCTTGGTAATAGTTGTGATTTTCATTCTTTCAGTCACAGTTCAGAAACAACACATTGGTTGGATCCCCGTCTAGCAAAGCTACAGAAACAGCAGGCAGGGGATTGTCAAGATAACGGTAAGTCTGTAGGGACCATTAGGGGTCAAACAGTGGGCAGAAGTACTATTGTCTCAAGCTATATTCTCCAATCTTAACAGTTGCTCTAGCATTTTAAGTGAGAGATGATTTTCATCATGTACAGGAATTCATATGGAATATGAAATCGAGAGGGAATTACATCACAACACCAGATTGATAAATCTTCTCATTACAATGTGCGAAAAAAAGTACATTAGATTTACATGTGTTATATTTCATAGGTTTATTCTTGATATAATTTTTCTATACTTGGCCTTGGTAACTGTTAAATTTGTGTGTCATGTCTGAGTATATTTTTTCCATTCTTTTGCCATTTGGCGCATTTGAGAATTGCTGAAATTATGCAACACTTTGATGACCTTGAACTTTTGACCTTAACATTACACTTCTAACATCACATTTCATCCTTTAGTTATCCTTGATAGTTGAAAGAATAAATAAGGGTTACATATCTTTGTACTCTTAAGTATCTTTGGATGGAAGTTTTAGTAGACGCTAACTTTTTAATCATGTATTTATGATGTATAATTTCTTTTTGATCTTGACACATATTGACTTTCTCTTTTACCTTGATTTTTTTTTTTTTTAGCTCTACACAAAGATTATGCGATGACCTAAGGGTGTGTCATGACCAATTTTTCAAAATGCTACTCCACAGTTTTGGTCTAATTTCAATATAACTTGGCACACAAGTAGAATACACTAAGATACATAATTCTGTGTATCGGTTTTTGATTTCGATGAATGGTGTTGCCGTGGTTACTAAAAATAGAAATTTCTGTGAAATTCTTTCAAAATGCTACTCCTCCAACAGTTTTAGTCTGATTTCGGCATAACTTGGCACACAAATAGAATACACTAAGATACATAATTCTGTGTATCGGTTTTTGATTTCGATGAACGGTGTTGCCGTGGTTACTAAAAATAGAATTTCTGTGAAATTCTTTCAAAATGCTACTCCTCCTACAGTTTTGGTGTGTTTCATATAACTTGGCACACAAGTAGAATACAAGGTCATAATTCTGTATATCGGTTTTTGATTTCGATGAACGGTGTTGCCGTGGTTACTAAAAATAGAAATTTCTGTGAAATTCTTTCAAAATGCTACTCCTCCTACAGTTTTGGTCTGATTTCAGTATAACTTGGCACACAAGTAGACTACACTAAGATACATAATTCTGTATATCGGTTTTTGATTTCGATGAACGGTGTTCACTACAAATAGAAATTTCTGTGAAATTCTTTCATGCTACTCCTCCTACAGTTTTGGTGTGTTTCATTTGGCACACGAGTAGAATACACTAAGATACATAATTCTGTGTAGTTCAAGGTCACTGGAAGAAAAAGCTTATGCAATAGTAATTCGTGTCCGTCCACATCTTTCTCATGTCTGTAAACAATTTTTCAAAACGCTACTCCTCCTACAATTTTAGTCTTCACACATATAACTTGGCACACAAGTAGACTACACTAAGATACATAAAATAGTGCATCGGTTTTTGATTTCAATGAACGGTGTTGCCATGGTTTCTAAATATAGAATTTTCTGAATTCCTTTAAAACGCTCTCCTTCTAAATTTCAATATAACTTTGCACACAAGTAGTGATACATAAAATAGTGCATCGGTTTTTGATTTCGATGAACGATGTTGCCATGGTTACTAAAAATAGAATTTTCTGTGAAATTCCTTTAAAACGCTACTCCTTCTACAGTTTTAGTCTCATTTCAATATCACTTGGCACACAAGTAGACTACACTAAGATGCATAAAATAGTGCATAGTTTGTGTGTCGATGAGCGGTGTTGCAATGGTTACTAAAAATAGAATTTTCTTTCCTTTAAAACGCTACTCCTTCTAAAGTTTTGGTCCAATATTACTTGGCACACAAGTAGATACACTTACATAAAATAATGCATCGGTTTTTGATTTCAATGAACGATGTTGCCATGGTTACCTAAAAATAGAATTTTCTGACTTTAACATTACAGTTTTAGTCTCATTTCAATCACTTGGCACACAAGTTACACTCCATTAGTGCATCGGTTTTTGATTTCGATGAGCGGTGTTGCAATGGTTACTAAAAATAGAATTTTCTGAGAAATTCCTTTAAAACGCTACTCCTTCTACAGTTTTGGTCTCATTTCAATATCACTTGGCACACAAGTAAACTACACTAATTTACACATAATAGTGCATCGGTTTTTGATTTCAATGAATGGTGTTGCCATGGTTATTAAAAGTAGAATTTTCTGTGGAACTTTTTAAAATGCTACTCCTTCTACAGTTTTGGTCTGATTTCAATATAACTTATCACACAAGTAGACTACACTAAGATACATAATTCTATGCATCGGTTTCTCTTTTACCTTGATTTTTTTTTTCTTTTTTGCAAAGTATGTGATATCAAAAAATAAAAATCAGGGGAAGGGCATAAAAGAGGTGAATAAAATGATATGATATGATATGAATATATGATTGTTTTTCATAAAACATGTATACTGTAAATACAATAAAACATTTTTACTCTGTAATGATTCATACTTAAATATTATAATGTCAAGATCAATTTCAATGTATGTAAATTTACACCCAACTGCCAAGGAAAAAAAATTAATTTGTTGTGGGCAAAAATTGAGGTCCAGCTATATGTGGTCATATTTACCTTAAATAAAATTTAGAGGAATAATTGTATCTCAGTTCTATTAATTAATTTGTAGCAGTATAGCTCATATTGCAAGAAACCAAGGGACAAAACTCATCAGTCTATATACATGTACAATGTAGTTAAGGTTATTAAGTCATATTCACATAAATTGCTTCACTAGAAGTACCAAGATATCTGGAGCCTTGATATGTCTCAAAAACTTTACAACACATTGAGTTTACATTTGTGCTAAGAATAATTTTTGAAAAGCATTCATTTTCTTAGGGCTAGTAGACTAAATTTGAGGCAGTGGTGACAACTTTTACAAGCATTCAACCCTGCATGTGTTAGTACCAAACACTTTCAATGTTTCGTACAATTGTTCCTAACAGTTTATGATTAGGTGGGTGTAAAAATATTTTGCATGTTGAGAGGAAAACGTTTCAGATCTTAGATTGGAACATACTTTGTCAACTACATCAGATGGAAAATAATTGTGATTCATTATTAATGTTTATTTTCATCTGATGACGTAAACAGCCACTATGTACTGCTAACTTACAGCATACATGCACTTTGTGTGATTAATTGAACATTGGAAAAAAAAACTGTGGGAGAGGTACATGTTTTGCTATAAATAATAAATATTGGTGAACTGGAAACAGAGATGTAATTGGTCAAATGGAGTACTGGGCTTTTCATTGGTGGTTGATAGGGAAAAAGTTTTTTTTTAGTTTCCTGCAAAATAAACACACATTTTAAAGTTTCATGATAAAATTTGTAGTTTATTGAAAATTCACCAATCATAACATTTTGTTTGTTAAAGATCAATAATCATTATAGACAAATCAAATTTCCTTGTAGACAGAAATCATGATTACATAATCTCTCATATTTTGAAATTTCAATCAAGAATACAGGATCTTTTATGTTTTCAATGAATTCATTTAATATGACAAATTCAGGTTCAGAGTTTCATTGTTTTTATATAGGTACTCATACATATGACAAGTTCAGGTTTAGATATGAGAGTTCAAGTTTCATTGTTGAAATGTAGGTACTCATACATATATTATGACAAGTTCAGGTTTAGATATGAGAGTTAAAGTTTCATTGTTTAAATGTAGGTACTCATACATATCCGCGCACCAAGCGAACAGGTAAGGATTTTTCTCAAAACACCTTAAACTGCCGAGAACACCTTAAACTGCCAACTGCGCCTATTCTCACTGCGTCCCTCCATCACTTTGTATTTCGTGATTCAGTTTATTTTCCTCACTGTGACCCATTCTGTGTATTAAACAAAAGGTTTCATTCAGTGCATGTTCACCCTCCATTTTGTTAACAAAGCACATGTTTTTGGACACAAAGGAGACAAAATACATGGCACCTAGGCTCATTTTGAAGGAAGAGTTATTCCTCTTTGTCTAGCTTGAAAAAAAAAAATTGATACCATTCTTTTCATGGCTGTATTTTTTTTCTTTTCTGAAAAATTTATATACTTTTTATTGAACATAATTTTTTTTTCTAACATCCTTGCATGAATCTTTAAGAAGCAATGCTTTTTAATTACAGTATGCAAATTTCATTTAATCCTTAAAAAATAAAAAAATCAAGTTTTAATTGAGTTATATCATGTTTACACTAATTGCAATTGGGTTAAACACTAATTACAGATTTTTATGACCATTGGATAATAAAGTTATAAACTTACGATGCACTGTATATATCATCAGATCATACACCTAAGTCCTGTTATCCCTGCATCCAATATCTACCCTCCATACCTGTATTATGTAATTTATATGACAGTCTATTACACTGAGTCTTTTATCAGATGATTGAAGTTGTATTGAATGTTTATTTTATCTCTTTTACCCTTTTCCCTGTCCATTTTATCTGCTCTGATGATTACACAAATCTTGTAAGAAACTTGCAGGTATCTTGATGGGAATTTGCTTGAAGGTACAGTGTAAAATGAATAATAATAAATTGGGGGGGGGGGGGGTATATAAAGGATGTTACTAATGTTTTAAATAGGGTTACTTATTTACAAGCTCATGTATTTCAGAAATATTAAACTTGTTCATTAATTATTTTTTTTATTTTGTCCCTCATAGAACAGAGAGATTTTCCTCCTATAATTAATACCCTCTGCGTAGGAACATTCTTCATGTGTCATGCAAATATGACAATATCCTAGATAATTAGAAATACTGTTGGGTTCTCTGTGTATTGTTTTGATCCTTGTCATCTGGGCTTCTGGGAGAAAAGCTTGCATGATCTCTGTTTTTGTGATGAGTATTGCTGCACTGTCCTGCATGTATGACTGAAGAACTCAGCTGTGCTCTCTTTAAGTTTTTCACATATGGTGGATGTCAGTTTTGAGGACTCTGTCACGATCAATTTTATTGATTGATGTTGCTTTGTCAGAGATGAAACATTGTTAATTTTTACTGCGTTAATTAAGCTGTCATGTTCACAAGAAGGGTCCAATACACAGAACTTACAGTTTATCAATTAGGTGGCTTTGATCTGCAGAGATCATTAGCTGTGTAAATTTAATTAATTTAATAATGAACAATAGAGGGAGGATGGGGCAACATTATAAATAATGCATAAAAAGTTTTCACTGACAGAATAAGGTCATATTTATAATTCAGAGAGGTAAAAAATAAAATTTTTATGATGTATTATTTTATACATGTACAGTCTATTCTTAAAATTAATTTCAACTTCAGAGAAAAAATGTCCTTCAAGTTGGTGTTGTCATGATGTATACTAGTCATTATTTTGTGTGTCCTGAAAGTTTGGTAACTTTTACGGGCAAAAATAACATTATGAAATACTCATGGTAACAGTTTGTGATAATGTGAATGATTACCTGCACATGTGTGTAAACAATACATTTTTTTCTGTAGAAAGAGGCGGGGTTCTTATCTTGAACAGTGACTACATGTAGTAAATTTACATTTAAGAATCAAATTAGAATAAAATTAGAATTACCTTTGTGTTCTTTTGTTGGAAACAAATACAAACATAACAGTTTCGTAAAGTTTATTTTTGTTTATTGACACAACAGTCCAGGTTTACCTCTGTCGAGATCATTGTTTACATTGGCTTGAGACTTTAAGCCATTTTCTTTTAAAACTTCTTATAAAGAGAAGGATGTTTAAGTCATCGATTTCCATACGTAATCAATGAGGAACTCTCTCTGTTATTAAAATTCATAGATTCCCCGTAGTTCTGCCTTATATAGGGAGACAAAAAAACACCTAGTGGTTCGTGTATAGATTTTTTAGAGATATCGAGTGGGTCACATTAGTGTTTTCTATTGTCAAAGGACAGATGCTGAGTGGCTTTAGGGAGAGAAGGTTTTCTCATTTGTTTTAATTGAATGAACCTGACTGAAATGTTATGAGTGGCTATACACTTTGTGGGCCTGAATAGGAAAAGGGTCATTAAGAGTATGAATTTGAAACATTGGTGAAAGGCCCCCCAATATTGATGAGGAGATGTTTGGATATGCAATGCTGAACAATGAGCTGAAGTGAATGTAAATGTAAACAAAATTTTCCCCATATTGTATACACCTTCAACTTGCCATTTGGGAGCTTGGGATTTTATTTATTTGATAACCCGTAGAAGATGGTTGTCATCCAAACCACTGCCATGTTGAAGAGAAGCCAGCCGAATTTATACTTAGATTTGAAAAAAGTTTACGATTCCAAGGAGTCAGTGGTTAAGTCTCCAGTTTTGCCTATGTTTCCTCAAGGGGGATGTGAGAAACATAGGAATAATGAAGATTGTAGGTGTCAAGTGGTCTTCAGGGCTTGTAAAGGTAGGAAAAGTGAAAAGTTTTGGAACTTTGTTTCTTTATCAAATTTTTATCAGTATAACATATCTGTATTTTATTTCTGCAGTGGGAAATTTTTGGAACTTTTTTTTCAGACATCAAGCTAAATGTAAAACATTTTTATAATTTGATTTAGAACTGCATTTTCCCCATTTAAATTAGTTTAAGAAGTGATGCATATATCTGAATGAAATTTCCAATTTGAATTTTGTGAAAAGAAAAATTTAAATTTAACAATGCAATTCAGGGATAGGGAAAGGTGCAGCCAAAGAATTATTTCATTTCTCATCAGAGCATCTCTAAAGTCTGTATTTTATTTACACATATGAAATCATGGCATGTTTCCTGTTCATTTGTGTGTGTGTGTGTGTGTGGGGGGGGGGGGGGGTGCAAACATCAGTGCCTTCAATGGCTCATTTAATTCACAAAGAACTAGATTGGACTGTCATTTTGTGCTAAAGCTCTCTGTTAAATTAGTTGCATTGCTCTCTTCTGACTGTAAATTGCACTTTCAAAATGCAAAATTGTCCTCAAATTTAATGTAATTTTAATCATTAAGTACACATGTAATGGAAAGAGAAATTGCTTGTAATGTGGCAATTTTCAGAAAAAAATGTGTATGACTGCCACAGCAAAAAAAAAAGTTGATTGTATATGAGTTGTAATAGACATTATCTAAGCCTACATCTCTGTGCCAGCTTTTCTAGCTGCTGTTTATCTCAATATACAATCCCCCATGTGTTGAACTCCTCCCCAACTCATTCTTACAGAGAGGAGGTTTTAAGTTTTCCTCCCGAGAAAATAAACCCGTTCTGGAGTGGATTTTCATTTTTGTGTGAATTTTTTGACTTGGTCTGAAAATTTGTGAGGAATTTTTAAACAATTGGTAAGTTTTTTTTTAGTTTAGCCTGTAAGACATCTTGTTTGATTCTTTTTAGGCCATTTATCTTGTGATGTGTTTACTTTCATCAAGTATTTGGAGGGTGATAAAAATGGAAGCCAGCTTGCTCAACATCTTGAGCAAAGGTTCCATATGTTTTAGGCTTAGGTAGGAAAAAAAAAGAAATTTAACCAAAATCTTAGATAATGTTTCTTGATACAGAGATTAAGTTGTAGTAATAATCTGAACCAATGATATGAATGTGATGGACAGCCTACAAGACAATGTTTTCACTCCTATTAATATGTTATGTATACATATGTCAGTACTAGATCAAACAAGGGTAATGTTAGATTATAGCCTAGAGTGGTGCCCTGATTATAGGATGAAGGCTGAGAAAAGCCTAACCCTGACTAATTGGACAATTTGAACTGGTGGGGCTAATTACCCCCTGCTATAGATTAAGGTGACCCTGAAGCCAGTGATAAACCAGTCGGTGGTCATTGATTTTCCTTTGTGTGGTTGCTCCTTGGTCACTTCACTGCAGATGGTTATAGAGGATTTTCCAATTTTCCTTGTTTCCTCTGTGTATGTTTTGTCTGTGTGGAAGTATTGCTGTCTTCTCTCTTTGAAGATGCTCCATTTTGTTGGGATATTATTTTGCGATAGAGGCTATGTGATTCTATTTTGAGAGGAAATCGGTTTAATTCAAAGAGATAACGGATTTTTTTTCTCTCTCTCTCTCCTATCTGTGTTTGTGTAAAGAGAGGATGTGGGTTTTATGTGCAGGGATTTAGACTTGGGAGTAGTAATGGATAAAAGACTGAAGAAGTTCTTTGTCAGACGCTTTGTTAACCAACTTCGCCAGCTTCTGTATGTGTCTACCAGGCTTTTGCAGGAGGGTGACACAAATAATGGAAGTATGTACTAACACTGAGTCAGGATGTTTACAAGTTCTGCTCCAAACTCACTCTAGATTTTCATCTTTGAGGGCACTTTGCCGCCTTCGAAAAACCACATGTCAAGTAATAATTTGTGAAAATGATTGATTTTTTAGCAAGATAAGCCCCAACAGGATGTTATTAAAAAAGAAGGGTCATTATAGCCATCAATTGCTTTGTTTACAGACCAAGGCTTTGCATTTTGCAGGTGCACTTCTAGAAATAAAAAAACATTATCTCATTGTTGAGCTTTTAGAAAATCTTTTAATGATAAAAATATAGATTATAATATCAGCGAAGGAAATTGGATTGGCTCCAGGTACCGAAGCTGCCCGGAAAATCGGCAGCATTTTTTTGTACTCAGAATTCTGATGTGTGTGTTTATATATTCAGAAAATTTTTCTTCATTGTTTCAGAGCTTCCATATGGCTGGGAGAAAGTTGAGGATCCCCACTATGGCACTTATTATATAGAGTGAGTATAATTCAACTTCATTCATATTTCCCTAATCATTTTCCTATGTCTGAAAAATTTTTACATACTGTGGAAAGTAAATTATTTTTAAGTTCTTTATTTTTCAAAAACATTTATTGATAACCCATCAGCAATTTCCTTGAAATGCTTAGTAATTTTAGTTTTAAGGATGAAGGTCTTAGAACTAGTCTTATCTAAATTACCCAACTGTAGACTTGACCAGTTAACCCTAGTATTACAGGTTGACCTGAGAGATGGGGTTCAGCAGATGGTAAGGAGGATGTTTATTATGTGCCAGGCTGATGGCATGGTGAAACCCCACTGCTTCATCTAAATGTTTTACTGGCAGATTTCTGGCAGTGCACTACACATGTGTCTTAATCAGTCAGATTATTCTCACTCATACATCAAATTTGTTTCTCACTCACACCCTTGTTTCTGTTGCAGCCATGTAAACAGAAGAACTCAGTATGAAAATCCAGTGGCCCAGGCCAAGCGACAAAACCAGGGTAAGTAAAAAAAGGTGGAAATAATTCAGTTTAGAGATAAGAATGCTTGTTAAGGTTAATTCAGACAAGAGCTAAAAAAAAATCTTAACAGACAAAAAGACGGGTTTTGAATGCATTATTGCAGCCAGGCAGGTCAAGGGTGATAGAATGTTTTTTTGATTGATTAAACTTGAAATATCTTTTTCTTCCTTGCTTGTGTTTGTGTAGAATATCTTCTCTTGATTAAAATACCTACCTCATTGATAATTAATAGGCAATCAAGGTCAACGGATCTAAGATAATTATAGGGAAAAACGGAAAAGATGTTTAGGGTAGGCCAGTATACTTTGTAGTTTTGGCTCCATGGCCAAAAATTTGACCCCGTAGATGCCATTTACCTGAAACTCTTAGATGTTTACACTAATTTGAAAGTTCAGCAATGGAGCCAGTAAAAGTTCAATCTTGTACCCAAAATATGTTGATGAGAGTCAAAATTTCTGTCATGATGAGAATCATTTTCAGTTAGGGTCAATCCAAGTTTGAGCTTCTAGCTAGTTTCTGATTGCTCTCAAACTGCTAAACTTCTGAAGGTCGGTATATAATATCAGTTGAATCATAAATTTCATGAGGAATGCCAAGGATATTTTGAAGTAGTCGATTATTTTTGCAGCATGCTAATTTTGGAGGCTTATTCTAGGTTATATTCCAAAAATGATATCTAAAGAATCTAATGTTTGCTAAATTAAAGATTTGCCAGAGTTCAGAATAAACTTATATGGACCAGATTGCATCTAGCAAAATTCCCTCCATGAAATTGTTAACATGATTAGCGCACCATGTCCATCTGTTGGCATTCATAGTTTTATCCGTCACTCTGTTGTGGATAATCCAATCAAAGTAGAATACTTCACATTTGTAAGTCAGGGTAAAATAAGTCAATTAAGTTGACCTTGCATTGGCACTGACCTTGAGATAAGTTAATCAAAAATCTTAATTATTGTTAATTAAAAGATGACATTTACTTACATTTACCCATTTCCACCTTATGTCACAGTTGAATGAATTACAAACTGTATACTATTACAAATCTTATTATCCTTCTAAGTATTGAGGTGTTAGTAATACTTTCATCACAACTTACTGACTTGGGCCTTGAACTTTAACCTTAAAAAGAGAAATGATATGCATTAACCTCAGTGGGTCACCCATGGTAATGACGGAAAAATCAACACATTTTATGGATAAAGATCTGATGTTGCTGTTTTCTTCTTCAAATTTGTATTTGTAAATTAAATTCTTTATGCAATGAACAGGAACATGAGGAAATTAAGAACTGACAACACCTTTGCATTTGGGCCATATTGACTTTAAAAGTTAAAACTTATTCTATTACCCAAAATAATCCTGCTTTATCTGCCCATAGTAACTTGAAACTCACTTGCAAGAAGTTTTTGATCAGTAAACTTTGATGAAGATTGACAACTGTTCTATTATATGGGATTTGAATTCTTCACAGGCACTGATGTGATCAGCACACTACCTCGAACCAAGAAAAGTCAGGATACTGCCAACACCACAAAACGCTCCATCAGTGACAACAACATGAATGGGAGAGCGCCACCTGGTAATGTATCCCAGAATTCACTGGGTTTCCTCCCTTGCCTATGGTGATTTACAAGAGCTTTGTTGATGTTTTAATTGCAAAAGAAAACTTGCTTAGTTTGATTGCATTTTTTGAATGGGGAGATTTACAAAACCAGCCAAGCTTATGCAGTGAATTAATGAAACATTTTTTATATTCTCGACTGGTAATAGTTTTAATCTAAATAATATGAATGTTGTTTTGCTGTTAATAAAAGTTTGAACCATATTGCAAGAGTAAAAAAAATGAATAGAATGATGAAAAGTTACTTAAATAGCAGTTGCATGTATAGAGATTGGCACAAATAATGATCAAGCCTTTGTCAAAATGAGAAATTAACAAAGACAGCAGAACCAATTGCAGCATACCTGTGTCAAAATAATAAATTAACTGCAGATTAAATTTTGAAAAATTAATATTATGGCCACTTTTAATCCTGCTGCATTTTTAGAGCCATTTGGATAATGGATATTGTCAGTGTAGGACATTAGTGAATGTTCTGTTGTGTTTTGCATGGTGAACTCCCATAATGCCTTCTAGACTAGTGTGTGTAATTTGGCATGTGTTTGTTTACAGACTACCATCAGCTGGGCAGGGGAAACAGAAAACGAGGTGGGATTTGTTTACTAATACTCACACTCTGCACAGAAATAAGATGGTGCCCAATTTTGTGTTGAATTTGGGCAAACTTTTAATATTCTTCCAAAGACACTTGGAGCTAATTAACATGACTGCACTTCTAGAGAAATGAGACTATAGCCATTTTTAGCTCACCTGAGCCAAAGGCTCAAGTGAGCTTTTCTGATCACAATTTGTCCGTTGTCTGTCGTTGTTGTTGTCGTTGTTGTTGTCGTCGGCGTTGTAAACTTTTCGCATTTTCATCTTCTTCTCAAGAACCACTGGGCCAATTTCAACCAAACTTGGCACATAGTATCCTTGGGTGAAGGGGATTCAAGTTTGTTCAAAAGAAGGGCCACGCCCTTTTCCAAAGGGAGATAATCATGAATTAGAGAAAAATTATTGGCATTTTTAAAAAATCTTCTTCTCAAGAACCACTGGACCAGGAAAGATGAAACTCATGTGGAATCATCCTCAGGTAGTGTAGATTTAAGTTTGTTCAAGTCATGACCCCCGGGGGTAGGGCGGGGCCAAAATGGCCGATCAAATTTTTACATAGGAATATATAGGAAAAATCTGTAAAAATCTTCTTCTCAAGAACCAATGGGACAGGAAAGATGAAACTCATGTGGAATCATCCTCAGGTAGTGTAGAGTCAAATTTGTTCAAGACATGACCCCCGGGGGTAGGGCGGGGTCAAAATGGCCGATCAAAGTTTTACATAGGAATATATAGGAAAAATCTTTAAAAGTCTTCTTCTCAAGAACCACTGGGCCAGGAAAGATGAAACTCATGTGGAATCATCCTCAGGTAATGTAGATTCAAGTTTGTTCAAGTCATGATCCCCGGGGGTAGGGCGGGGCAAAAATGGCCGATCAAAGTTTTACATAGGAATATATAGGAAAAATCTTTAAAAAATCTTCTTTTCAAAAACCAATGGGACAGGAAAGATGAAACTCATGTGAAATTATCCTGAGGTAGTGTAGATTCAAGTTTGTTCAAGTCATGACCACGGGGTAAGGGTGTGGCCAACCAAAGTTTTACATAGATATATAGAGAAACTTTTTAAAATCTTCTTTTCAAGTACTTCAAAGCCAGGATTAGTTATACTTGTATGGAATCATCCTCAGGTAATGTAGATTCTAGTTCGTTCAAATTATGATCCCCTTGGGGGTTAAAATTCAAGCCACCCCCCCCAAACTTAAGTTAACTTTCAGTTCTGATCTGATATGTGTTTTTCCTAGCTGATGTGCTCAGGTGAGCGCTGTGGCCCCTGGGCCTCTTGTTAAGATAAATATGATAAAGAGAAAATGTTTTCCACTGTTCTCAGATTTAGTTGGGAGAATATGATTGCATGTAAATGTATACCCCAATCATTTTCAGAATAGTAAACCAAACAAGTCTGCCCTTTTCTGTTTTTACTAGTAGCCTATGTATGATTAAGTCAAGCCAAAAAAAACCCAGCATGGTTGTTAACATGCATCTGTCATCAGAAACAGCTAATTTAGTTTAATGAAGGCTGCAGAATCTAATTCATTAAAGCTGAGTAATGTGTAGACTAGGTTCCTGTGGTAAATATTGATTGTTAAATTTCTATGCAGAGAGACGGGTCTTTACCAAGAACCCCGCAGAGTTAAAAGGGGAGATAATCACTACAACATTAGTCAAGAGTACCCGGGGCTTTGGATTCACCATTATTGGGGGTGATCACACAGACGAAGAATTCCTACAAATCAAAAAAGTGGTGGAAAACGGACCGGCACATCTGGACGGCACCTTACAGACGGGTAAGGAGTTAGGGTGGTGTGTAGGCCTTTGGCACAGAAGACCGGTTGTACAGGCAATAGTGTAACCATCAGCTATGTTGAGAAAATTTTATTTAGCTAAGTAATTGGTGAAAGGTTAGCAATCTAAGAATAAAGACAGCTGTTAAACATAATTTTTACACAGGATTAAGAAGAAAAGCTGCAGACACTTAGCCTTTCTTCTATTTTTCATTTTCAAAGAATTTTTTTTTTTTCTTTCTCTCTTTTTTGGAAAGGGGTGGTGTTAGTTTTAACAGATCAAATAATATTTGAATAGAAAATCTAAAGTAAGAAAACATTAGATGTTAACTTTACATGCTTCACAGTATGAGGGAGAGTTTTGTATTCTGGCATTTGCACACAATTTTTAATTGGCACTTGAGTCTGCAATGCATGTACTATTTAATCTGCAGCAGGTGTCTATTTTCATTGGTGCATGTGTCAGGGATGGCAGATTCACTTACATGGCTCAGTAACATCTCAACAGACACCGTCTTTTCTTTGATATGTATATTGCAGCTGTCAAAAGATTTTTTTAAGTGCCAATCTTTTTCATTATGTACAATTTTTATGAAGAAAAGAAGATATCTTTGTTTGATAATGGATTTCTGATTTTCTTCCTTATAGCCTACATACTTGCACTTTGATTTATCAAACATTGATAAAATATTTTTGAAACCCTTTATCTCATGTGTGAACTTTAAAAAAAAGATAAAATTGCTTTGCCATATAAAGCAGATTGCATCACTATCCGTAGATTATCTTCTTAGATCACCTGCATTCGTTTGAAAATAATAGATCTACTTGATCAAGTGTTATCATACCATGTCATAAATATTACTTCAGAATTATATGCAGACCTGTATAGTGTATACTTGTGTACACTTAGTCTGATTTATATTATAACTGTGTTGACATGATGTGTTTTCAGGTGATGTTCTGGTGAATGTTTGTGATCGTTGTGTGTTAGGATATTCTCATCAGGACATTGTCAATCTGTTTCAAACCATCCCCGCAGGACAAAGTGTCACATTAACTGTGTGTCGAGGTTACCCCTTGCCATTTGACCCCGACGACCCCAACACCGAGATCATTGTGACCGTGGCCGTGACCTTACCTAACGATTCTAACGTTAATCAGTCCCCGCCCAGTTACTCGTATTTTCAGGAGACACACGGGCATCAGGACCAGCACAACACGTCAGCCAAGAGCATGAAATCTCTGCCCGACCTGACGCGATCAACCAACATACCCCTGAGTCCTCATTCCCAGAGTCAACCCAACGGAACCGGAGATGCACCGGATGTGCTGGGCATTCAGAAACCGGAAATTCTCTCCATTAACATTGTGAGGGGGGAGATGGGGTTTGGGTTTACAATAGCAGACAGTGTGTATGGACAGAAAGTGAAACAGATTCTGGATAAACCTCGCTGTAAAAATCTCCAGGAGGGGGACATTTTAGTGAAGATTAACGACACGAACGTGCAGGAAATGGTACATTCAGATATTGTGCAAGTGTTAAAGGAGTGTCCTAAAAATGTAGAATCTAGGATAACTGTCCAAAGAGGAGGTAGGCAGCTTTTAATAGACAAATTCACTTAGATATGTCAATGGTTATTGCTTCTTAAATATATCTGAACCTTTGAAGTATACTTTAATGACTAATGTCATGTTAGGGTAACAATGATAAGATTTATAGAATATGTACAGCAGATATTTTCAAGGAACTGTTTACTTTAAAAGATCAAAACTTTTTTAAAAAAGTTTTTGAAAGTTCATATTGAACAGTCCCATACAGCACAAAATTAATTCTTGGAAATAAAAAAAAAATTGCATGAAAAATATTAAAGATTAAGAATATTAAAAACTCATTTTATATCATATTGTATTACTGTATTTACAAGAAAACAGTGTTAAAAGTTCTATTCAATACACAAATTTCTTTTTTTTTTTTATGAATTTGTTGTGGAGCTTGTGATATGTCTATCTAATCTATGTCACATTTCTTCAATTCTAGGACTTCCCCCTAAAGTGAAGAAAGCTTCACGATCATCAGTAAGTAGAACAGATTTCTTTGCTACTTTTACATTAACTTCCATAATGTGTCAAATCAGAAGAAATCTTGCCTTGTCAGTTTCACAAGCCAGCACTTCATTTTGTGAAATCTTTTGCTGTTTCATTCTAGCCTCGTTCATTGGAGGACAGCAAGACAAATAATGCTTCCGACACAAGTTTTAGCAGCAATAACCCACCTGGACATTACTTCTTTGAAAACCATTCCCACAATACAGGTGAGAGCAGTTTTTTGTATAAAAATGAGAAATACTTGAAAAAGATATCTTTACATTTAATTTTTAGACACAGCAGCATTACCTGATTTAAACAATAAAGTGTTTATTTTGTTTAAACGGGAAAGAAAAACTGCAGCTTAAGAAAAAATGCATAACTTTCATAGGTGGGTTCTGTAATCTGGGGAAGGGTGGGGGACAATGATTTCAACAATTTTAAAAAAAAAAAAAAAACATTTTTATTTATTTTCTTATCTGTATAAATTATTTATTAAAAGTGGATGAAAGTGCAAGTAATTAAAATTTTGTGTCATTAATCTGTACATTATATTGATGGAAATGTTGACCTTTGACATTTCTTGAAAAATCTCATACACTTGGCTTTAAAAAACCAGGGTCTGATGCCGTATAACTTGGATGAACTGGTGTTTGATCTCCGTCTCACTTTTACCTTATAAATACTCGAGAAGTAGCTGGAGTTAATTGATTGATCAACACCAATCAGTTTTCATATGAAATAAAACGGCAAATATTCAGTGGATAAGTGGATGCAAAAATGATGTGCAAATGCCTTGTGCTTATGACTGCTGTATTAAAAGTCTGGATTTTTTTTTCTTATTAACCTCCACGATGGTTTGCAAAGGAAAACTCCAATCAATAACAGAGAATTGAAATTAAAAAAGATGAAAAGTATCCAGTTCCTACCAGAACAATTCAAATGCAATGTACTCCCCTGTTTCCATAGCATTTGGTTTTGATATTGCATTGAGGTAGTGAAGATTTAATAAGTTGGTTCTCCGGCTGGAGTTAGAAATGGTTTGCAGGGTTTAGCAGAATACTGTGAGTTATTGTTAGATTGTCACACAAGTTATATATAAGGACGACATGAAAATTCATTTGTATTGGTACATTTTACAAGTATGGTAAGTTCAATTTTAGCTATTTGTTGTCTGCATTTAAAGATGAATGTTGGCAAAAGATATAGATTTAAAACAAATTTATATGTACAAATTATGTAAAGATACTGTAGTATAATATAGCAAAAAAGGTGTAAAAAAAAAAGATTTTGTGTTTTAACATGTTTATGGAGGTTTTAAGGATAAATAACACAAACTTTTTTCAGAAATCAGCATCATTTCTCATAGATTTACATTTAAATTGACAACCTGAATAATGTTTACCAAGTAGAGTGGGAGAATTTTATAAGATTTTGTCATAAAGTTAAAAAATTGTGCAAAATTCTGTATGGAATTATATAGAAGGCAAAATAAAATCTCAAATCTAAGCACCAAGGAAAACCTACAATTTCTTTATATTTCAGGGATTTATTATTTATGTCATTACAAATCAAAATCAGTCAAAAAATATATATATCAACCCGCGCATCCATTTTTTGTTTGTGGTAAGTACCCTTAAGGTTAAGTCCATCATAAAGCACTAGATTAGATGACTTGTTTTACATTTATCCCAGGTAATTAATTTGCTATAAAGGCATTTTCAAAAACATCCTGTAACTGGTATAGTCAATCTCTTCCTCTGCCAATACCAGGTGACAGAAAGGTTGTCAAGGTCAAATCTCTGTATGAGAAAAACAAGAATATGGGTAATCCAAAGATCATATAGATATGGGCAAATATGTAGACTGTTTGTGTCTTGAGTATTGTCTCGAAATCTTGGAAAGAACTGTACATATGCAGTTTTTAAGTGCAGATTTTAATGATTAAGCCTTAAATTCATTAAAGGTATGTTTGTGTTGTGTTTGAAATGATATTTGTTAATAGGGTTTTCATTTACATGTAGTATTTTGATGGGAGATTAATTATTACAATTGTTAATTGATAATAATTTTCTATATATTTGTATTTTTTTGTTACAATATAAAAAAAAATCTTCAGTGAACAGGTGATCTGCATTTTTTTAATATCATGCACAACTGACTATTTTTTTTTTTGAATTTTCTTTACATGTATTTAGGGTGAATTCACCATGCATCGGATACCCTTGTATTTTAACAAGTTCTAGCGATATCGCTACCGATGGAAAATTATCAAAATGGAGTTTAACATTTAGTTTGTGATTAAAATAACAATTTAGGACACAATTATATGCCGTTAATTGAGAAAATATACAAAAAAAAATCGAGTTTTTAGAAAAAACTGAAAATTCACCATGGATCGGACATTGTTCACCATGCATCGGACAGACGGTATGGAGGCCGGGAAATATATTACCTTTACCACAGTGCTTTAAAATCCCTGATATGGATATATTTTTATCTTTTATCTAAGAAATATCCCTCAACTTTAATTTAATCGACGATATTATTGCACAAATGTAGAACGATTCTCGAGACCTCACTCTGCCTTAGAAATGCTTTAAAATGCTTATAATGCCGTAATTCGCGCCTTTTTCTCATGGTTTATCATACTCTGGTTTGTAGAAATGAATTGGGTAAAATTCCAGACGTCATATCTCGATAACTTGTATTTAGACTGAAAATATAGAGTTTTTATTTTCTTTTTCCGCAAAAAACAGCTGTCAGCTGGGTTCTATATGAAAATGGTAGTGCTTACCTTTGCATCGAAAAGTGTCCGATGCATGGTTAATTTGTGTCCGATGTACGGTGAAAATAGCATATTAGTAAAAACCAGCTCTAATAAGAATTAAACAAACATTGAAGTGAAATTTAATTATTATTTATGTAAAATTACCAATCTCTGACAAAATTCACCCAAGTCCGACTCGTTCCGTGGAAGTCGAATTTAAAAGAACGATAACTCTAAAAATTGCAAAATCATAAATTTCGGGTTATTCCCCTTTGATGATGTAAAATATGACGTAACTTCAAGGCCATTTGCGGGGTATTTTTATCACAACATTATAAACACAATCGGTATCATTAAAAAATTTAAATCCTCGTCTTTATGACAGAAACAAATAAATACACAGAACACTTAAGTTGAAAGAGAGTTTATTGCCTAAAGTTGTCCGAAGCAAGGTATGTGTCCGATGCATGGTGAACTCACCCTATATGTATTTTCTTATGTCATGCACAAGTTAAATGAATAAAGAATAATCGTTGATGTTCATTGAGTTTGACCATATTGACTTATTTAAAATTTTATCTGCATGTACTTCTACATGTGTAATTATATTCCTATTCTTGCTTGTTACAGATAAACGTGATGCGTTTGACGGAATGGAACCTCCTCCCCGACCCAAAACGCCCTCAGAATCTCGACCCAAAACACCGTCATATTTCGAAAATCGTCCAAAAACACCAACAAGAAACACAGGGATGTTTGTGAACAACCAACGAGCAAAACCCCCCATTGCTAGGCCGCCTCCGAGGAATGAGGAATACAATAAAAACTCAACCAATCAGGATTTAAATATAAGTCACGGATCATCGGAATTTTACTTACCGCCTTCAAATAATGACATGTCTCGTCCACCAACGGGGTCACGGTTTGACCCGAGATCTGAACATAGACCTTATAGTAGATACCACGATTCTGGGAACAGCCGCAGTAATTTTCACGACAGAGACCGAGAAGGCGGGGCAAAACCTGGAATGTTTAGGAGTCGGACTCCGGGGCCTGAAATGATTAACAGGGGATCGGACTATAGGAATGAATTTCAGAGACCCAAAACCCCCACTGCTCAAGACATGAGAAGTAAGACTCCACTACCCGGTCATAGTTATGGGTATTCAAATTCGAACCATGATTTCGGTGGTGGGCATTATCAGAATGTTATGAACGGACGACCGGGATATGGAAACAATCAAAGGTCATGGGGACAGAATCCTAATTTACCTACTTCCCCTCCACCGTTACGGCGAGGGGATACAGTGAATAGGAATAATGTGAACAATATTTCTCAGTGGAGGGATGGGCTTCCACCCCCTCCCCGCCAGAGCACGTCTTTTGAGGATGTGAACCCTTTCCCAAGTAACATTACACAGGTCCCTAAACGATTCCCCATGCAGTCTCATTCCTCTTTTGGGAGTGGGGGACAGTCCAGATTTGGGACAAGGTTCCCCGACTCGGATGATCCAATTCATAGTATGGAGTTCACAATCACACTGCAGAAACAAGAGGCAGGATTTGGTTTCCGCATCATAGGAGGAACAGAGGAAGGCTCACAGGTAAAACCCAGGAACCAGGGTATTTTCTTATCTATATTGATAAAATAATTGTCCAGTTATTCTTGTATTCTTTCTCAATCTCCAGTGAGGTTAGTAACTCGAAAATACCTTCTACTTTTGTTAATGCCCTTTCCAATTCAGTGCTTATGGACAGCCCTGATAAAACGTTTGTTGACATCAGATATGGGACAGTATTCATGCTTATCAACAATAGTATACTTGTGAGATGTACAGGCATGATCATTAAAATGCATCTCTTTGCTCTAATAATTTATAAAATCCTACTTACTAGGTTTCCGTAGGACACATTGTCCCAGATGGGTCAGCTGATTTGGATGGCCGTCTGCGGACAGGTGATGAAATCACGCATGTCGACGGTCAGAATGTCATTAATTCCTCACATCATCGGGTGGTCACTCTGATGACCCAGGCAGGTCAGCGAGGTCATGTGACACTTGGGGTCAGGAGGCGGGTATTAGGAGGTAAGCATTCCCACCTCATTTTAAAAAAGTAGACACTAGAATGCAAGCACAACAAAGTATTGCTGACATGCACGTAGACATTTTCATGAGTAAGAATTTAGCAAATGAAATACATGTTATTACTGCTTTATTTGATACAAAAATCTTGAGCTAGCATAACGATGGGTTAAGAATAAGGTTATTGATGAAGTAAGACTGGATCAGACAAGAACTTACGGTTGATTTTATTCTGTTATTAGATTCTGGCTATCTATCCTTAGGACACTCCGATATTTATCCTTATGACGTCCTGGTGACGAGGCGGGAAACGGAAGGTTTCGGATTCGTCATCATCTCCTCTATTTCCAAGATGGGCTCAGTGATAGGTGAGTGTATCGGTACGTACCCAAGGCTTTGTATTATACCTTTTTTTTTAACCTTGACACATTATTCAAAATGCAGTATATAATAAAATATCTGATATATGTAGAAAAAAAAATAGAATATGAAGTGATGCATTTTTTTTAACACGTGTAAGGTTATCAGTTTCATCTGAATTTCAATGTATATTGAATTATTTCACTATCTTGAAATGAGAAGTGTTCAAATTTGTTTTTCTTTTCTATTTTATGTAAAAAGTACATGTTGATGATTTGTGACTGTCATCATTTTATTATCAAAATCAAAACAACATTATAAGCATGATAAGTAGAATCATTCATGTAAATTGAAAAAAAAAAAGTAGTCATATTTTCTCCGGAAGAAAACAAAATGTAGGTAATTTGATGAAGTGGTATTGATTCCCCTCCTAATTGGTTCTTACAGACCGAGTCAATGACTGGTTAGATAGGAAAAATCTTTACCCATGGATTGGTGAGGCATTCCTATGTTTTGCCTGGTTATTTCCCAGAATGCAATATTCCTTCCTGTCTGTCCTGGCTTGCACCTCTGTTGACATGATTGCCGTTTTGTCACTGTCGATGAAAGGGTTTTAGTAATTATGTTGACTGCAGTGTGTAGATTTTTTTGGTTAAGTTTTAAACAAATTGTTCCTTCTTTAGAAAATTCTAATGCTATAAGCATGATAGAGAGTAGAGCAGTGAGATAAAAAATTATGATCTTAGTGTAGAAGAAAAAAAATCTGAATGTTAGGACATCTTACTCACTGCATGATGACCATTATAAATAAACTGATATTGGTTTATTGCAGTGCTTCATGTATGTAGATTGATTGTGTTTATATTTTCTAGACAGGTGATATATTATTCTGAAGTTTTGCATGGCAGAAGAAAAAAATTGTTTTGGTGAAAGAATGGTAGCTGCTTAAAGGAGTAATTATCATGTAAAAGCATATATTGTTTGTTTGAATAGTTTTGTTCTGTGATGTTAGTACATTGTTGCAGTGATGGGCTTTGCCAACATCAAATATTTGTCGAATACCATAGATATGAAGACATTTTTCGTATCTCCCTGGTATTCATTCTGACGCATCATAGTCCTTGATTCAGACAGGTCTTCATTGTCATAATAAAAGCAACTCAAGATAATTACACTGTACAGTGAAATGGAAGTCCTTGTGTTGTGCAATAAAAGATGTTCAGTGAATCATACTTTCATATTTCCATCATCTGTAAACCCTCTGTTTCACCAGCAACCCTTTAAACCATATATTCCTAGTGCTACATGTATCATACCCAGAAACCACTCTACCGTGTAACTGTACACTTTTACATGAAAGGAAATGGGTAATACTGAAAAAAAAATTGTACATGTATATGATAATCTAGCAGTTTTTAAGGTAGAAAAGTTTCGTATTTTTTCGGGGCCAATGTCAAGGAAGGTTCCTTTGATGTTTCAATCAGTAATGTTAACATTATACCAGTTGTATTTTCTGTAGTGCAGTCAGTGTATTCAATATAACCAGATGCATCATGCAAGCAACTTGATTCCAACTATTGAATTCTGTCTATTGCACAGTTGCACATTTCATGAAACATGCCATTTCTTAATCACACAGTTCATTACTTTCGATGAATATTTTGTGTCATGAGTCATTGGGCAAAATGAAACTGGCCTTTGCAGTATTGATCTTCGTTTATTACAGTGTGGCTAAGAAGCACTTGAGCGTCGGTTAAATTACGAGTGTTTTAATATTACAGGTAAAATCATTGAGAACAGCCCAGCGGAGAGGTGTGGCCGGCTTCACATCGGGGACAGAATCCTGGCTGTTAACGGAGTGGACATCTCACACATGCATCATGAAGACATTGTTAACCTCATCAAAGACTCGGGCTACTCTGTCACACTGACAGTGGGGCCTCCCATAGGTAATTAATTTAAACTGAATTGGAGGGGGAGGAGGTGTCCCTGAGTCCCAAAATCGACTCTTTTGGCTTCCCTTTGATACTTTATCACATTTAGTATTTCATCACTCAGACAGTTAGGGTATCACTCTTGCCCTTGGACCTTTAAGAGATAATTTACTCTGTCATTTAGTCAGTGGATACATTCACAATATAGTTTATCAGGATCAAGCAGGCCGTCCATTCATATATGCACTTTACAGATATGAGAATATTTTACCTATTTTGTAATCTGTTAAGGTTTCTTAACTTATTTGATTTGTAAGTGGGTTTCTTCAGGGGATCCATAATTTTTGTCATAACATAATATGTAAGTACAATACATAATATTAAGTCCTACTTGAAAAATTTTAACAAGTATTAACTGTTACGTGCTGTTGTGAATTCTGCATGTTGTAAGAAAGGGGCACCAACAATTTTGTGGGTTTTTCTATTATATGTGTAATATTACATCTTATTCAAAGTGTCTTTTCTTTTTGTAGATGATGCTGCAAGTAATTCATCAAATTCTCAAAAGGTAACCTTCTTCTTTGATTTTCCAAATTAAACGTGTTGAGGTAAAATTTATTCTGACTGAAATTCTGAAAAAGAAAACTTTTGTCTAAGATAATTATACTAAATTTCAGAGTCCTCAGGGGTCCTTGGTAAATGCCATGGCTTATCCAGCTGTCCCAGACAGTGATCTAAGAAGGTAATTTGCAAGAAGAATGAATTTAATTCAGTTATATCACATCTTTGCTGCAACAAGTTTACACCTCTCTGTTACAATTTCCAATTGGTAGCTGGAAGACATGTTTATCAAGTTTTCAAGATTTTGTGTTATGTTCAGGTGACCTTGACCAATTTCAGTTTTTTTTTCCTGTTGACCTTGACCTATTTCTGTTTTTCTCTAGGTTCCCTCCTCCTCTCCCCTCCCCCACAGACAGGGGCTATAAGGACATCAACAGACAGCATGCGTTCCTCAAACATCCGAGTCCAGATGAGGGGGAGTACTACGTAGAACTGCCCCGGGGATCCCGGGGGTTCGGGTTCTCCATACGAGGGGGACAGGAATTTAACTGTATGCCTCTGTTTGTTCTGAGGATCGCGGAGGGAGGATCTGCGGATCTAGATGGAAGACTCCGGGTAAGTCGTTTTATTAAACCTGTGAAGTTCAAGTTCTTTTTAAAAGGACTGGGTGGTTGTGGCCATTTTTAGACTATATTGATCTCCTTTAGGAGAAGAGCTCCAAATAAAGATGTACAAAAATGATGAAATTTTAATACTAAAATGTATGAAAGTTTGCTTTGCCAAATGATGGTTGATATCTTAAGATATCATATCTAGCAAATTAAGTTATATATGATGGTTTATTTGTTGACCCCTCAGGCTCTTTTAAGATCATTTTCTATAGGATTTGACAAAATTTATTTTTTCCAAAATATTTGGAGAGAGAAAAAAGCAAAATTGGTTTTGCAATTTATAGACTCCAAAAATGATATTGTAAACTAATAGAGATAGGAATGAATATAAGTGGAGCAAGCTGTAAAGGGAACTCTTCTATATTAATGACTGTGATAAGGTCAAATATTGCCTAAGCATAAATGAGTAGATAAGGACTTAGATGTACAAGATGTTAGGATACAAGCAATGAATTGCTGAATGCTCTAAATTTCAGGTGGGTGACCAGATACTCGAAATTAATGGCTACAAAACAGAAAGTATGACACACTCTGACGCTATAGATATTATACAAAATGGCGGCCAAACAGTTCGTCTGCTGGTCAGGAGAACGGGAAAACTGCCACCAGCATTTGGTAAAACTAAAATAATAAATTGTTAAAAATAACAGCCTATGATATGCAACTGAATGAATATTAAACAGACCAGCAAAATATATTGAAAAATAAATTGGAATTTCAGAAATGTTTTTAAAAAATTTTGAAAAAAATGTTAATGAAAAATCCAAAAATAAATTTCCCATTACATACAGTGTACATAAGCTTCATTGTATCAATCTGAGAATATGATCATTTGACTATGAAATGAGAAGATTATTATAAATTTCCTTTGCTCACTTTGTTAATTTCTAAATACAGAGCCTAGTCCAATGGTTGGAGGATATTCCCCTTCAAATAATGTACCAATGACAAACGGTCCTATAGGTCAAAGTTCACCATATCTGGGTCGCCGCAACATTGACATGAGAGAACCAAACTATTTCGGTTACCAAGGGAATAGGCAGTATTCGGGTTGACGGTAGAGAAAGATGTACATTTGTGACGGTGCCAAAAACCGAAAGTAGTGACCAGCCAGGGCAAGAAAAAGGCCCAGGTGATTCTGGACTGTTCCAACCCAGGACAAGACACTGAGATTGAGAAGTGTGATACAAGGTTGATATTACTGTTATGTGATATTTCAGAGGTTGTTCTTTGGAAAATAAAAAAAAAAACCATCTGCTGAGATGCTTTCCTGTGTAAGTTATTAACAAGGAGGATTTTTATTTTGCATTTCTTTAATACAGTTCTTTCATATTACATAATAGCATTGTTGTTGATATACGTATACATTACATTAATCAAATTCTTGTCAGTTGAGTTGCATTTACATGTACATCTATCAGATTTTTTGTTGGATTGCATTTCTTGAGAGAACACATTGTATACAGATAAGCAAAGATAAGCTGTGGCATTTTCTTCTGATCTAATGATTGTAATTATTCTCTCTCTGCAAATTTAAGCTCAGATTTTTTATTTCTTTGTTATGTAAATAATACTGTTGTCTAGAAAGGTTGGTGTCCATGCAGAATATCTGAAATCTGTATAATAAATTTAGTGTGAAACAGTATGTGTAAGTTCTTAAAGCAATACATACATCGTAACATGTATATCTCCAAATATTTAGTATCTGCTAACTTCTTTCTTGCTTTTGGATTGCTGTTTAGGAAATTTTTTAACTTAGGGGGATTAAATTCATTAACTTAAATTGATTCAAATACTAATTATAATGCCATCAAATATGTCAGATATTTGAAGGAAGTGATATATAAGGCTTAATGTTGCCTGAACTTACATCTTCTATATAAAGTTATAAATATGACAATCTACTACAATTAACAAATGTTGGGGCCAGTTTTAAACCTGTGTATAATGAGACGGGATAATAATTTATCATAATAATTAGTATTCTTTATTTAGATGTAAAACATATCAGCAGGGCATATGGCTGTGAAAGTACTGTACATGTGTGCCCTTCAGTATGCAAAGACTAAATCAATATTTTTTTTTTAGATATCTGTTAATGTCAAATGCAGTGTCTTGTATATGCATACTTTACTACTAATATTGTCAGTGGTATTGTGAAATGACATTTTTTTGTGGCTTCAGTTCTTTTTTTTTTTTTTTTATCTTTTAAGTACTTATTATGCCGTTCCTAGAACACTTTATATTTCGTTTTTGCTGCTGATTAACTTTTTTTGCAATAATACTTCTTTTAACAAAATCCGTTGTTGTGTGAGCCTTTTAAAGGCCTTCATTTCTTTTCTTTTTTTTTCGCAGAAGTTTACTTTGATATACCAGTAAAAGTTGTTCAACTAATAGTGCTTAAATGTATAGGTGTATATATATATATATATATTATACTTTTTACAGTACAGTCTGTATTATAACAGTATGAAGGAAATGACTGAAATCAAATGGAAACATTAAACTTGTACACACACTATGAAGTGATTGCTAACTGTTGCTTGATAATACCCTTGTAGAATTGAGATTAACTAAATTTCACATATTAATAAATATTTATATTATTTAAATTTTTAATGGAATCTGTAATACATATACAATTCTATTACTGAAATACACATTTTCTAAATAGTATCATTAGGAAATTGTGTTCTAAATCATTATGTGAATCATTACATGAAAGAGACAACTAATTAGACATAAGATTTTCCCTCAAGACAGTGTAAGTGTTTTCATTGATTGTAAATTTGTCATATATGAATGTAATATCATATCATTAATTTATCAGTAAGGTTGCTTGTCTACATTATACATGTAAGTCTTGTTTTAATACAATATAAAATATATAGATTTTTACACAATATATATACATTGTTTATTTCATAGTTACTGGTCAATTTTCAGATAAAATTGTAAGGTTGTAATTAATATAGGGCTTTAGTTAAGGTTGTAAGATTTACTATTTATTGTATTTTGGCTTTAAATTAAAAAAATAAAATTTCAAATTATTGTCCGTCTATTTTCAAATTGTTAGTGTATTTTTACATATTCATTATATTGGGAAAGGCATTTTGTTGTTTGATCAAAATTTTCAAATATCATGGTTATTTACTTTTTTTTTGCGGTAACTTTATGCAATGACTTTTGTCGTATTTAGTTTTATTTTTTTCCTTATTTTAATCATACCTTATAATCCCGATTCTGTTTTGATCATTGTTAATGGCAGCACTGCGTCATTGCTAGGTAAATCATACAGCAGTTTATGTTAAACAGGTAGTGATGTAAATATAACAGTATGTACAGATAACTAAGTCCATTATGTACAGAAATAATTTCACTTGTACAGGTCAAAAAATAAATTTTTTATAATGTGAATTACTGGTGTTTTTTTTCAATTTCTTTGCAAAAACTTAATGAATTTACTTTTAAGGTTCATCGATACTCAGATAAGAGAGATAACTCTTATTAACATAAATGTCTATTATTCCTTTCTAGCCAATTTCTTTTTTGCAAAAAAGCTATGCTATAATTGTTTGTATTTTACTGGAAAATCTTTTGTCCTTGTCAAGAATGTTACAGGTTGTAAGGATGTTTGTAAATCGAATACTGTGAAACAGGCTTATACCATGTACCATATATGGGCAATTTTTCTGTTATAAATATAGTTTATTATAATCATTAGCTTCACAATATGATTAAAACCCATAGGGAATGAAAATTGCTTTGTAGTAAGCATCCATTCAGTGTAAGCATGTTGGATATTTTATTTAAGTATGTTTTACAGTAAATGGAAATGATTGTAAATGGCATATCAACATTTATATCCAAAAACCCTTGATTAGATAAAACTGTTTTTGACTCCTATTAAGTTTAAGAGGTTTGAATGTTCATACATTTAGGTATAGATATACATTTAAAAGAGCCATCGTACCAGGCATTTTGGCTCCTAAACTGATTTTCTTTTAAACTCTTGAGTTAGCAATTTCATTAGCAAGGCAACTATTGCTTTTTCAGTTTACTTATCAGAAAAATTTCAGCTTTGTATTTTAGAACAAAATGTCCTCAAGTCTTGATTTACAGATCCATATTGTAGTTCAAGGATTCTAAGACATGTGGATTAAAAATATCATTTCCTTGTGACAACTAAAGCATCTTCAGTAATCTTTCTGACAAGCTCAGAAAAACACCTCAAATATATTTATTTCCTCAGAGGTCTGTTCAACAGCATGAACGTTTGCGAGCGCCGCCAAAATTCCTCATACCTCCAATAGAAATGTTTGCGAGCGCTCACTCTGTTGAACAGGCCTCTGATATATTATTGTTGTGAACTTGACCTTTGACCTATGGCCTTGAAATGAATACATAGAGTTGCTTCCTATCAATCAAAGTAATGGCTAAACAGAGTTGACTGAACATTTCCTCTTAAGTTATATTGTTAATAAGCACATTCTAAGGGAGATAAATCTTGAATTGTTTGTTATTTGCTATATTATAGAGAAAAATGTTCCTTTTTATATTATTTTATTGTTAAAATTTACATATCTCAACATTTCTATATCTTGTAAAACAGCAGTAATTTTTGAATTATTGACTATTATCACAGATATTTTACAGATTTCGGCTAATGGTTAATTTGTCTACCTCCTATAATAAATTCAGAAGTTATATTGAGCAATTGAGACATTTCTTAAAAGTACAAAGACCTCTTTAATTTCCTAAGAATCAAACAAGAAAACTAAATAAAATATATAATGTAATAGAAAACTTTTTAAAAATGGAATTCAGACATCAAAACAGTACGTAGCCATACAACTAAATTATCGTAATCATTTTTGCAAGGAAGGAAATCAACATCTGATCTTTGGCACATTTATGTTAAATTTGACACATCACAGCAAATAACTGAACACTACAAACATATAAACCTCCATATAAAATAAGTTTTGTTTTGTTAAAAATATCTGTTTTGTATGATAATATTATTTCTTTAAAAAAAAATACTTATACATATTATATTTTTCCAAAAATATGCAAAAAGGAAGTGGTGAATATTACATGTATTTCAGTCTATAACAATAGAGAGGTTTAGCAAACCAACGTGTACGCGTACGTGTACGTGTAGCACCAGAAATCTGTGCATTACGTCATCACTTTTTGCTAATGACGAATTTCTACACGTATCTTCTTATAAATTACGTGTACATTGCCAAATACACGTAAGTTAAAACTTGTAGCTTATAATTCTTTAACTGCTGTTTATTTTTCAAAAAGTGTGCTTTTTGCTGAAACCTGAATATTTAATGCAAATACTGATATAAAAACTGAACGTCAGTAATTGAAAAATATTAAATTATAGGGAGTTAAAATTACAACATCTAGATTTTCGAAAAAGACTTTGACCGATTGAAAATGTAAGAACTCTGTACAATCTTTTTTTCATAAGTACATGCATATATTTATGTAGAACAATGATATACGTATTAAAATTATTGCTTCTGCAGATGATTTTTAAATGTAAACCACTTTTACATTTAAAAACTTACAAGTACAAGTACAGGTTATACTTTGCTAAACAAGAAAAAAATGTTAACGTGTACGTGTAATTATAACTTGTAGTTTACACGTACATGTACACGTACAAGTGAGCTTGCTAAACCTCTCTATTATATCAATTCACAGCACTTAAAAAATATCACTAAATAAAGGCACCCTGCATCAAATCCAGTTTATATTACTAGAAACCCTGTGAAAAATAAGTCAGGGAAAGTTGAAAGCAAATTATTATTTGTAAACACTGGTTTCAACTGTTGAAACTGTAAACCTGCAAGCATCTACAGAACAGTCTAATATAAAATGCTGATCTAATATATGTAAATTCTGTTAATGTTATAATATTACATGTAAATATATAGATTTCTTTTTGCACACATATTGCAGTTCATGGACACAATTACCTGTAGCTCATAAATCTCGAACCACTGTTGTCAACTGAAATGCACCTATATTTTCATATGAAAAAAAAGATGCCATATTCTTCCAAATGAGGAAGATATCGAATCAAGAAAGCTGTTTGAGCTATCTTGAAATATTGTGTAGAATTTGTGCTAGTAAAATGGACTTTATAAACAAAACATCAGAAGACAGTTTGTTATGAATTAATGTACGTCTACGAAAAAACAACTACAGTACTCCTTTTGTTCAATCTGAAATAGGTCAAATGGGGACAACAATTAATTTATGTTTGGATAGTTTTTTTTCAAATATGATTTTACCATTCACATACTGTAATAAAATTTAAGCTGTATTTCTCTACAAGAATACAGATTATACCCGTCACCAAAAATCACAGTTTAATTCTTCTTACATGCTGTCCGGTAATGTTAGTGAAATAAAATGTACAAAATGAATTCTCTCAAACATATATGCACTCATTTCGGTATCATTATATGTAAACAAACAGCACCAATATTCTAGATTTTATGTTTTTAAGTGCCCAACAAAAACACAACAATTTCATGCACCCCAATGCTTTCATAATTTCCATAGCAAAATCATAATATATCATTATACTTCAATTTATTTGAACATAATAAACCCTATGTGCCACAATTACTGCTATGTTTCTGAAATCTTTGAAATTAATATTCAAACTTGGCATTTAAAACTTGGGGCTATTTTAATTTAAGTTTTCCTGGCATAAAACTGAATCGATGAACATGCAGTTTTAAAGATCAAATATATATTCTGTACCACACTAACTCCTCTCAATTAATTTGGGAAATGGACCTACAATTGGGTATATTTTTACTGGAAGAAGTATTAGGTAACTGAAGTTCCTTTCAATGCCTTACAGAGGCAAAGTGAACTTCCATAATAGCCCATTATCTGCATCCTTGTACTTGACAAACGTGACATTTAGTCACTGCTAGCAGACATTGGTGCAGTACATCTATAATTAAATTGTTGCAGTATTTGGCACAGCTACATATTTCATTGCATACATACAATGAGATCATGATTATCTAAATGGCCACTTCTACATGCATCACAAAAACACTTCATAAATAAATCTAATATAGTCCTAATAATGAATCCTAAGGGAAATTTTCCTTATTTTTTCTTCTTTTTCCCTTTTCCTTTTTTCCCTTTCTTTTTCCCAGCATCAGGCCAACCAAACCCTCTCTTGTCAAGAGCATCAGGAGCATCATGTGCAATGTAGTAGAGATTTTCCATGGCAGCTGGACTCATTATGTCAGGGGCAGATTTATCTCCCTTCTCTGACTTTGCTGACTGACTCCTCGACTTGGCCGATTTTTTCCCTCCTTTCTTCCCCCCTTTTTTCCCAGATTTTTTCCCAGACTTCTTTCCTCCTTTTTTCTTTCCAGGCTATAAAAGAAAGTGAATTAAAAATATCTTATTTAAATCAAAATCACCTACTAATCTTAGGCCAAGCTTAAAAAATTCTTTCTTTGCAGTTGCCGACCTATGATTTTCAGACTGGGTAAGTAGGTAGGCATTCTTTTTTTTCTTCGAAAAAAAAAATTATTTTCAGACTTCTGTTATAGATAACATAAAATAGAGTTCTTCATAGGTTTACTATACATGAATATTTACATTTCCAATGTCTTTGTCCGAGATAAAATTACCAATTGTAAATGTACTTTATTTCCCTATCAATGTTTTGGCGCGGTTCCAAAAAAACCACGTGCAGGGCGGTACAAACAGCTAGGCAGAAGCAGGGCTTGGAGCACGTGGATTGGCGGAATCAAAGCATGTAAATATAAGGAATAACTGTCAGATTTTTCATTTTCATGAAGATGATCAATCGATTGGCTTTCATGATAATTATATGCATAAACGCCTTCGGCGTTTATGCAAATTATCACGCAAGCCAATCGATTGATCACTTCATGAAATTGAAAAATAAGACAGTTATTCCCCTTAAATACGCTCCACTCTTGGTATAAACTACTGATTGATAAAGAAAAAATTGAAAAAGAAAGTTTCAATATCCCGAAAAATTTGAAAAAAAAAAATTACAAAATTGCTAAAAAAAAGTTTGGGTCAGGTGCATTTTCAGTGGGTCGGTAGGCAACTGCAAATAAACAATATTTCAATTTAGGCCTTATCCATAAATTCTAAGAAAATAAAAAATAAATATTATGTATACATAAAGAAACTGACTGAATATTGTATTCTATATTTAATAAACTTTCTTCATTTTTTCCCCTTTCATGACTTGTAGTTGTTGGTATTCTGCATTTTGATTTGTTACACTATAAATTAAGTTTATTAGGATAAAATAAATACCATATCTGGGTGTATTCCTGTCATCAGAGTACTGAAGTTACTGCATAGTCTTTCTTCTTTAAGTTACCAGGTCATTGTCAGCAACAAGGTCACTTAACTATCATTTTCTTCATTTATCCTTTTAAAAAAAAAAGTTCAATATACCATTTTTTTAATTTATTCTCCCTTCATACTACTAAAGACAGAAAACTGGGCTCTAAATTTCATACATGTTACTGAATATTGTAGTCAAATGAATGATTTTTTTTTTTTTCAAAAAAGATTAATTATCTTAATATCATTAGATAATGTTAATTAAATCCAAGTCCAAATCAGTTTATTTTCACTGGATGCAAAAACCTTTCCAATTGTGTGACTTTTAAAAATAACATTTTTATTGCTCTATAGTGAACCAGTTATTTCGAAAAAAAAAGGACTAGTTTTTAATGCAGCAAACTTCCCTTCGTATATTTTTTAGTGGTTATATTTAGAGAGTATTGCTGTGCAATATTACGTGATCGAGTCCGCTTAGATGAATCGTTCTTCGTAAAATACGTGAATGGATAAAGCTTGAATAATTTAACGAGTTAGCGAAGATAATTATCCCTTACCTTAGTAAATTAATTATTTATTCTTGCATACCTATCAGTTTAGAGACGCCGTCGTCATTGGTGACAATAAAACTTCCGGCAGTCAGTTCATCAGTAGATCGTACATATTCTATTCGTGATTAAACCCTAACCCCACGAAGACATACTTTTTTACGATTTTGATACCGTGAATAAATTTTGTGACAAGCTATAGCTACTTAAGATCAGATGACATGTGTTCCTCAAGTGCGTGTTTTTTTATCTCTTGGTAATATAACCAGTATATTTGAAAAAAAAAATCATAATTTTCATTTTCTAAATTGTACTCTTTAAAAGTCTTCTTTTTTTTTGTTTAGACAATATAACTGCACTAAAAATTGGGACATCAGCAATCCAAATGTTTACCCATTAGGATTGAAGAAAGAACTATATGCGGTATATTGCATATATTTGCCCAAATGCCTGGTATACATGTACCTCAATATTTTTTGAGGAAAGAGGCAAAAGTCAAATTTTGAAAACTTTCTGAAATGTGCTGAATTCAATAAATTGTATGAGAAATATAAATTAACAGAAAATATTATAGTGTCAAAGCAGTGTATTCACAATTTTTGTTTTTATGACGTCACAAACTAGTCCGATTTTATATCCTTTTTCAGAAAGAGGACAAAATTTCACCAATTTTAGCTTTAAAATTTATAGAGCGCAAGTTTGTTCAGAAACAACATTGACATATTTCATTGATATTATCATTCTACACATTATATCAAAATATTGATCCTGAACACACATGCGCTCGGTGACTTTTACTCAAAATATCGACGAAATATGTACAATTTTCTGTAAAATTCATAAAAAACTGAAATTTACGTCATGTTTGTGACGTCATTACGTACATATGGCATCATTACTAATGAAAATATTCAGTGCTTTGAAGTCAGCATATACTCCCCTGTTTAAGAACTTAATTAAATATATCTCCATCAAAGTTTGATTGGGGCTATGTAGTCTTAATATGAATGTTTTTTCCTTCAATTTTTTAAGGGTTTACATTCGTCTTACCTAAAACAGTGTCAAATATATGCAATATACCGCATATAGTTCTTTATAGGAAATATAACCTGATGATAAGACTGGTATAATGTATATTACCCCTGGAAAGGTATACATGTACCTCAATATTATTTTAGGAAAGAGGCTTTGATGCAAGACTTTTACAAGAGAAGACTCACTACATTAATAATATTCCCCAAGAGGAAGTCTTGCCATACAGTGCCCTCCATCCACAATGGCAAATTGACTGAAAGTTTTTTTTCCCCTTTCATGTAGATCAGTGCTATCAATTTTCAGTTGGAAGACCAAGATCAAGAATGCATGTATGTAAATAAGCATGAATTAACAAACAGTCTAAAAATATATATAATTCAATAAATAAATACTAATAATTTGTTGAGATCAATAATATTTCTCTCCTGTCCAAGAACACATTTTAGTGACCTGACTTAATTAAATCTGAGTCATTAATCTGAACTAATTATATTCCTTTTCAGGATTTCAAGTTGAAAATTTGGCATACAATTTAACAAAATTTTATTCTATGTCTTCAAAGATGAGCAGTCTCAGTAAACAAACTGAAAAATAGTAGTCATATTTAATTATATATTTAATAATTAAATACTATGGTAGGTCATGTATGAATATTGCATACATAAACAAATAAATATACAACCAATTACAAACATGATATCAAATTCATATACAAATGCTGATCATGAAAAACTATATTTTTATGTGCCAATACAATGTACTTGATTTGTTAGTTAATTTCATGATGAAATGACTAGCTCCAAGGTTTTTTCCTTCAATTTTTTAAGGAGGTATACGGGAGGTAAAAAATGGGTGGAGTTAATGACATTCCTTTATTTAAAAAAAAAGTTTCATACAATCAGTGTCCTAAAACAGTGCCATGAAAGCACCAAGTCCCCCATAGTCCTGGTTCTGGCCTTGCACCATGTTTTGTTGTAAAGTGGTATTTGGTTGCTGTATGCTGTGGTGAGCTACATATGCCTGGTGTTCATCATGAATTATCGTCATTGCAGTGGAAGTAGGGGCAGAATTCTGTGGGGCATCAGCAATGTTCAATCTATTGTTCCCCACAGCAGCATCTACTATCTGGTCAGCCATGATGGGAACATTGACAATTGTCATGCCTTCCATATTTCCGCCATTGCTGTTCTCGGCAAGATGCATGCGAATGTCTTGAATGAAGGAATTGAAATCCGACTGCCTTGGAGGATCTTTGTCCTGAATGGTGTACGCTCCGTGATCACCCTGACCCTGTACTTGAGCGGGGGGCATTGTGTAGGCAGCATGATCGAAATGCGGGAACGAAGGTGGTGCATGCTTAACCTTACGGGTTCGTGGCTTCCTCTGTTTGTATGGCGTTTTCACCGAAGGCTCTGGACCATGATGCTTTGCAAAGTGCTCCTTCATCTTATCAGGGCGAGTTGTCTTGTAGTCACATTCTTGACATTGGTAGGGTTTTTCGTTCAGGTGGATTTTTTGGTGTCGGACTAGATGGCTTTTCTCAATGAAGGCTTTGTTACATGTGGTGCAAATGTGTTGGCGGATATTGAGGTGGCTCTTCATGTGACATTTCAACTGACTTTTCTTTGGAGTTCTGTAGGTACACTGTGGATAGCTGCATGGATACAGATCACCTGAAAAATTCCATTACATAGAGGTAAAGCAAGGACACCAACATATTAGCTCTTATTTTCCCTGTATTATGCAAGGACACTGTCTATTCTGACACACCTTGCACACTTCATTTCACTATGAATTTTAACACTTATTTTTATATTCCCCTTTTTCCATTTTCCATGTTCTTAACATTGTCTAATCTTACACTCTGTCTACTTCAAAGCAAAATATGTCTCCCGGTGCATGTTTACTTAAAAGCAGGTTTCACTGTACAAATATAATTTTAAAAACTGCCAAATCATTACACCCAGAAAATGAATAGATGCTTTTTTTGGTTACTTAATACCCAGAGGTAGATCAGAGTAACAAAGAGAAAATACATTGTATAATTATATCTCACCTGTGTGTATTCGTTTATGAGAGATGAGGTGAGACTGGAACTTTGAGGAGAAGCCACACTGATCACACAAGTAAGGCCTGTCACTGCTGTGTGTCACCATGTGTTGCTCCATTGTGTTCTTTGTGGCAAAAGTTCTGTGGCAAATATCACACTCAAATGGCCTCAGTCCTACAAAATCAAAAGGTACATTGTAAAATGTTAAAAAATTTTCTATCGTAAGAATTATTTGTTTGTATATATTATTTCATGATTTTGGTCTACTTTTTTTCTCACAAGCACAGTACCGACAATTAAACCTTCAAACCTTTTTAAATAATCAGACCTCAATTTACACTACTGCACAGAGGATCCTCTATGTGATAGTGTAAATAGGTCTGGTTTAGTCTGATTGTTATAGAGGGGACATTAAAAAATTTGAATAAAATATCTAACGAAATTGTAAGTAATAAAAGAGCAAATACGAAAAAGAAGTCAAACCTGAATGAACTTTTATGTGAGCCAGCGCATTGTTTCTGGTTTTGAACCGCTGATCACAGAAATCACAAGCATGCGGGCGATCCACAACATGCTTACTTCTATGTGCCAGGACTACATGCAGCTTCTTGTCAGTAAAGTCACATTCTAAACATTTAAATGGAGGACCTCGGAAATGGGCTTTTTTCAGGTGATCAGTAAATCCTTTGTTCCATTTTGTTGAGTAGTTACAGAGCATGCATTTGTAGGTCATGTGACATTCATGAATACGCTTTACATGAGTTTCAAGTCTTGCTTTAGTGTCTGTTTCATATTCACAAAGGTCACACTGTATTGTTGCCTTGTTTTGGATTTTCTTTCTACTAGGATGTATCGATGCTAGCCTCGACGGTCCTAGCCTCGGGTATTTCTTCTTCTGGGCCCGACTGGAAGGCTTGGCTGGTCTGCTGGATCTCCTGATACTTCTTTCTTTGGTTTCTGGTTTTCTTTCTTCCTCAGGAACCCATTCTTCTTCCGATTCAGCCAGCATTTCTGGATCCTCGTAATCTGCACCTGTGTTACCGAGATTGTCTTCTTCCTCCCCATCTTCCTGATCTTCCTCTCCATCATTCTCATCTTCTTCATCTTTTTCTTCTTCTTCATTCTCATCCTCTTCCTGGTCTTCATTAACAATATTTTCATTTTCCTCCTCGTTTTCATCCTCTGGATTTTCTGCAGCTTTTGTTTGCTGCTCCTCTTCCTCTCCTTCTGCCTCATCTTCGTCACTCTCTGAAACAGGCTCTGGTTCTCTCTTCACAGATCTTCTTCCTCTTCTAGAAAATCTACGTCTTTTCCTGGATGATCCCCTGTCCCTTTCTTCATCCACAACCTCCTGGACATGAATTGATCTCTTTCCTCTCCTTGGGGAGATTTTGACATTTTTCTCCATGACGGCTTCTCTCTCTGGTGACCTTGTTGATGCCCCTTTTCGGCGAGGTTTCCCTTTTCGTTTATGAGACTTGCTTTCTTCCTCAACAAACTTCCTTTGAGATTTGCTTTCCTCTTCAACATGAAAATTTTCAACTGTCTGTTGCATAAAACCTTGATTTTGATAGTGCAATTTGTTTTCTTTTTCCACCTCATGAATTTGTCTTTCATAGATGTTGGTTTGTTGGGTAGATGGGCTAAATACAGCACTTCGTAATTCCTCCCATGTCTTTTCAACCTCCATTGTTGTATGGTAATAGTTATCTGTGCCCACGCAAGCATCTGACCTTAGAAACTTGGTACAAACTCCAGACGCAGTAACTGGGTAAAATTCTTCTTCGTATGCCTCAATTAAGCCCGCTATGACCATATCATTAAGCATGTGTGAGTAAGTTTGGCGAAGGCTCGGAAAATGGTCTGTGTATGGACCAAGTGATATACCAGAGCTGTACAATGTCTGCAACAACAGATAGAGACTTGATTCGTGGGTTGTAAAAAAGTTCTCCGTTCTGCTAATTTCCAGCAGGAAATCACTTGCTACGATCGACCAATCAATATGCCTCAACAGCTGGATGAGAAAACACTCCCGATCTCGAACCTCGTACCCCACCCAGCTTATGATAAGGAAGAGTTTGATTTCGGGCTTGAGATCCACCATGTAGCCTTTTGATAGAATTGCATTGAAGCGATCTGCTGGAAGAGTTAGGAATTCATTCTGTTTCACAACATCAGATAAGTTTGCCTGGATAAAGCTTACAATGAACTCCTCCAAGGACTTCAGGTTGTACTTTCTGGACAAGAAATAGGTGCTCAGAAAATTTCCCAAATGTAGGTTACTTCTCAAAAATTCTTCACAGTAGTGTTTCAGAAGATCTATCTGAAAGCTCACTGCCAAGTGAAGAAGCTGCAGAAAATTCGTCTCCCTGGGAGCAATTGTACCAGAGTATAGAAAGTCCAACAAATCCGAGAAGACCTCGTAACTGTCATAATTCACAATCAACAGATCCCTCATCACATTATTCTCGCTTAGAAGCTGGCAATCAAAGTATGGACTCCAAGCGGCCAATATATTTCGGTGAGCATGAAATCGGACTCCTTTCACATCAATGGCCAGATCACAGTACTTTCCCCTGTCTCTCAATGCTCTCATTTTTTCCAGAATCTGAGGTTTCATGAGCTTGGTTTCAGAACTAGTGGTGCTGGTTTTCAGAGTTGTTCGTGGGATACTGTTAGTGGGAACCATTATGTACCCTGGTGTTTTGGTGTGAGTGAAGTGGGTCGTTGATACCGAGTGCAGCTCACTTGAGCGTGTGGGTAAGCCAAGAGACTGAGTATGAGATGAGCCCTGTGGATTGTGCTGGGCTATCATAATGTTCTGGGGCAATGGCTGCCCCGTGTAAATCCCTATGTTCATATTTTCTGGGATGTTGTAAGCCATGATTAATTCATTTCTTCATACTGCCCTCTTCAATAATTTCATGTGAGTGATGTCCTGATCATGTTCATTTTCTATCTCTGAAAAAAATAAGATTTCATTAACCCAATTTAGACCCAATATGACAATGTACATTATACAGGATAGAAAATGTGTGCATTTTACATGTTTTAGAGAAAAGGATTTGAACAAAAATGAACAAATTATAGCACAGTAGTATTGTGCTTTGGATGCACAATGCCTAGATAGTATTAAGGGTTTAATACAGTAAAACTTGGTTATAATGAAGTCACTGGGACCTATGAAATTACTTCACTATATCCGTAATTCGTTATATCCATAAAAGGAATTCTTATTCATTCAATTTATATAGCTGGGGACCCAAGATAACTTCACTTTATCCGTGAATTCGCAATATCCGTGTTCTTACATGTACTATAAATGAGTTTTACTGTATTTGGTCACAGGTTATAGGCTATCCCTAGTGTGTGTGCTGTAAGATTTTCCCCCAGAAGGTTTCTACATAGTCTACTATATGATATACATTGTAATTCCTTAGAAATCAATGTAAAAAAATTTTAAATAGAAACTCACAGGGATCAAAAATTAAAGTAATTTATTAGTATAAGCAATAATCTGCAATATTGTGTTTAGCCATTTTTTAAAAAATGGTTTGCCCTCTCCTCAGACCACAAGCGCTTGCTCCTGACCAACTATGAAATAAATATCTTTTTTCACACCCCTTTTCCCTCATTTTTTCAACAATTATTTTGAAAATTTCTAAGAAAAAAATTACCCAATACCTAGCTAGCTACCAACCCAATTTTTTTTTTTTTTTTGCTACGAGTTGAAAGAGAGCAAATTAACACATAATAATATTATCAAAAAGATGGATTTACTGGGGGTTTACTAATGCTATCATCCTCTGTATTCAAGTCCTTTTAATTTTAATGGTAAGAAACTTTTTATGAGCTAAGACTTGATTATACCCCCCCCCCCTTTACTCTTATATAAAACGCTATTTAGAATTTTAATTCAAAGGATACTAAATGATCAAGTAACATTGTCTTCTTTTTTTTAAGTATTTTTCCCTCTTGGTTTTGATTTGTTTACATGTATGTTTGTGTTTATATTACATAAAGTAGGAGTGGATCCAATGGGGGCGTGTATATGTATATTTCAGTTTCACTCATTATCCCTCCATTGTGTGTCCCATTTGCAGTGAACATGCAATGACTGCAATAAATACCTTGCAATAATTTGACGTTTTAAATAAAAAGAGCATTGCAATCACTTTAAAATTTCTTTTAAAAATCGAAAGTTGAGTGAAAGGTAAACTAACATTTCTGAAAAGACCCCTCTCTTGACTCTGTCACACATTGAAGCAAGACTGTAAAGTAAATGTGACGTCACAAATAATGGTACAAGTTTTCCAACTCGTAAATTTTCACAAATTCAAATGTTTACATGCAAAGGGCATCACCAGTGACGTCTAATAACTTAAATGAATCAAACTGCCATACAACAAAACTATTTTGAAAATATAAAAATTTACAAAACAAGTAAACATTACAATCTTACATTGATATGTTCCCCAAGCGCCATGTAGACGGATGTGACGTATACATTTATTTGCATAAGATGTTAAGTTGTTCGTGTTTTGTTCGTTTTGGACATTTTGGCGAGGGTCATGTTTATTATCTTTAAAATAATCACTATCATTCCTAAAAAGTATAGTATACACTTATCCAATGGTTGTGAGTGGGATAGCTCTTTTATCAAACCCGCGACTGGGAACTATTCCCCGAGGGCTTGCCCGAGGGGAATTTCCTGTCAAGGGTTTGATAAAAGAGCTATCCCACTCACAACCATTGGATAAATGTTTTATTATACTGATGTATAATACCGTCGAGGGTACAGTTTTTGAGGTTTGATTTTTTCTGAGTAAGATAATACTACAAGAATCATCTGACATCATGATGACGTCACAATGCTACTGAAGTCATTATGACATCATCAGTCAATAGATTTATCGCTGGAAATCAAAATTGGTGGCAAAAATTGCATGAAAATTCTCCGAGGGTGGATAGCAAAAACTATACCCCGGGGTATAGCTTTGCTATGCGTGGACTATCAAAGATAGCTATTTTACCTTCTTAACTTTATATAGGAAACATTTTAACAGAAGTATAATAATTTCAGTTATATCTTTGTCTCCTTTGAAACTTTACTACTTGTAGAGTTTATGTACATAGGTGCGGTACATCTTTTTTAAACATGGCATTTATTCACTGGAAGTGTCTGAATCTTAAAAATAAAGATTTTGACACTTTCAGTTTTTTTTAAGTGTATCTAAATACGATTTCAAAGCGTATAAGGATCAAACTACTGAAAATAAAACGTTAAAAGGTATTATTACAACAGATTAATCAATCTATGGGTTAAAAAACATGAAAATGCGTTATAACGTCTTTTCAAAAAGCGTTTTTTATAAACGCGATAATAGGCGTAATTTACCGCGAGGTGAAAAGGTATGGCATGCCAAATTCACAAAAATGAGTTAAACATAGTTTCACAGTCGATGAACTAGGTTTATCGGCTGTAAACTATAGTTTACGGACTGTAAACAAGAGTTAACGACGTTAATCTATATTTTACATCTGTAAACCATAGTTCACGCGATAATCTATGTTTCAGAACCGTAAACTAAATCTAACACTGAAAACAATTATTTGCAATTGCAAAACATAGATTATCTGATAAATACAGTTTCACGATTTGTAAACTATGGTTTACAACTCTTAACTATAGTTAAGGATCTGATAAATAGTTTCGCGATTTGTGAAACAATGATTAACAACTCTTAACTATAGTTCACGATTGTAAATTATAGTTTACAGACGTAAATCTATGTTTAGCAACAAAATCTATTGTTAACGTTTTATTACAGACAGATAAACTTAGATTAGCATTCGTAAACTATAATTAACAACCGTTAAATATAGTTTTTACAGATGAAAACTATAGTCAATGAATTGTTAACTATAGTTCACGGTTTGTATACTATAGTTTACAGCCGATAAACCTAGTTTATTAACAGTGAAACTAGATTTAGCTCATTTTTGTAAATTTTGGGGTGCCATGAAAAAGGCGTTGTAACCCCAATAAAGGCAAACTAACACGAAACGTAGGCTTTTGCAGATCATCAACTACACAGAGAAAATTAATTACAGTGTACATCATTTTAATGTTTATCTTAAAATTTACATGTATTTCTTGAGAATAAAAAAGTTACTTTTAAAAATTGAATAAAATACAGCATGTACAGAGCGTTTGAAAGTCATTCAATATATCAACTGTTACTCTACAGATCAAATTAAGTGGCAGGCTAAAAGTATGTTTTCTTCGATAATTCAATCAATCATTTGCATCTCTTCAGTGGTTAGTTCTCTCTCAGTAGGTGGACTTTGAAACCTGAAGCACTTGCATCTGTTTTTCTTGTAGCAGCAGTAGTACAGAGTAATGGTGGCAAGTATTACAACAAAAACTGTCACACCACTAATCACACCCACTATTACCCAGATATGGTCTGAAATACAATTGAAAAATATCTGAAATTCAATACACATTCAATAGTGAGCACACACTTGCAGGGACTTATTAACATAATGCGTCTCCCTTCTTCTCCTCGAAAATATATGGCAATGTTACTTTTGTTGGAAATCAAGTGCTAATTTAATGATGTCAAACCACAGACGCTTGACGTTTTTAACCTTTCTTTTCAAAAATAAAATTTCCCCATACTATCATAATTTTGAAATTAAAGGTTAAAAACGTCAAGCGCCTGTGGATTGGTGCTTAAAAAGTGTCAAGTATATTTCATTTATAAGTTTATTTATTTATTTATTTATTTATTTATTTATTTATTTATTTATTTTTGTAACAAGAGCTTTGTCGGTTTTCAACAATTTGGAATTTCAACTATGGTACGTTTGAAGAAAAAAAATCAGAACATTATAACCACCTCTTCTCTTTTGTATTTAAGAAAGAACAATGCATGTATGAATATTTCACTTATCTCTTCTTGAACTGTGCAAAAAAATCAATATCAATAGTTTATAGTAAACAATATAACGTTTAGCGTGAATAACTGTTAATGAAAACAGTCAATAACTTACTATGTTTTGATAATACTTTGATTTGAAAACTGTACCCCTGTGCGTTGATTTTTCCTTTATAAAGTTGTATGGTCAAGTTAGGGCCTGGACTACACACACTTCCCGGAGAGTCCCCACACATGTATCTCTCCTACAAACAAATCAAAATAAACAAATAATAAATTAATATATAAATATTTGAAATAAATAAATTTTAAAAAGACCAAATAACCCAAAGAAAGGACTGTCTTAAAATCCTTTAGAAACAATATTTTTATATATAGAATGATTTATATTAGTCTTTTTGTTGCACACGAAGATTTTTGGAGGTCATATGATTGGATCAAAGTGAAATTTACAGATGTCTGAAATATTTAGTATATTCTTTACTAGGACTGTTCAATAAATAATGTCCTGAACTGTATGAAATGCAATACAGATATCATATGACATTAAGCTTGACTTTCTCTTACTATTGAATCTTTATAACAGTTTATGTGACCATTTTTCATCACATAGTTTCATTGTGAGAAGCTGGAAAACAAGAGCTATTCGAGACACTGCATTATAAATGAATGGTAAAGACTCAGTAAACTAGAGTAAAAATAAAAGCTTCATTAAAGCTGCTGTAAAACTTGTTAAAAATCTCAAAGAAATATTCACTGAAATATGTGAAATTTACAGCAACCAATGTCTGTTTTATAGACAAAGGAGCAGGTGGATTTAAATGATAAAAAATTATATAATGGGCATCAAAAATGGGTACCGTCCTTGCCAACAAAAAATTATAACAACTTGTGAACTGTTTGCCTAATTTCAAAAAATAATATCTGATGATGTATGATAAAGTCAGATAGCAAATTTTATAGACATCATTTCGGGAGTAGTTTACACTGTTTTTAAGATACGTTTGACGGTAAAAAAGCTTAGTACTCAAAGGTCACCCTATATTTTGAAAAATGAGTGAAAACGACAGCGTGTACGAATGTCTTAACAATTATTTAAAAATATCAATAATCGTAGTTATCCACATTTGTTTTAAATTGAAACAAACATGAATTTATTGCTTAAAACCCTCGAAATAAAATTTACCATAGGATGTTCTTGACAAAAACAACGAAGGTCTGACATGCAAGAGCAAACAATTGCAAGAGCACAAAGACAGATTTATGCAATTTTCTTAAATATTAGTGGTATTGTTGTTCAAATTCGTATACGGGGAGACAGTTTAATTTCTGGGGGAGTCTAGAAAGCAAATTTTTTGCAAAAAGTTTGAAAGTTTTATTAGAGGATTAAGGACCCAGAATCAGGAATCCCCTACATTAATTGTCTTATGACAGCGTCCAAACCCGCAGGCCCTGAAGAGTAAAGGAGTTTTAGGGATAAACAGAAAGTTAATGTTTTTTTCATATTAACAATATTCGCCAGATCTTTAACCTTTTGACTTGTTTCTATTTCCAAACTTAAAACACCTTTCAGAAAGAAGAAACAAGACCAGGAAATCATAGGATCTGCCATTTTCCAGTATACTAAGGGTCATACTCAAAACAATCAGAAATTGCACGGACACGTGTTTTAATTAAAAGAGAATATTAAGTTAAATCATTAAGACTAAATCATTGAAAAGCGTCTTTTGCTTATTTCCGAGCACCGAAGACATTATTTATTGAACAGCCCTCGTATATATACAATACTTACAAAAATGTTACTTTCACTCGGTTCTCTCTTCAGATCTATGAGTGACTTTTCGTGAAAAAAATTTCAACTGAACAGAGCAGTCAGTAATATGGAAGTCTTTAATCTCTGCACAAACGTGATTTTCACTATTGGTTTTGAAGCGCAACGAACACCTTTTTGCTGTATATCCGAACATTTTCCAATGCATGCTGCCTTTAGCATGTATAATGTATTCCTCATGTTGAATATCGAAAAATATCGACTTCTGACAGGCTTCAAAGTCATCCATGTATACTGAAAGATATAACATTTATCAACCATGTATACTGAAAGATATAACATTTATCATCCATGTTTACTGAAGTATATAAAATTTATCTTACGTGGAAAGATATAAATTTTATCATCCATTATGACATGTACACTATTACTAGTATGTTTAACATTTATCATCCATGTACACGGAAAGATATAACATATATCATTCATGTATTGAAAGATATAACATTTATCATTTCTGTGCATTAAAAGATGTAACATTTATCATCCATGTACACTGAAAGATACATGTACACGCATAGCATTTATGATCAATTGCAATGTACTCTAAAAGATATATATAGTATGTATTATTCGTATGCACGGAAAGATATAACATTTATCACCCATGTATACAAAAAGATACGTGTACATGTATAACATCTTTCACCCGTGTAGTCATTTTTTTGGTTTCATGATGTGATCAATCGAGTGGCTTGCATGATAATTTAAATTAAGTTATTTCTTATATACATACACGTAATATTATATCATTTCGCAACACATGTACAGTGCTAGTGTTTTTGGTATTTTCATAAAATATTATTGCATATAACAACTAAATTTGCTCTATTTTTTAAAAAGATATATGGAAACATAAAATTACGTTGGCATTTAGTGCTTGTTTTTCTTCCATCTCTCGTCGCCCGCGCGTGGCGCAGTGGTTAGAGCGTTTGCACTACAGTCTGCGAGATAAGGAGTTGATCCTTACGTCGCGGGTTCGAATCCAACTGTGGGACGTGGAAACCGGTTCTTCGGATGAGACCGTATAAACCGAGGTCCTGTGTCGCAGTAGGTACTGGCACGAAAAAGATCCAACAATGCTCAATGGCCCTGAGTGCCGAGTATAGGACAAAAATTGCAGCTCTCCAGGAGTTTGTATGTTTGTTCAAGAAAACTTGAGCTTTAACATTGTCCATAAGCTTTGATTGTTTGAATCTCAGACTTTCACGTTCTCAAGTGTTTTTCTTGTGCCAAGACTTGGGGGGGGGGGGTAACATAGATGACCTCTTGACCTTGACATCTAAGTTTTACAACTTCAGCAAAATTTTACCAAACTTTAAACTTGACCGTTAAGGTTGAACCACAGGCGCTTGAAGATTTAAATCTTTCTTTTCATAAACTAGACCCTCCGTGGGGATCCGGGTTAGAATAGGTCCTCAGTACCCCCTTGCTTGTCATAAAAGGCGACTAAATGGGGCGGTCCTTCGGATGAGACCGTATAAACCGAGGCCCCGTGTCACAGCAGGTGTGGCACGATAAAGATCCCGCCCTGCTCAAAGGCCGTAAGTGCCGAGCATAGGCCTAAATTTGCAGCCCTTCACCGGCAATGGTGACGTCTCCATATCAGTGAAATATTCTGGAGAGGGACGTTAAACAGTATACAATAAATCAATCAATCATAAACTAGAGGTACTGTGAGCAGTGAGCTCACTTAATGATAACCCCGCCTCCCAAATGAATATAATGGCAGTGTCCATGTTTTGCTATGGGAAACCCAAAATATGTGTCGAATCAAAAAGTAAAATAAGAGGTGCACAATGGCAATATGTAATAAAGATTCTGTGAAAGTTTCATCAAATTCATTCATTGGTATGAGAGGAGTTGCGGATAAGAGATGGGTACTCAAATGATTTTCTGTTACAGACGGACGGACGTAGAGACGGGCGGACATGCCGGACCGATTACTATATACCCTTCCGCTTTTAAAGTGTGTGTGTGAGGGGGGTTATAAAAAAAATCCCATAATAACCGTAACGTTGTTATAATAGTATGGGGAATTATTTATTTATGAAAAGAAAGGTTAAAAACGTCAAGAGCCTGTCCTTTGAACGGTTGTTGTTATGGCTTTCATACTTCACAAGAGCATTCCATGCATATAAGACCGTTCATTGGGTATACGGTTTTAAGACACCCCTCTCTTCGAAACTTAAGATATTTATCAACATTGTCAAAAGGAGGGAGAGGGGTATTGTTGTCTTCACATTGTTTGCAACTTTTAAAGACAGCATTAAGGGTCATAAACCCTCTGCTCACTCATATGAAATTTTTCTTTAACTTTTATGATTTTCCAAAGGAAATGTATATATATACTGAATAAAATACAAACAATTATAGCATGGCTTGCGGGGCAAAATTTGACAAAAATGGCACTTAAGCTTGACAAATTTACAAAGGAATAATAGACATTTGTGTCATTAAGAGTTATCTCTCTTATCAGAGTATCAATGTACCTTAAACAAATACTAGAATGACATATTTAAAATCAAAATCAAATCTTTGTTATTTATAAACCTTTATCACATACTCACGTAAATACTCTGTTGCATATGCATATCCCAGAGATTTAGAAACACTAAAAATGCACAGAAAACTTAACAACGCCATGATCAGCCCAAACATACATTTTTTTATGATTAATCTTGAATCAAAAACTGAAACCAAGTATAACCCGTCATTTTAAAATCATCTCAAGGTGAATATTCGACGGAGATTTACCTAAAATATTGGACTTTTTCTGGGTATTTTCCCTTCCCTTCTATTCTTAGAATTCTATTTTTTAATTTTATAGCTTAATAAAATTTTTATAGGCAAACAAAAAAGGTTTTTAGTCCAGATAAGGCATGTTTTAACAAAAAAGGCATTAGCTTATCTTGTTGTAAAGTTTGAGTTACCGGGGTAACAGAATTTAATATCTAGTTGATTGAAATCACGTATCTAGGAAGTTCACCAAGTCCATTGAGTCTCCTAGATGGACGTTTATAAAAGGCTCATTTCTTTAAAACCTTGGTCATAACTTTTGAGTGGATGGGGCTTTGTTTTCTTATTTCACAGGTGTTCCTTCTGACAAAACATATTTATTTCTTCGGGTACTACCAAATTTGACCTCTTGACCTTAAAGTTTGACCCATTTAAAAAAAAACAATATTTGAGTGAATATTTGACTTTGTCCATTACTAACCTAAACCTCGGCCATAACATTTGAACAGTTAACGGTAGTACTTCGGTTTTCATATTTCATATTTCACATGTTTATACCTTTTTCTTGTTTTGATCAACCATTATGGCACCAAACTTTCCTTTAGGATCATGATTTTTATGCCATATCAGGAAGGTTATCTAAGGTTTCATTTTTTCCCTGGCCAAATGGTTCTTAAATAACCAATTTTCTTTCTTTTGTAATCATCTACCCTTGCAAAGTGTATGGTTCATCATCTGAACAACCTTCAATGCCTTCATTCAAAAATACTGTATGTCAGCTTTTACTGAAAATAGCCAATGGTTCTGGAAAAGAAGATGAAAATATGAAAGTTTACGATAACAAGGATGACAGAAGATGCACAAATTTTGATCAGTAAAAAATCACTTGAACCTTTAGCTCAGGTGAGCTAATATAGATTCTTCTTTGCTAAGTTGCATTTGTCTGTACATTAGCAATTACAGTATCTCATTCTATGGCTATCGTTTTTAATTATATGATAATAAATAATAATGATGGACAGCCTTGGTTAGTTATGGACCGGCGGGAAATTGTATACATGATATTATGATACCATTCAAATCCCAGAGGACTTTTCGTGTATAATATTATACTAGTACTAAAACATTGGTATTTGATGGATGTAAAGACACACATGCAAATTTTTGTATTTATACTCATGGACATCTTCAATGTAAAGACCAGAGACACTGTGATATGCTAATTTTTGTGAACCTTGTATTTCAGACATCAGATGTTTTATGATACACAAAACCATTTTCTCTTACAAAATTTTAAGGCTCGATCGATACCCATTTAATAAGACAGATAACTCTCACATAGATGTTGAGTTAAAAGGCCACTTCTGTCAAATATTAACCTGTAAGACATGCTAAAATTGTGTGCATTCTATTTTATCACCATCATGATTTTTGTTAAATAATTAACAAAGAAAAACTTATCTTAACACTTTTAAATGAAAATATAATGAAAGTCAAAAACAAAGGACACACGAACCATGACAGAAAACATCTTGAGACATAGTTTTAAAAAATATTAATTTTTTGTGTAATTTGACAGTTATAAAAAAAATCTTCACTCTTCTTTTTGTTCAAATACGCAGGGACTGATGGGCTTTTGCGAGAACTGCTGACTTGTACATTTGACGGCTTACTTTTACACTAGGACAATGTATAGAAAAGTTTTTAGGATATAAATATTTAGCCCAACATTTAATTCAACGAAAAAAATGGACTATTTTAAAGCACATATAAGTTGCCCTTGGAGAAAACGACAACAACCCTACCCTCAACTCCTAGCCTCCAACACCAAACCTATGACCACTAGAAAGGTTTTCTTAACTATACTCTTCAAAAAAAGAAACGCGTCGTAGAATTTTAGTGACAAATTGAACATAAAGATTATTTAGTAAAATGATGCATTGATAAAACAATATTTACATTTCCAATGTCTTTGTCCGAGATAAAATTACCAATTGTAAATGTAATTTATTTCTTCATGAATGTTTTGGCGCGGTTCCAAAAAAAACCACGTGCAGGGCGAGACAACACCTAGAGAGAAGCAGGCTTGGAGTCCGTGGATTGGCGGAATCAAAGCATGTAAATATAAGGGAAAACTGTCTTATTTTTCGAATTCATGAAGATGATCAATGGATTGGCTTGTGTGATAATTTTATATTCGGTGTTTATGCAAATTATCACACAAGCCAATCCATTGATCACTTCATGAATTCGAAAAATAAGACAGTTATTCCTTAAGAAATGTGGTAAGCAACAGGAATACTATCTAAATGTCATAATTACTCAACAATTTTAAAATTATGGTCAGTTTAAGTCCATTCAAGATCAATATCTGGTATGCCCCCCGCAGACACAAAAGATAGCCACAAACAGCATTTAATGGAAGCAAATGTGTGTAATAAAAACTGCATAGGAATACTCTCCCACTCCAAATGTAGAACTTAAGTCAGCTGTTGCAGAGTCTGGGGATGCGATTGTCTTTGGCAAATCATGTAAATCCATTTTGTTCAATGCTGCTTAATTTGGATTCAATTTATATAGCGATTTAGATGACTGTGACTGAAACAGGTTGTTGTTTCTTTGCAAGAATAGGTGTGTCAAACGAGCCATATGTGGCTGTGTATTGTGAGATTACAATACGGCTCTAGGATGCTGCAAAATTGAATGGATATGTGTAGGTAGAACATGGTTAGAGTACCTTTTTCCATCAAAGTCCATTCTATTCGAACCAAATCAATCTTACTTTCTTATAATACCATTTTTTATATATCATTACACTACCACCACCAACTTTTTAACGTCCTGGAGGCAGTTATCTATCTAACCTTCATTAAAAAGCATTAGCACTCTTAAACTTATAAGAAGCTTTCAGATAAATATTCTGGACTAGTAACTAGTAGGTTAACCAAAATGTTCAGCAGTGATTCTGTGGTCATACTCTATTCATCTGAGATCTTTGAAGTCGATATTTGGGGTGTTGTGGGGTCGGAACAACGGCATGAATAATCCTTTTGCAATAATTCGTAGTCAACTGAAAACGGTCTTGTTAGATGATCTGTGCAGTTCAGGGATAGCTAATGCTTAAGATGACGTCCTTGCATTACATTCATGCAATTTGCGTAATCCTCGGAAGTGATGCTGTGCTGCTGATGTCACACGTAGTCTACCATATTTTTTGCGAACATTGGGTGTTCGATGTTAATGGTTAATGTTTTATAGGCTAGATATGGTCTATGTGTAACATTAAAACCTCTTACAACTGTAGATTGCGGTACCCCTGCTTCCAGTAGCCCATTTTCCTTTTTGTGCCACACAACATTCAGATGCAACAATTTAAGGAAGCGTCATTTTTCAGATAAAACCAGATTCAAAATATCGAGAACCCCTGCTTTTGATAGCCCCTTTGTACCTGAAGGAATTGCATCGTAATTCAACAAATGAAAATTGAGATCAAAATTTTGAGGAAACTTTTGCAAAATCAGGTCTTTTTGTCTGTGAGACTTGTAGAATAGCTGTAAAGTTAACAATTGCATTAAAAAAGAATTCATTTCACTCGAATACATCGTATTCATACAAAAATAAAAGGTATGACAAAACTATCAAAAATTTTCAGGGCATTGTTTCTACTATGCGTTTCTTTTTTTGAAGAGTATATTATTCTGTTCCTCCGTAGATGATACAGGTTTTAATGTCAGTGCTTCTCGTATTAAAAAGTCCGATATTTAGAGCAGTGAGTAAAATTAATATTTCTATGACAATGCTAGCTTGGAAGATTCCAATGAACTTTTATAGAAATAAAGCTTTGATGATGAACTTTATGATTACAGGTATAAAAATTCTAACACCTTTTACCTTTCTCACATGCCAGACATGATTTTGAGTCAAAATGCATCACAAAACTATATACACTATTAAATACTTTCTTTAGAGAAAAACATAAATAGATCTTTTAACTAATAACATTCTCTTAAACCTATAATAAAGCAACTATACGAAGGTCATTCAAAAAATATGTAAACAATGCTTCTCATCGTCATATAATTATCACAAGATTATATATCAACACATTTTCGTAAACATAAACATTTATTTTGTCGAACTGTGAAGTTTCATTCCATTTAATGAAATAGAACTCATGTTAGCCAAAATTTAAACCAACATGTTTTGTTACCACAGAGCACGGTTAACCAACATTGTATCGTCGAAGACAACGTTGAGAAAGTTTGTCAAAATTATACTAATTTTCTTAATTACAAACACGGTTTGTAGTGTCTTCTCCATTAAAAAACCTATCCATAACACTTAACACCTAGTTTGCGAACAATTGTACAAATATAGCTTGAATAATTAAGAATGTCATTGTTTTTAAATTCTTTAATTTACCATGTAACACTATTAATTCTGCAACAATGAAGCACACATCACGTTCAATAACGTTCTTAACTCTTTCGACAATATTTTTGCTTTAACCTGTTTCTTTGCAGACAATCAATCGTCCAATTCAAACTCGCTACCATTCAAAAATTGTATTTTCCATTTAAAATAAATGCACAGATTATTTTTCATACAGATCCTGGTTAATGCGGATTTTTTAAGCTTGTAGAAGAAATTTTTCGAATGTAAAATACAATTTTATTGCTACTTGATGCTCCGTGACGTCCTCCAACGTCATGGTTTTTTGCTTTTTTTAATCAAGTCCATATGTATTTAGAAACTGATATCTTTTAAATTGAGCGACATATTACATAACCTGATTTCATTTCAATTAATACAGCAATACTTTATTGAAACATGTAAATTCTATTTCGTTTCAGCTCCATTTATTAGAGGTATAACTGAAAATACTATAAATTTAAAATTAGTAAATTACTCAATTTTGACGGTGCTCTGCGACCCCATTTTTGCTGTACTAGATCCTTAGTAATTTTAATAAATATGAAGCTAAATTCCAATTTTTTTACACAAATTATTTGAATTTGCTGTTAAAATATTTGTACCAAATTTGGTTATAATATGACGTTAAATAAAAAAGTAAGGACAAAAGTCTACGAACTTTTTGAATGACCCTCGTATAATACTTCAAAGGGGAAAAACAAATGAAATTTGTTTACAAAAAAATTTTATCATCAATAACATGATAAACACAGTGACAAACTTTCTAGCTTTTCTTTGGATAACAATGATTACTGGTATATATTACAAAATGAAATTCATAAAATATAGTATATAGCAAAAATAAATAAATAAATAAATATTTTCCATACATTTCAAATGATACATTATAATTAAGTTTTAAATTAGCTATTCAATTAATCACATTGACAATATTAAATTTTGCTAACGATTTATTTTGTTTCATTTGTTATAACTTTATCTCTCTTGACATTCTAAAATGGCTTATATTACTTTGCTAAAAATTATAGCAATTTTGAGGGGATAAATTGTTTAATTTGTGTCTAAAATGTCCTATTATGTGTAGATGTATGGTACATTTTTATGTCAATCCTCCTCTGCTATGGTTGACCTATTCTCTTTAGAGAAGTGGACAGGCTTTCGCCTACATCCAAAGAGAATATGGTTGACCAGGAACAAGAACAGTTTAATAAATCAATTAAAATATGTTGTTAACAAGAACATAATATTACAAATCGCCTGCAAATGACTCAATTTAAAATGACCAGAATTTAATGTACTCAATATATAGTAAAACTATATTTATAAAAAAAATCTTGAAATCTCTAATATTTGTCTTCTTCAGTTGTTTGTAAAGAGAAGCACATATATGTGAATCCAATGATTGAATGCACTGAAAATCTTAGAACAGTACATACAGAGTCATATTATGTATAGATTATAATATATCTTGTGGATCTTACATGTCACCTGTGTAAATTCCTTATATAGATTATACATTAATTTATACAAAAACAGTACAGTAAAGATTCATCCCCAAATAAAGACCAAAAGTTCACAATATGGCAACACGGTTTCTCATTTGACATATAAGTTTCAGTTAAAAACAAAGTTTCATAAAGGAATAAATTAATTCCAAGAAATATCAATATAAACAATTTCTGATAATTTTAGCATTTGCACTGAAAGACCTTTAAATTTATACCTAGCAATTTTCTAACCATATAAAAATATAATACACTGCTACATATCCTATAAATGACTACTGACTTCAGAAGTATATCATGGAATTGGACTTCTCTGTATATTTTCTGGTGGCAGTGTCTGGTACGTTCTGGGGTAAACTGGTTCTGGTTTGGGTTCATAAGGAGGAGGGGGTTCGTTAGGATAATGACCATAATTCGTTATGATGTGTTGATGCATTTCTATGTTTGGATCCATTGGTGGAACTAAAAAGGAGAAGAAAAGAACTGTAAACCACCAAATATTCCAGACACCTTACTTTGGCGAGATGGTCATTTTGGTATTTATTTGCAAGACATAATTCATACAAACTTAAATTAACTTGAGTATTACGAATATATTACAAATATATGTGAAATTTTTTCAAGCTGACAGTCTTGAGAAAATAAAGTTCTCTTCTCCCAAATAAAATGTGAATTTCAGTAGATAAGTTTATTCATTGATTGATTGATTGTATACTGTTTAACGTCCCTCTCCAGAATATTTCACTGATATGGAGACGTCACCATTGCCGATGAAGGGCTGTAAATTTAGGCCTATGCTCGGCACTTATGGCCTTTGAGCAGGGAGGGATCTTTATCGTGCCACATCTGCTGTGACACGGTTTATACGGTCTCATCCGAAGGACCGCCCCATTTAGTCACCTTTTACGACAAGCAAGGGGGTTCTGAAGACCTATTCTAACCCGGATCCTCACGGGGCGTAGATAAGTTTAAAACATAAATCTAGCATAAGATCAATTCTGCTATGCTTGTTTGCAATATACTATAGAATCACATATATGAAGAGAAAAATTCAACAATACACCTCCATATGATATATACTTATCTACTTTGTTCCTAGATTGGGATACACATTTTATGACTGGAGAAGAATATAGATATCGTTTTTAAGAAACAAATAAGAAACAAGTCATGGCCAAGAGTGGTTTCATTCCCAATGGTTTTAAAACGTATTAAAAACTTAACGGATATAACAAATTAAGTTTGTAATGAATCGAATCAAAATTGTTCATCCGTATCACTTCCCTATAAGCATGTTTTACTGTATATGATTGATTGATTGATAGATTGATTAATCGATCGATTGTATGTTGTTTACCGTCCTTCTCGAGAATTTTTCACTCATATGGAGACATGACACCACTTGCTGCAAGTTTTTTTCCTATACCCGACACTCAGGACCATTGAGCAATGAGGGATCTTTTTCGTGTCAGCATCTACTGCGACAAGGGACTTCCGCTTAAACAGTTTCATGCGAAGGACTGGTTTGCATGTCCCACATTGGGTTTTATTGTATATGAAAAAAAGCTGACATGTATACCTGAAGGCTCTGCTTCTGACTGCAGTAGTCTCCCTTGAGCAGACTGCCGGGGCTTGCTGTTTTTCTTCCTGAACACGCGGCCATGATGCCTGTCCCTCCTGCAGCAACAGAACAGGACGAAGATGACCAGGATTGCTATAAATAGCACCACGCCCACTATCGCCCCCACCATCACCCTCAGGGACATGATGATTTCATTTGATATGGCACCAGTGTCAATGCTAATCATTGTAGTGAGTGCTTTAAAAATATCAAAAGGTGTATGAAAGGTTTAGGGATGTATAATATAACGTATAAAGCCATCCATCCTAAAACATGTAAAAGGCATACCAAATTTAAAATACCATTAATATTACATGGCAGTGAATAATTACCGTGTTATATCTGAAAATAGCATAGGTGTATATGTTGAATGTATTTTATAACACCTTATGTTTATTTACACTTTTTAATAAGTTAAACAACAAAAAATTACATAACTAGGTTAATTTGTGGTTACGATGGGTATTTACAGACTTACGTTGCATTGTTTTTCGCATGACTGTAACAGAGAAGTCATAATCTACAGCATCAATTCTCGCTTTATAAAGCTGCAAGGTCAGAAAGCGGTCTTTACTACACACAGTTTCGGGGGAATTGTGACAGTCATAACGACGCTGAAAAAAAGATTTAAATAATCATTGTCAATATTTAAGTTTAATATTTGAAAAAAATATCTCTCAAAGATGTCAAATGTTTCATTGTGCAATATTATATATATACAGAGGAGTTCTGTGTTGTTTTCCCCCTATCACACTTGCAAATGATTTCATATCATTTTAATTTTGCTTTGATTGATTGATTGTATATTTTTTAACGTCCTACTCGGGAATTTTTCACTCACATGGCACTCGGGGCTTTTGAATCCTGAGGGTTCTTTATCGTGCCAACCCTACCGTGACACAAGACCATCGTTTTTAAAGTCATATCCGAAAGACCTGTGATTTTCACTTCTACTGACTACCTATATTTACGTTTAAGGTTTGACGCGGCGAGAATCGAACCCGATCCTCCCAATCACGAAATGAACGCTCTACCACTAGGCTACCATGACCGGTTAAATTTTCCTTGAGGATTTTCTTATGCATTCAGTTCATCATTCTCTTGATTTGAGAGCAAGAAATATTCTTCAGCCTCTTTGAAGTGCCTGTCTTTAAGAAGGTGAAGTGGATTTTCCTAAAACCTGGTGCAGGATAGTAACCTTATAACTTTTGGTCCAAGGAGTGCATGACATATATGAGCATGAGAAGATGTGATACAGGCCTTCTGCATCTTGCAAGTCTACATATAGCACCTTCAACCCTTTTTTATCTTCATTTTGAGAAGTTCAAGCTGAAGCAATTAAAACGTTGTGTTCATAATTACTTTGGAGAGTTCTTGGCATTACTGTTTGGGGAAAACCTTTTCTGAACATTGCTGCAACACTTATCTTTAACAGTAACAAACTCTAAACAATAATTATTGCCACTCCCAACTTTTTTTATCATTCTCATATGAAGTTTATGCTAGTTACCTTTCATGGTTTACTACAAAGATACTCACATAGAGAAAATTATCCTCTGACTGTCTTGTTGTGTGTTTTGGGCGATTTTCTCGGAACACCTCAAAATGAACAGCACAATCATCTATCCTAAAACTGTCAAACTTGACACACAGTTGTTGATCTGGGTATGTCCTAAATCGTAGAGAGCACCTAAGTGCCTGGTAGGCCTCCCCACTGCCTTTGGCATGAATATAATACTCATTGTCCTCTACCTCAAAGAATGTCATGTGCTGGCAAGTTCCATAGGAATCCATGAATCCTGAAACCATAAGACAAATTCAAATCAGAATCTGCATTTCAAATAAACAAGCATTATGTTACTTGTAATTAATTTTTCCATCATTTCCCGATCATGACAAGAAGCATACGGCTAATGTGACCGGTCGGCAGGGGATGCTCACTCCTCCATGGCACCTGATCCCACCTCTAACATTTTGGAGGTCCGTTTGCTCTGCTCCTATTTTGTATTGTTTTATGGACTTTTCATCTTGAATACTGTTTGTTATCTCTTCGAGGATGTATGTTTCATTTACTTATTTTTGTACGACAAACTAAATTTGCTCTTTTATATGAAGATTTTGGGAACATTCGATTACTTCGATTCGAGTGTTTGTTCATCGTAAATCTCTCTTACGTATGTTGTTCACATAAACTTAAAGCTTCGTGGCAACACACTTTGAAATATAAATTACGCACTTTGAATTTTTTTCAAAATGCGTTAAAATTGGGGCAAAATCCATACAATTTGAAAAAAAAAATTCAAAGTGAGAGTGTGCATCAACATTTTTAACCATGGAGACACTTATTAACGTACTTTGAAAAAAAATATATATATATATATATATAACAAAAAAATGGACTTAGATTCTATAAATACACTGTATTATTTTGTTTTATTTTTTTCGAAACTCTGTTGAATTGAGTTACCCTCTTATCTTTCCTAGCCAGATACATGTATATATATTATGTATTTACATAACTGGTATTACATTGATATACTTTCAAGGTTCAGGGACCATTTCGCTGATCTAAGCAACAATAGTCAACTAACAATATATTTTGGCCACAGAAGCTTTACAAAATCAAATAAAATACAAAACAAAATTGTATAAAATGAATAAATAATTAATTTTTCATACTTCTTTATACTTATAAAATAACTGTTAAAAAAAGAGAGCCATCATACATTGTGCAGGAATATTTTTTGCCATGCTTATCAAATACATGTAACTATAAAAAGATCATCATATTAATTATGCGGGAAAACTATTTTTTTATTAGTGTACAAACGTAGATCCCATTTTGTCGCATTTCTCGTACATGGAGCTTATAAGGTAATATTTGAAAAAATAAAACTGGAAAATTTCTAAATACAGTTTAAAAGAACAAGGAAGCCCTTAATGCATTGAATTTTAGTTCTTCTAAAATTGAAAGTCCATTAATGTTTAAGATCATCACTATAGGACCCAGGGGGGTGACTAGGGGAGTTTAGCTCCCAAAACTTTTTTTTGCAAAGATAGACATAATATAGGTTTTAGCTAGAATATTGACCAATCCGTGCACATTTTTTTTTCTTCAAAGTGCGTTTATATGGTCGATATTAACGCACTTTGAAAGGAATATTTTTTTTCAAAGTGTGTTAATTATGTCCCAAATTTAACGCACTTTGAAAATAATTTCAAAGTGCATTATTTTTCAAAGTGCATTATAACAAACCTTTAATCTCGTAAATAAGTTTTGATTGCCTGAAACTCGGGATTTCACCTTCTCACGTGTTTTTTTTCCCTTATGACAAGTCTTAGACTTGTTTGAGTTATTAATATATGTGACATCTTGACCCTGCAATTGAAGTTTTACCAACTTTAGCAAAAAACTTTCACTTTGACCGTAACTTTTGAGCGGTTGTTGCGATAGTTTTCATACTTCACAAGAGCATTTCATGCATGATAAAACCTTTCATTTGGTACGGTTTTATTAAGACCCCCCTCTTCGAAACTTAAGATACTTATCAACATTTATTGTCAAAAAGAGGGTGATGGAGAGTCGTTCTCTACTCATTAATTCCAACTATTGACGACAACATTTTAACAATTGATGAAAATTTAAAAATCAAAATCACATTTGTTATTCATAAACGTTTTGCACATACTCACTCAAATACTCTGTTGCATATGCGTATCGCAGAGAAACACTAAAAATGCACATAAAATATATCCATCCCATCAGCCCGATTGTATTAATTTTTTTTTTTATCAATCCTGAATCAAAAACTGACACCAAGTATAACAAGTATAATCCGACTTTTTAAAATCTTCTCAAGGTGAATATTCGTCGCAGTTTTACTTGAAATATTGGACTTTTTATGAGCATGTTACCATTTTACATATATTCTTTGAACTCTATCTTTAGCGTAATAATGCATGTATATATTTATAATATACAAACAAATTTGATTAAAATCATATCTTTGTTTCGCACCAAAATTCTGATGGTCTTTGTACAAGAACGATCTTTGTACATTTACCATCATCAGAATTTCGGAGCGTAACAAAGATCTGATTTGAATCTGATTGTACACAAATGTGTTTATAAGTATTTATGTCCAGACAAGGCATATTTTAACATAAAAGCATTGATATATCTTGTTGTAATTGTTGAATTAGCACAATTTAAAATCTAGTTGATTGTAATCACGTTGAAATGCACCCTGTTGTGTAGATCAATCATCCATCTTAAAACAAATGTTGACATAGCGTGACTCTTTTTCTGGATACTGTTTTATCCCCACGTAATCAAAGATTCGGGGTTATATGTTTTTCCCTGTCCTTCCGTCCGTCTGCAAAATCTTGAACTTTGGCAATAACATTTGAGTGGATGTATTTCCGGTGACAATATACCTTTCTTAGATAACCACTAAATTTGAACTCTTGACCCTGACCTTTTAGTGTGACACACTTTTACAAAAATTTTCAATATTTAACCTCGGCCATAACTTTTGACCAGTTGATGCTATGTCTTTTATACTTCACATGCATACTCATTGTGACAAAGCCTTCGTTCTGGAAAAGAAGATGAAAATATTAAAAGTTTACGATAACAAGGATGACCGACGATCAGAAAAACTCACTTGAAACTTTGGCTCAGGTGAGCGAAAATAGATTCTTCATTTGCTAAGTTGTATTTGGCTGTACATTAGCAACTATCATATCTCATTCTTTGACTAATTTTTTTTTTTACAGTGATAATAAATAATAATGATATACAGCCTTGGTGCGTATGGAACAGTGGGGAATTGTATTATGATACCATTCAAATCCCACAGGACTTTTTGTGTATAATAATGCACTAGTACTAAAAACATTGGTATTTGATGGATGTAAAGACTCATGTGCCAAATCTTTGTATTAATACTCATGGACATCCCCAATGTAAAGACCAGACCCTCGGTGAGGTAACCAATGCAGTAATAATCTTTGTTTTTGTGATTTTAAATTTGAAACAATATCACTGATGATGATTGGACATCTTTTCAATGTAAAGAGCAACAGCAGACAGACAGAGGATGAATATTATGCAGAATGGTCCTAAATCCAGCTTTTACAGACTTATGTGTACCATTTATTCATTGTCAGTCTCTCTATTAAAAGTAAGTATTCACCTCATTTACCGTGTACACAGCAGAGAAAATGTGACATAAAATTTATATCCATTGCGTTGTCTTCAAAAGTTCTTTTCTTAAGTACAAACTCAGTTGTTGTTGCTGAAAAAAACCTATACTAGTAAATAATGGGGAAATTCATGCTCTCAATTGTCGTAGACAATCTTTACAATTCTGTCATGTTGAATATTCTCTCTATGATAACAACAAATATTTTAGGTCTTATCACTTTATATAAACATTAAGAGCACTTTAAAGCACAAATAATCAAATTTAAATGGATCCGTAAACAATACTTAACATATGGTCATATGAATCTTGTTTCTTACATGTATATCATGATAAAAATGAAAACACACACATGCAATGACTTCTTTTGTCACAACAATATTACATAAAAATTTCATAAATATAATACTATAAATAAAGGGAAAAACATAATGGTAATAATACACCTAATTAAAAAAAAATGTAAAAATAATCTTATGCTAAAGAAACAATGCATTGATATGCTAATTTTTGTGAACCTTGTAATTTAGATATCAGCTGTTTATACATGATTGTGTCAATTTTCTCTAAACAAAATTTTTAAGGCTCGTCACCCCTTTGATAAGACATGTGAAGATAACTCTAATACATAGATTCATATTTAAATTTGTTGAGTTAAAAGGTCACTTCTGTCAAATTTCAAGCTGTAAAAGACATGCTAAAATTGTGTGCATTATATTTTATCACTATCATGTTTTTTGTTAAATATATTTATCATAGAAGACTTACTTTAACACTTACTTGTAATATTTATAATAATTCAAATGCAATTATATACGTATAATGAAAGTCAAAAACAAAAGATACATGAACCATGTCAGAAAACATCTTGAAACATGGTATTATTTTTTTTTCTTCTTTGTAATTTGACAGAAATAAATCTTAAGTTTTCTTTATTGTTCATATACGCATGAGGACCACTGACTTTTACAGTTGGTGGCTTACTTTTACAGTAGGACAATGTACAGAATCTCTTTTAGGATATTAATATTTAGCTCATCGTTTAATTCAACAAAAAAATGGACTATTTCAAAGCACAGATAAGTTGCCCTTGAAGAAAATGACAACCACCCTAGTGACCCTACCCTCAACCCCCTGCCTTCATATGTTAGTGTCCCTAAAACCATACCTATGACCACTAGAAAGGTTTTCTTATCTATTATTAATTCTGTTCCTCCGTAGATGATACATGTTTAAATGTCAAAGTAAACCATCAACTGTGAAAGTCAGTGCTTCTCGTAAGGGTCTGATTTTTTGAACAGTGAGTAAAATTAATATTTCTATGACAATGCCAGCTTGGAAGATTCCAATGAATTTGTTCAGAAATAAAGCTATCGTAAAATTAATAATTACAGGTATAAAAATTTTAACACCTTTTACCTTTCTCACATGCCAGACATGATTTTGAGTCACAATACATCACAAAACTATATACACTAAATACTTTCATAAGATAAAAAACATAAATAGATCTTTTAACTATAATAACATGCTGTTAAATCTATAATAAAGCAACAGTATAATACTTCAAAGAAAAAAACAAAATAATGAAATTTGTAAATAAAGCTTGATTCATATTTAACTTTGTACACGCATTGACCAAGTTTTCTAGCTTTTTCTTCAATAAAATAAATAATATATTACAAAATGAAATCCCTAGAATCATAGTATATCACAGTATTAAACTAAATATTTTTCATACATTTCAAATGATCCAAGTAAATGAGATTAGACTAAATATTTTTCATATATTTCAAATGATCCACGTAAATTAGATTTCACTACTTTGAAAATACATTTTATATATTTATATACCGGTATATATATAAATATATTTTACAGCAATTTATGGGGATAAATCACTTAATTTATGTCTCAATAAATATGCACTTATGTGGTACATACATGATAATTTGAATCATCCTCTGTTAAGATTGACCAGGATCTAGTCTAGAATAATTTACTAACTCAATTAGATTAACAAGAACACAATATTACAAATCACCTGCATACAACTCAATTAAAAATGACTAGAATATAATGAACCCCGCCGATAAAGTAAAACTATGTTAATAAAAGAAATCTTGAAATCACTATATTTTTCTTCTTCAGTCATTTGTAAATAGATTGAAGCACACAATTGAATCCACTGAAAATCTTCAGAGTGCATACATGTACAAAGTCATATTTGTACAGATTATATTTTATTTATTTATAGCTTGTGGATATGACGTCACATATAACCTGTGAAAATTTGTTTTTAGTTATACAGTGTACATAAATCCATACAAAAAATTCTTTTGTTTAATTAATTAAAAGAATATACAGTTAAGACTAAATGCACTGTTCATTATATCTACTTAAATTTGGGGGGGGGGGGGATGTCCCAAAAATTAAAATACTGTATGTGTACTTAACAAAAAAGTGGGCTCCATATTTTGGCAACTTTCGTTTGGACTATAATGGACTAATTAATGACTACCACTATAAGAAATCATTTTATGAATGCATTATATGAGGCAATAGTGTGTAGCACTAATTCATGAATATGCCAACAACTCAATATGTGTACATGTATTTAGTGATTTTTGTGCTAAATTTTGAATTCGTCAATTAATGTAAACATACGGTAGTTAATCAGGTTAATCAAATGCATGTCTGTACAGAATGCTTATTTAGAGAGTTCAAAGATGAAATTTACTTATTTTGGAAAAAAATAAATTGTATGCACTTCAAAATACATCTGTATTGTTTCATTTAAACTTTAAATATGCCCTTTGTAAAGTTACATACAGTTATAATTACCCTAATTATAAGATATTTATTATTGTTCTTATTTTAAATTCTTTTGCTTAAATTCATAATATGCATATTTATCACATAGTGACAGTATTGAACAATTAATGACTTAGTCATATAGATTCAAATCCTTTTTAGCACATGTAGCTTTTCTGACAATGTTAAGGCATATAAATAACACCAGAAGTCTCTGTCGAGACTGAAGCTCTACTGGTTTGTACTTATAGCAAAGGAAGAGAAAAGTTCTTAAGCAGTTGGGAAAGAAACTTTACCACAGCAATAAAAAGAATAATGATCCTTGATTAAGTCTCTTTATGTACTTAGTGTAGTCTTCTTGCATGCCACATTATATTATAATCAGACTTAAACTGCAGGAGGAGTAGCATTTTGAGAGTTTTTAACAGAAATTTCTATTTTTAGTTACCATGGCAACACCGTTAATCGAAATCAAAAACCGATATACAGAATTATGTATCTTAGTGTAGTCTACTTGTGTGCCTAGTTATATTGAAATCAGACCAAAACTGTAGGAGGAGTAGCATTTTGAAAGAATTTCATAGAAATTTCTATTTTTAGTAACAACAGCAACACCGTTCATTGAAATCAAAAACCGATACACAGAATTATGTATCTTAGTGTAGTCTACTTGTGTGCCAAGTTATATTGAAATCAGACCAAACTGTAGGAGGAGTAGCATTTTGAAAGAATTTCACAGAAATTTCTATTTTTAGTAACAACGGCAACACCGTTCATTGAAATCAAAAACGGATATATAGAATTATGTATCTTAGTGTAGTCTACTTGTGTGCTAAGTTATATTGAAATCAGACCAAAACTGTAGGAGGAGTAGCATTTTGAAAGAATTTCACAGAAATTTCTATTTTTAGTAACCACGGCAACACCGTTCATCGAAATCAAAAACTGATATAAAGAATTATGTATCTTAGTGTAGTCTACTTGTGTGCCAAGTTATACTGAAATCAGACCAAAACTGTAGGAGAAGTAGCATTTTGAAAGAATTTCACAGAAAATTCTATTTTTAGTAACAACGGCAACACCGTTAATCGAAATCAAAAACCGATATATATAATTATGTATCTTAGTGTAGTCTACTTGTGTGCCAAGTTATATTGAAATCAGACCAAAACTGTAGGAGGAGTAGCATTTTGAAAGATTGTTCACAGAAATTTCTATTTTTAGTAACAACGGCAACACCGTTAATCGAAATCAAAAACCAATACACAGAATTATGTATCTTATTGTAGTCTACTTGTGTGCCAAGTTATATTGAAATCAGACCAAAACTGTAGGAGGAGTAGCATTTTGAAAGATTGTTTACAGACAGACAGACAGACAGCTAGACAGACAGACGGACGGACGACGGACGCATTACTATCGCATAAGCTCTTCTGGTCTCTGACCAGTAGAGCTAAAAAATGAAAACATGCATCAGCAATCACTTATCCAGACTTGTATAGACATAAAATTTTTTAGAAATATATCAATACACATGAATTTCATATTATAAAAAGTCATTTAAAATTATACTAATGGCACGTACACCTTGTCAAATATCAATAAATACTCCTCCACTAATGGACAACCATTGCACTGCTTTTTTTTTTATATCAAACTTTATACATGTAAACATATATATGAGGGTCATTCAAAAATTTAGTAGACTTTTGTCATAACTTTTTTATTTAACGTCATATTATAACCAAATTTAGTACACATTTTTTAACAACAAATTCAAATAATTTGAGCAAAAAAATTGGACTTGGAAAATATCTTGATAATTATCAAAATTATCAAATATTTAATACAGCAAAAATGGGGCAATGGAGCTTGGTCAAAATTAAACTATTTACCAGTTTGACACTTTATAATGTCTAGAGTCATACCTCAAAAAAAAGGCACTTAAAATTGAATTCTTTAAATTAAGTATCGACTGTATCGTTCTATTACTTCAGATGCTAAAATTCAATGTGATACATATAGAATATCACACTGCTGTTTTGATCTCGGCCCTGGTATCAGCCCGAGCGGTTGGTATCGGCCCAAGCCCGTAGGGCTTCGTTTAAAAGATATCAATTTCTGAAGGCTGATAGACATCAAGAAAATAAGCAAAAAACGATGACGCTGAAGGATGTCACGGAGCAGCCAGTAGCGATAAAATTTTGTCTTGCATTCGAGAAACCTTTACAACAATCTGAGAATGCTTGATGAACCAGTAAATAGATACAAAATGTGCTATGCATTTGTTTACAATGGAAATGACTATTTGTTGAGTTTTAAAGACTCTAAATCGGACCCGGAACGGTCTGCGAAGAAACAAATAATAGTAAAACATGATGTGTGATTCACTTCTGTGAAACTTGTGCAAAGAAGAGTTACGCGATAAAGAATTGAGAATCTAACTTTAAGGTATTCAAACAATTGCTAGCGAACTAGGTGTCAGGGGCTATGGATACAATTTGATAAATTGAGAAGAAGGTACAAACCGTGTATGAAATGAAAAAAGCTTAGTAATTTTGAGAAACTTTCTCGACGTTGATTTTGACGTCACGGTATTGTTAACCGTGCTCCGTGGTGACAAAACATGCTGCTTTTAAAATTGTCTAACATGAGTTCCATTTAATCAAATCGAATAAAACTTTACACACTGACAAAATAAATGTTTTTACATATGAAAATGTGTTGATCTTAAATGTTGAAAGAATAATATGATAATAGAGGACATAGTCTACATATTTTTTGAATGACCCTCGTACAGTAAAGATTTATCCCCAAATAAAGACCAAAAGTTCACAATATGGCAACACTGTTTCTCATTTGATGTATAAAGTTTCAGTTAAAAAACAAAGTTTCATATTGATAAAGGAATATATTACTTCCAAGAAATATCAATATAAACAATTTCAGAAATCTGATAATTTTAGCATTTGCACTGAAAGACCTTTAAATTTATACCTAGCAATTTTCTTACCATATAAAAATATAATACACTGCTACATATCCTATAAATGACGACTGAGTTTAGAAGAATATCATGGAATTGGACTTCTCTGTATATTTTCTGGTGGCAGTGCGATCTGTGCTAAACTGGTTCTGGTTTGGGTTCGTAAGGAGGAGGGGGTTCATTAGGATAATGACCGTAATTCGTTACGATGTGTTGATGCATTTCTATGTCTGGATCCATTGGTGGAGCTAAAATGGAGAAGAAAAGAACTGTAAACCACAAATCAAAATCCCTATCACCTCCCTATAAGAATGTTTTAATGTACCCGATATATAAAAAGCTCCCATGTATACCTGAAGGTATTGGTCCTGACTCCAGTAGTCTCCCTTGAGCAGACGACCGGGGCTTGCTGTTTTTCTTCCTGAACACACGTCCATGATGTCTGTCCTTCCTGCAGCAACAGAACAGGACGAAGATGGCCAGGATTGCTATAAATAGCACCACGCCCACTATCACCCCCACCATCACCCCCAGGGACATGATGATTTCATCTGAAATGGGACCTGTGTCAATGCTAATCATTGTAGTGAGCGATTTAAATATCAGTGGGTGTAAGAGAGGTTTTAGGATGTTATGTTATAAAGCTCCCCATCCTAAAACATGTACCGGTAAAAGGCATATCAAATATAAAATACTGTAGAGCATGTCAGTGAATAATTACACTGTACCATGGTATAGGTATAGTCCCACTCAGTTAAACAACAATAAATTACATTAGTAGATTAACTTGTGGTTGCACATTATATTAAAGGAGAATATGCTTTCCTATTTTTTACAGACTTACTTTGCATTGTTTTTGGCATGACTGTTACAGAGAAGTCATAATCTACAGCATCAATTCTCTCTTTATAAAGCTGTAAGGTTAGAAAGCGGTCTGTACTACACACAGTTTGGGGGGAATCTCGACAGCCATAATGACGCTGGAAAATTTTTTTAAAAAATTATTGTCAATATTTTAAGTTTAAAATTTTAAAGAATATCTCTTTAAATGACAAAATTTTCAGTGTGCAATATTATGTACACAGTGTTTTTTTCCCCCTAGCACACTTGTCACTTTAAATTTTCTTGGGAGGATTTTCTAATGCATCATGTCTCCTAATTTGAGAGTAAAAATATTCTTCAACCTCTTTGAAGTGCTTGTTTTTAAGATATTTTAAGTGGATTTTCCCCAATCCTGGTGCACCATAGTAACCTTTTCAAGTTTGGTCCAAGGAGTGCCAATCAAGCTAATGACATATACACATTTATTATACTTCTGTTAAAATGTTTCCTGTATAAAGTTCAGAAGGTAAAATAACTATTCTTCCTAGTCTGAAAATTTTCCCGCATAAAGCTATTAAAATGTATGTACAATTTTTTGCTACCCACCCCTCGGAAAATTTTCCTTGGCATTTTTGACGCCAATTTTTATTTCCATGCAGCGTTTAAATCTATAGTCTGATGATGTCATAATGACTTCAGTAGCATTGTGACGTATCAGGATTTCAGCTCATTCTTGCAGTATTATCTAACTCCAAAGAAAATTCAAACCTTAAAAATTATAATATACATCAGTATAATAAAACACTTATCCACTGGTTGTGAGTGGGATAGCTCTTACATCAAACCACTTACAGACAATTTTCCTCGGGCAAGCCCTCGGGGGATAGTTTCCTGTCGCGGGTTTGATAAAAGAGCTATCCCACTCACAACCATTGGATAAGTGTATAATATTAGCATGAGGAGACGTGATATAGGCTTAGTGCATTTTGCAAGTTTGGCTATAGCATCTGCAACTCCTTTTTATCTTCATTTTGAGAATTTCAAGCTAAAGCAATTAAAATGTATGTTCACAATTATTTTGGAGAGTCCTAACTCCTCCTTGGCATTACTTTGGGGGAAAAACAACTTTTTTGAACATTGCTGCAACACTTATCTTTAACAGTAACAAACTCTAAACCATAATTATAGTCAATCCCATCTTCTTCAATAATTTTTTCTCATAAATTTTATGCTATTTAACCTTTTGATTTGAACATATTTTATTGTTAAGACCTTATTTAACCTTTTCATGGTCTATTACAAAGATACTCACATATAGACAATTTTCATCTGGCTGCCATGTGAAGTCTATCGGCTGATTTTCTTGGAACACCTTAAAATGAACAGCACAATCCCCTATCCTAAAACTGTCAAACTTGACACACAGTTGTTGATCTGGGTATGTCCTAAATCGTAGAGAGCACCTAAGTGCCTGGTAGGCCTCCCCACTGCCTTTGGCATGAATATAATACTCATTGTCCTCTACCTCAAAGAATGTCATGTGCTGGCAAGTTCCATAGGAATCCATGAATCCTGAAACCATAAGACAAATTCTTATCTTAATCAGAATCAGTTCAAACAATTTACAAGCATTATGTTACTGTAAAATCACATATTTTCATTATGTTACTGTAAAATAACACACTTTCATTGGATCAAATTTTCCAGGTTTGAGAAAGAAATTTGGTTAATGGGGATTTGATTTCACAGTTGGAGAAGAATTAAGTAATAATGCATATCAAATTTTACATTTCCAGGTGGTCATGAATTCAAAGGTCTCTCCATACCTCAAAAGCAATGAAAATTAAACTCCCATGAAAATGAGTGATTTCACAGTAATTAATTTGAAGGAAAAAAAGAAAGATACATATATTGTACACGTTTAATTTACCGGTAAATACATACGTATATCGATAGACATATGGTATTACAAGATGTTGCCAATTTCTGAACCCACTAGGAAATGATTAGTCATTGATACTAGTAATGTAGTAAACTGCATGCATATTAGTATCATATACTTGATGTTTATACATGTATACATTATATCTGCACAGAAACCAGGCATATTAATATAACATGTCCCACTTCTTTGCAGTTGTGATAAGTGATTACTCATAAAATGTAATCTAAATCTACTATGGTTTTCATCCTTTAAGAGAAAATGGAAAATCTTGACTATCATCTTTGACAAAAATGGGAAAGAGCTGTTTTCTTATTCTCTTTGCAAAGGTACGAGCAGGAAATGGAATGCCATTAGAATTCAAACTTTGCACTAAAAAGACTTCATTATATTCAATTACTAAACCAAAATAGACAGTTCTCAATCTCATTTCCTTGCTTTTAGGGAAAACCGATGCATCAGATAGCAAAAAATTTTAAATTCCTCTGGATAAGGATGGAAAGCTTAATTCTGTATCCCAATAGCTCCTGAGGAAGAAGGTTAACATATCTTACATTTGTTTTTACCATTTTGTTTGAGGGAAAAATCTGACTTTTAAAATACACCAAAATTAATTCACCTGAACCAAATATCAACTCAGGTGAACATAATATTTAGGCACATACATGTACGTAGTATTGGAAAGGAGAGGGAGGGCTTCATTTCCCACCCATCAATTTTCAATTTTTTTCTGAATGTAAATATTTTTACCATTAATTTAGTAAGAAAATGTTCATTAAAAGGCTGGATGCTTCAAACATCTTTTGATCCATTGTAGTGAAGTCCCTAATGGACGCTAACACAATCTCCCCATGAAAGTACTTTAAGGTTTTGAGAATTCTCCTCTTTTCTACAGATTTGTCAAAGTTTGTTTTCTTTTTTTAAAGTTAGTTGTCATTTTTGTTCCTTCCTTTTTGATGCCTTCAAGTGTGGCTGACATTTGTTTACCTTCTCCTTAAAAAAGATTAAGAAATTTTACATTAATTGTCAATATGTTAAACACTTGGTTATCATGGTTATGTTTATTTTAATGCTTTTCTAATTGCATTTAGGTAAGACATACTTCAAGAATTGCCCACAAAATTTCAGTACTAATATAGAGGCTATTTCAGCATATAATGCATTGACTATGAACAAGACGAATACAAAGAAAAAAAACATAGAAAATATAACTCAATGATGAAAAAAATATTAAAATTCAGGTTACTTACTTCAATGAAACCTCTGGAAAAACTGAAGTTTACAAAGAAAACTACAAAATAAAAACATTTCATGCAAATTAAAAAGTGGTGTCCACAACACAAAATCAATCAGAGTTTTAATTAATGGAAACAAACTCTAAGCATGTGCATTTTCAATGCATAAAACAAAAATGAAGAATATGAAATCTAGTGAGAAATAACATTTTGCTTAATTTAAACAGAAAAATTACAAATACTGTTTTATTGTACCAAAATCGAGAAAAGATGAAATCAATGTTAATTTTTTTAATGCAATAACCTACATGTACATGTACCTCTTAATAATGCTAAGATTGCAATAAACTATCAAGTACTTTAACGAGCAATACACTTTGCTTTCAAATTCAATTATGGAAAGTTGAATATGTTGAAGTGAAATTTCATGTTTTCAGCATTATAATAAAGCATCTTCTCTATTAACATCAATCACGACTCTCACTGGAGAGTTTAACAATGAAGTCGGTGAAATCTGGTGTGTATAATCATGTGTAACACATATATGTTTGAAAGCCCGCCCTGCAAACAAACTTGGAAGCTTTTTCTTTTAAGAAATAATGGCTTAAATTAATTATAAGTAGACAATGCAAAAAAGCTGATAAAACAATTCCTGAAAATTTATATGAAAATTTTGAAGCGGAAATTTACTTTTAAATTGATACATATGCAATGGCTTTAATGTTAAGGTTTTTGATCAGAAATATCTTTGGAAAACAAGCGATAAATTAATGAAACCATGAAGATGAAAAATAATGAAAAGTGAGCACAACAAACAATGCAACAAACAGGTATGAAAATATAATGAAATCATTTCATACCAAGGGTAATTTTTTTTTCAATTTGAAACCATTATATATCTGCAAAAATTGCTTTTATCTGAGATGTTTTTCTTTTTCTTTCTCTTTTGACTTTGAAAATATATTCTTTAAACACATTTCCATTATTTTTTCTTCTTCAAAATTTGCCAGAATATTTTTCAGTAAAACCCAAACGCTACTTTAACATGTTTAAATTACATAGATTTCAGGATAATTAACAAAATATGAATTTATAAACTTTCTCAACCTCCCAATAATCATCCAATGAAATGATTTCATCTAAATTTACTAACATTCACACAAAACATTAACATCAAACAGACAGACAACTGGACTGCATAGACAGCTAGACAAACAACTAGACAGACAGACAGACAAACAACTAGACAGACAGACAAGCAGACATTAATTGTTACTTTGATAGTTGTCCTGGACTCCCATGGCTGTGGCCAGGCTGTAGGATAGAGCCAGTATTAGGAGGTACAGTAAGGGTGGGTGGGGCACCATCCTGCTCCCCAGTTCTCCCCTCCTCAGTAGTTCCTTAGTTAACTCAGGTACCCATCACATTGTGTTATCTATACAACATATAAACAAACCAGTAAATTGTCAATTTGATACATCAGTGTCAAACAATACATATTAAAGTCAGGATTCAGTCTTTATTACCGTAAAATCCCTATAAACTGCCCCGGGCGCTTAGAAAATTGTGAAAAGGGGGCGGTTATTTTGGTACGCTATTTATAATATTTAATGTCATATTTTAACTTCAAAATCTTTTGAAAAAAAAAATACAAGGAACCATTCAAATAATGTCTAACTTCACTTAAAGTGAAAATAATCCACCCAAATTATGCTAAATTATTCATTTTCCATTGAAAAATAGGATAAAGACAAGTTTAATTTTCATTTTCTTCAATATTTTAATACGATTCTTGTTGATTTTATTAACTGTACAGGTGCCCTTATTTCCTAATGATTGAAAAAGACCTAAGGGGGCGCTTATAGGGGCAGGGGCGGTTAATAGGGATTATACGGTAATCGCATTTACTTTGCCATAAACAAGATAAAGGAAAGTTTATCAAATATATAACTATACATTGAAACTCTTATTTGGAGCTTCTTAAACTTTCAAAGAGAGAAAAAATAAGTTTCAAATTGCTAGATTCTGAAATCATCATTTCCATTAAACAAAGCTGTTACCACTTTCTGTTTCAGAACTTGATCTCATATATCAACAAATTATCTAAAACAGATGTTATCTTTAATCTCCCTGATAACTATACTAGTGAAATGACTCTATCTCATATTATCATGAAAATAATCCAGAAAATCTATTGATTTATAATTTTAACTAAACAAATATCATTTCTGATATGTCACTTATTTTTAACATTATTCTCTATAGATCTTGATCTGAAAGTGACCTTATAAGCTTAGGACCTGACATGCTATATATTGATCAACTATAATTGACCAAGAATGACCTTTTCCATTCATAAATAATAAAGTGGTATTTATATACAAAAGCCTAACCTCTTTTAATTTTCCCAATATCATAAACAAATCATTATATTTTAACTTACCAATTAAACTGAAACCTAATCCTCAAATTATAAAATATCCATGACTCAATCATTAACAAGTAAATGGAATTAAAAACAGTGAAGCTGTACTTCCCAAAGACTATTTCAGATCTGAACAATAATATGGAATCAATAGCTCAGCACACAGTTTACCACACAGCTCTATTAATCAATGAACCACTGGAAATTGTCAGAGCCTTTCCCTGCAACCAATGTATTCAAGGCATCAACAAGATCTCCTGATCAATTATTGGGTCAATACACTGATATATTCAACAAGTATCTACAGGCCTCTCTCTAGTTATGTAAGAGTTAGCTCCGGTTACTGCTTTGTGATGTTTTGTACCATCTGTTGGGATAATATAAATGATAAATACTCAGTGCCTGACAAGCAACAAGTATGTGAATTACATAAGGCCGACAGAGGGTACAAAAAATACCAGTAATGAAATCTGGTCTTAATTAATACAGTAAAACTTGGTTATAACAAAGTCGCCTGGACCTGTGAAATTTAACTTAGCTATATCCGTAATTTGTTACACCTGTATAAGGAATTCATTAATTTTACATAGCTGGGGATCCAAGATAACTTCGCTATATCCATGAATTCACAATAACCATGTTTGTACAAAACAAGTTTTAATGTAAATATTCAATGTTTGAATAAAAACAAAAATGTATTTTATACCGGTAATACATACATGTAGTAAATTGGACAAATTTTTTGGGATTTGGGCCATGGATATCAGTCTGGTTAGTAACAGTTGATAGAACACCTGACTATAGTGATGCTAGGGAATTTGGTGCTGTTGTCCATTCCTGGTCTTGCACTGACAAGGTAAAAGTCCTGCCAGGCAGCAAATAATAACTGGGATTGCATCTTCCACACGGATAACAATTTAGAGAGAAATGTCGTTTTGGGTTGTGGATATATTGAGCAAAAAGTCAAAATATGTCCCAAACACAGATATTGCATTTAAAGAGCTGAGAAGAATACCATAAATCAACATTCGAATATTCTTGACTATTATTCGATTCTTATTTGAATATTCATTACAGTTAATAAAGGGTTTAATATATTTTCATGATCAATAAAATTTGACATTGTGCTCTATATATCATGCTAGTACTACCTGCGGACAACGTTTACAAACAGCGTTGTCTTTGCTTTTGTTTAGAGAGAAATGTTCCTTTTCCCACCTCAAACAAAAGCAAGATGTTGTACAGTTTATTGCATGATATACAGGTATTAAACACGTGACCGAATATTCAAATACAATTTTTCTATTCGAATATTCCGGAAAAAACTATTCATTCACAAATATTGGAACATTCGTTTTACCTCTAGTCATTTACAAAAATTAATTGCCGATTGGTCAATCAATGTCGATCCACTCCAATCATTACTTGATAAAAAAGTCCAAACTTTTTTTAATACCATATGCCATTAGGGCTTATGAGGAGAGTAGTGTATCAAAAACCCTTGGCTAGCGAAGATGTGTACTAGCTTGTATAAAGTTACAAATCTAAACTGTCCATCTGTCACTTTGTGAAATGAATGGAAAAACTTTACAAAGATCAATATTATATTGGAATATACACTATTTATGATTGATGTTTATGTGTAAACTGTTAAAGTATTTTTTAGGTTTATGATTGATGGTAGTGTATTGTTAAGGTTATATGTCCAAAAACAATACACTGTATTTTCCAGATTGACTTCTCAAGTTATGTGTATAATACTACATAAGCTATATTAAAATATTTATTGTTTTTTTCAAGAAATTGAAAAGCTTTTTTGCTTCATAAGTCAACAAGAATGCAAATCATAATTTCTCTCCTTCCCTCAAAAATAACTATATCTTGCTCCCTGATGCCCACATTGTTTACACCATAATTTTATCTCTGTGTGTCAGAACCAAATTATCACTTTGATCAGGCAACCATGTATAAACCCTTAGTACATAACATCTGATCATCTCCAGCATCTAAAGTACATAGAGAAACTCACACTCCAACAAACTCTTTTGTCCCAGGATACTGTTTGTTTGTTCTAAATAGCCACATGCATGCAATCACCCACCTCCCATGATATTACCATCACCACATGAAATGTATGTATTAGCCTTTTTTTCGTTCATTTTCTTATTAGTTTGGGGGAGGTCTATCGTCTACCGTAATCTAAATTCTCCCTCGGCATCCAACGGTGTGGATTTGTAATCACACATAGGCCTATAACAGCTGAAGCAAAGGTGCATTGGCTGAATAAAATACAAACCGTCGAAAACACGACAACAAAAGTTTATTTTAAAGAGTCTTTGGGGCACTATCGGTTAAATATAACATTGATTTCTCCGGCATTACCTGTATGACAGTCACGAACAGGTGCTCTCCTCTCACATTCCAGCATCCGCATCACAAATCTGACGGCAGGTGTCGCGCTGACCAGAACCTAAAATCTAGATCCCTCAAGACTTGGAAATAATTGTTCCGGGATGTCAAAAAAAGTGTTCATATTGCCTGAAAATTAAAAATTTCAAAGATTATGTAAAGAAGCATCAAAAGTGATTTCAATATACTTTTAGAACAGTATCAGACATTCAGCCTAATTAGACCAAATAATAAGAAAAATGGGGGGGGGGGGAGTGAGGGGCACTCACTTGATCTTGTGCACAGGTACTTGTGAACAGGACCCCCACCCCCACCCCAAAATATTAATCGCTCCACAAAAAATACTCCACTATACATTATCTCTATTAGTGGAGTATTTTTTTGTGGAGCGATTATTTTGGGGTTTTCACGATTTATTCCTATTGCAAACATGTTGAATAAGTGTAATAAATATAAATTGTGAAAAAAATGTCAAATTAGCCCCGGGGTTGAATATCGGGGTGCGGGGGGGGGGGTCCTGTCCACAAGTACCTGTGATCTTGTGTTGAAGAAATGTTCTCATTCTGAACAAAAAATTAAGTCTCGTGTAGATAATTTTCATAATCGATTTATTGACGAGAATCAATAAAGATAATACGGCTATGAATAGTTAGAGATCTGTAGATTCAAGGGCTAGAAATAATTATATTAATTAAAGCTAGGCCATTTCAAGTTTTTTCTATGTTTAACGTCCGCGTGCGCCTGGGTTTTGGACACCCCATATAAGAAAAAACACACAACATCTGGAGTCCTGAAATTGATTGATTTTGTCGAATTTTTTGAATTTCGTCAATTTCTCCACATAATTCTATACAGTAAGTTATATTGGGTGTATTTTAAGCATTTAATCCCTTGTTTTTGCTTAAGAATAGATATTTCTTCCATTAAAGCAGTTTAGTTTGATCAAATCATTTGAAGGGAGTCATTTTTATGACTTTTAAGCCTGTGTTTTATGTTTTGGCTAGTGTGTGTGGGTTTTTTTTTTTTTTTTTTTGAGAATAGGTAGCTAGGTTTTTGAAAGATGGGTGGACGCTAAACAGAGAAAAAACTTGGAATGGCCCTACCGTCTTACCTTTACCAGGATTTTTATTTATTCGGGCATCTGGGATTCTTCGATCTGTCTGAAAAATCATTATCCTGAATTTGACAGTATAGGGTGTCGATTATGCGCACGGTATCAGAGGCATTAATGAGAGGACACTGGTCAAGTATATGATAGTTGTTATGTCTATATATCGGCAAAATAAGAGGGAACAACCCTACCCCCCTCCCCTCCCCCACAGTCTTGCGGCCGTGGGCTTGCTCCCCCTTCTTTGGTTAAAATTAAACTCGAAATCAGCATTTTTTTTATTAAAAAAAAAGATTGACAAGGGAAAAAAATTAAAATTAGGCCAACTTTAGAAAAATGTTTGGTTGCCCTCATCTCCCGACTCGGACTGAAAATATTGGGTCGGTAGGTAGGGGAGGGGGGATTACGTTTTCTTAGAAAACTTCAATTTTAATGCTAATTTTGAAAATTATATTTTCCAGAATACATAGGCCTATGTAAGATTATTCTTTCCTCGGGATTATAAAGGTTTTGAGTCGGGCTATTTTTAGCCAGTCGGTCGGGAGAGGCAATCAAACAATTATTCCAATATAATGTAAAATAATTTATGAAGAAGAAGGTATGGTTTTAGCTTTATTGCGCCCTAAAAATGTAATGACATCAAAAAGTTTTGAAACTGGTTTAAATATTAGTTAAATAAATGACTCTTATAAATCAGGAAAGAATGTGGCATGAAGGTTTACCATTCTGCAAATATGACGTCATTAATGTGAAACATTTCTCTATTTTCAACAGAAAAAGCCTCAAAATGGCACATTTCAAGGGTGATTTTCCTTTAGAAAACAGTGTCCACAGCCGTCGCCCACTTTAATTTTTTGATATTTTGTGCAAATTTTAATAACAAATCACATATCTCAAGATCTTTGTGGGCGATGCCTATGGACAATGTTATCTGAAAGAAAATTCCATTGAAAATTGGTGTCTTCTGCAACTTTTTAACAAAATACGGGAAAATGCACATGTTTATGACGTCATAGTTAGCATAAAAAAACACATGTGAGAAAAATGACTTGTATGATTTTTCTGCATTGAATTTCAATTATTTAAAAAGCATGAGTTTTCAACTTTTACACCAGTTTCATTTTTTTTTTAGAAAATCACAGGGCAAAATTTGTATGGAAACCACACCTTCTTCTTTGACAATAGAAGATGGTATGCGCACCACTTGCCCACATTAAATTTTTTATTTAAAACTTTGCTCGTTCTGCTTAATTTTGTTAATACTGCATTTATTCAGAAAAGGGTTTAATTGCTTTATTCTTTAATACTTAATTTGTGTAAATTACATGTATATATGATATAATTTTTTTTTTATGATTTATACAAGTTGATGGAATCACGAGTAAAGAGCGGGGATAGAAAAAGAAAGGGGTGACCACAAGCACACCCCAGGAGTGCGTTTACAAGTGATTAATTGTTTCTTTGCCAGGTTTCCGTACTTTAAATGTCCCGATCTATGTCACCAGCACTCTGGTAACGAATGACGCTAAGGGACCACTGGCAGCGATCCAGGCTAAAAATGTCGGCAATCCGGTTGACATTCGCCGGAGAACAAATCTTCACATATATACATGTAGCAGGATACGACATTCATTAAGTCTGAGCTACATGGCCGTATTTGGATTATATAAAATGAAGCAATCAATGCAGATGGAACGGTTTATAAATCGATTGTGAGGCGACCTGAAATTAGTGCATGAAGTTTATTGTGTTTATAAATACATTGTGATTTCTCAAAGATTCGATCTTGGATATATATAAAGTAAATCAAAATGTCGGAGCTAAATGTCCGTCCGTTATTAACATTGCTGGAGGCAATGATAGACCTAGCTACCCCTAAAGTGAACGTCAAACCGGGGGGATATAGTGAGGATATATTTATAAACTTAACCCCCGAACAAAAAGAGGAATTCGAGTGCTCAATATGGTAATAGTTACAATAGATTTATATATACACTTGTAAAATATATTGCTCATGGAGAAGTTAACAAAAATCTGAAAATAATTTTTTTCATTTGGAATTAAGCTGCTAGACTGCGCATAGAAATCAATGATTAAATAATATCGATTTATTAGCTGCGTATATGTATTTTAATTTGGGCCAGGACAAAAAGTTCAAAAGGGGGCATTTGAATTAAATTCATAATGTACCTGTAGATAAGTTTTCTGGCTTCAGACTACATGAAGTTTATGAATTCGTACCAATGCAGGTATATACTATTATTATTTCATATTTATTCAAATCATCCACACACTTCGTTATAAAACTGTCTTACGTTAAGAAAAAGAAAGGGCGTGATTATTTGTTATGATGAAATCTCCCGTAATTCTGATATAAATAGCCCCAGTGGTTCCTACTTTCCTCCACGTAATCTTTGTTAAATTAATTTCTTACATCTACACGCAAGGATATAGAGTGCAGTCACCGTGTGTTCAAATCCTTTTCAAAATGGAACAAGATATACAATTAAAATGACAACACTATATGTCAAAACAATAGCTTTGTACTGTCTGTAAAGGGTGTTCCTACAAGATTACCATGTACGTCCTTTGGATTTACAATACGTATATAATTCTCATCATTTCCCTATACACACCCCGTGCGAATGCATGGGAAAATAGCTTATTTCAAACTTCAAATATGACTTTGAATACGAAGGAATCGAATTTGTATCGATTTTACTTGCTTAAGTAAATCACCTATAGTTCACATAAGTTACAGTAAAATGTGTTTAAAATCTTATCTAAACCTTAAGTTATGTAACAAATAAACAGAAACCAAGAAACATACCCAGTAGTTAAAATAAAGCAGAGAAACGAAGTTATCGACCCATACTTACATTTTCTTTCTATGTAGTGCAAAATGGAACATAATTATCAAGTAAATATTCAATCTGAACTGTATACTTAAGGAAATTAAAGTAGACGTTAAAATGCATATGGTAACACTCTCAATAGCTTAACTTGTCCTCAATTTTTGAAATTACCTGTGATAAAAACCATTAAAGTTTATGAAATAGAACATGAGACGTGCCCTTTCCACTTCATGTTACATGTTAACTCAAAATTCACACGAGCCCCCCCCCCCTTACCAATTTTAACCGTTTTTCCCTGCACTATACATGTTGAATAAGTGTAATGAATATAAATTGAGAGGAAAGTTCCCAAACAAGCCCTTGGGTTGAAAATTGAGTGGGGATTCCTATCCACAAGTGCCTGTGGTTTTATCTCGCTAAAAGGGAAACACTGAAGAGTGTACGAATCAGGACACCCCTGGCCTTCCATGTTATTTTTCCACAATTTAACCGATTATATGCAATTAACACGTGTATTATTACAACATAATTAATCATGTAATAACTCCATTTAAGACTTTGATTTTGTTTTGTTGGATTTGAAATTTAATTCCAGATTTTTTTTCAGTTATCAAATTCTAAAGGAACCGAGGCGATGCAGTAACAGTCACAAATATTGCTACTCTTGTATCTTTGTGTGGTCGACTTCAGGGCCTCATCTAAATCACAGGAAATGTCCAGTCTGTCGGACAGAAGGCTACTACATCAGGGACAGAGAATTGGAGGAAAAGGTTGGAAACCTGAAAGTGAAATGTCATTTAGAATCTTGCAAATGGAAAGGACCTCTAAAATTGTTAGCAAGACACACTCACACTACCTATACCCGTACAGGTCTTCCGTTCAGGAGTAGGTTTGATGACCACTATCGAAGTATGTATAGTGAAATAGCAGAACCGGAAGACGATTTACCACGTTTAAACAATGGCAGCCATGAGTCCGGAACAAGGTTATCACTGCGTCCACCCTCCACAGCCAACCGTCTTACACGGAGCAGATTATCTGGCACTCAGACCGCTAGAGAGGCCGCAAACACAGCCATGAGTGCCTCTCCGCAACAGAGCGTGTCAGCCATCAACACGCCGAGGACCCCTCACCCGCCCACCACACCCCGGCCGGCCGGTCAAACGGTCCGACGGGTACCAACTTTACCTAGTATTATCAACGGTACCAATAACAGTATGCAACATGGAAGAGCAACACAAGCTCATGAAACGCGATCTCAACAACAAAGGTCGACAGCAACAAACGAACATCGGCCGCAACCTCCGCAACAACCTAGAACGACAACAAGGGGAGCACGAGCAAATCCTAGCAACCCTGGCTTCAGTAACGTCCGAGACAGACTGAGGGAGAGTAGAGAGCGACTCGACAACCTTATGTCGGCATTCTCCAACGAACTCGAACGAGGCCGACGCGGTCTCACTGAATTCCAGGAAACACGTGAACGTCGGCGCCAAGAACAACTGGAGGAAGTGCGTGAACTGGGCAGACGACTGAACTATGTTGCGACAGAGTTGCGTGGCCTGCTCGAACAAAGGCGGCAACTCCGCGATGACTTGGAAGAAATATCTGATGAATATGCAGATAGCTAATTTTATTGTTTCCGAAGTTTTCTTACTAAATAGTATTAACTTTTATTAATTTATTTTCATCTGTGATATTTTTTTTTAATTATTGATTTTTTTTCTCGCATTTTATTAAAAAAAATATCTTTTTTGTTATAGAGTATATGAATAAATAGAATCTTTTGTACAACTATTTTTCCTATTATTCTAATACAGTATACTAATCGCCCTTGAATTTACATATACAATGTAACTGAAGAAAAGGTTTTGTTCGGGCTTTTATCTTTTAAAGTTCTATTAATTATTCTATTTATTAACGAGGCCCAATCTAGTTGGATATTACGAAAACGGAATGAAAAAAAAATTTGATTCTTGGAAATAAATTTGTATGTATTATGCTAAGAAATTTTGTTACATTGCCTTTATTGTAGTCAAATGGGGGCACTTTCAAGATATGGACCATTTTTCGTGTTTTTATACACAATTACATAATAAAACTCCTCAGTAAACAATGGAATTGACAAATAAAAAAAAATGATGAAATGTTTTAATTTTCATATATATCATGCAATTCACATCCCTCTTTTAAAAAATGAAAAGAAAATCGGAGGTAGCCTTTATTGCAGTGAAAAGGGGGCATATCAAAACACAAAAATAGGACTTATTTTATCCAACTATAGCTAGTTTTTATAAGTTGCAATAGGTCAACTTTACATAACATCAACAAACGATTGTAATACTGTAAAAGTTTCTAAAAATTAAATCATTCTTACATTATGGCATAATTTTTCCTTTATGCTCAATAAAAATGGTGAGTATAAACACTTCAATGTTCGAGGAGAAAGACTAAAATCGTTTACTTTTGGTTGCAGTTGGAATTTTTTCTAACTCACAAATTGAAATAAAACAAGATAAAATTAATGAATCTGTTCCAACTCAAAATAAATTATATTTCAAAGTTGTTATTAATTTAAAAGTAATAAAAAGCCAGAATGAGCCAGCTTTCAACAAGCAGTCTATAGAGCAAGATCCGCGAAATATTTTAGCGCAATTTGACGTCATTTTTATTGTGACGTTATTGTATTCAATTGTGACGGCAGTCCAGGGTACTGTGACGTGCCTGAGTCGACGCTGCGTTAAAACGTATGCGCAAATCAACTAGATCGGGCCTCGTTAAGTTCTCCTTCCTCCAGTTTCCTTTTATACATGTACTCTCTACAGGCGCGTAGTATCGTTTTTGAAAGTTGAGGGGCCAGCCAGAGAAATTTTTTTTTACTTACCTGAAAAAGTTGACAAGCAAAAAAAAGGGGAAAGTTGCCCAAAGTCGAAAATCCTATTTCGTGGGGGGGGGGGGGGGGGGGGGGGGGGGGGGGGGTTCTTTGGGTAAGTAAACTTTTTTCTCAGTGTCAACTACTTTCAGTACCAATTCTAATACTACATTTTCGCTTCATCACTAAAAGTGAGGGGGAGGGAGGGGAGGGAGGGGGGGGCAACCAGGCTTTCTATTAACATTTCCTTTAGTATCAGTAAGGTTGGGAAAAAAGTGGGGGGGGCTACGCCCCTGCTCTATTTGAAGAAGTGATATGATGATATCTGAAAGGAGTTGGAGAGATTATCAACAGAAAACAGATATGTACAAAATGCATTATTTCCGTGGTTTGAATTAACATTGCTCAGAATTTTTTTTCCACACCCACCCATTTTCGCACTTCCCTCTTACTTACATCAACAATACATAAATTTTTGCAAATTTTAACACCCTTCATATGGATAAAAAAAAGGAAAAAAAACAAAAGTGTATGCCGCATTTGTTCTAAATATGTGTTTCTTTTTCAGAGGATGACATTTCGAACATAATTTTCCAAGGTGACCATGCAGACTCAAAGTTTTCAGCAGTTAGATTTAAAACAGATATGTTCTTTTCAACCTTATAGTATATTTTTATTATATAAACAAGGCTTCTTTGATTTTTTTAAGCAGTGAAAAATGTACTGTTTGGCATACAAAATTACAAAATTTATGACATAGTATAATTTGACAAAGGTGACTAGATCTCCAAAAATTACATTTCGAACATTAAAACCTCCACGTGTTGATGTATAATTATAAATATGTAGACTAAGATCATTCCAAATACTAGTATGCAATACATCTTTACACATGAAATAACTGTACATGCAATATGGTTTCATGCACATTCATTGTTACAAAAAGTACAAATATCATTTTCTTTTATTTTAATTATTTTGATACTAGAAGTAGCAGTAATTTACAGGTAGATTCTAAATTATAGCCACTGGATGGCTGAATTTGAAGATACCTTAAAAAACACATTAAAAACATCTCTAAACTCCATTTCTGAAAATCCTTTTAAAAACATTTCTGAATTCCATTTTGAAAAAGCAGTTGGCTTTACATTCTTTGTGTTAACACTTTCATTAATATGTTTTGAGCATTCATCAATCAATTAACATTATTTGTTTTTTATAAAAAAAAAAAATAAAAATGGACGCTGTAACTTTGAAAAACCTACCCTGGAGAATTTTGTAAATTTGAAATAGCACTAATAATGCTGTTATACTGCATAAAACATACATGATAAATGATGTATTTATCCACAAAATTCTCTCAAAAATGACCCATTGACATCTAAAAAAAATCATCAATAATTTTCACACCATTTTTATGCTATCCTGTATAGAAAATACTCTTTTTATTCTTTTTGATACAGAGTTTAGCCACGCTGGGGTTGACAAAATTTCAGAATGTGCCAGATTTGCCTTGTCAAAATACTAGTAATTATCAATGAGGACAGATATATAACCAAGACTCTAATATTTGTATTTGTACATTTCAACTCAAAATCATCACCCAAATTAAAAATCTTTTCTATAATATCTTGTCCATAAACTATTTCAAAAATACTCAACAATGAATGACTTCCTCTAATGATTCTTTGAATCCATGAACATTTTAGAGAAAGTATAACATTTTTAAGATTTACCATGTTAAGGCCTCCCATTGTCTGGTGTTGCGTAGCAACAACACGTTTTATTTTATCACTTTTTGACCCCCATACAAATCTAAACAACTGCTATGTTAAATTAGCTAAGATTTCTTCATTTGGATTTGGTAGGGATGTCAAATCGGTCAATTTTTAATACTCGGTTACTCGGATGTTCTTCCGAGCGAGTAACAGGATACTCGGTAAAGTGTAAATATATATGAAGAAGTAAATTGATGAATGTAAATATTGTAAACTCTTGTAGTAATAAAACCACATGCATCTGATAGGAGGTTTACCCGTAAATGTATTTCTGGTGTAACAATGATGAGCACTTCGTGCCCGACGAAATTTAATACAACATTTTTTAAGTTCAATATTATATTTATCAGATAAACACAAGAAATAAAATCGTAAGTGGTTCACAGTGTTTGTGTTTTAAAAAAATAATCTACTCCGTAATTGTAATGTAACTCTTTGTTGCGTTTGACGTCCAGGTATCAGTCGTACTATTTGACTTGAACTTGACTAAGTTCTCCTAACAGAGCGGATTTACGATTTTCGTATACTTTTCTATCCTAGATTTTATAATATTATGGGACGGTATTTTGTAGTTTGGTGCATCGATGGACATCAGTTTTTTAAAGCCTTTGCCTTCAACCATTTGTACATGTATTGGCATGTAATCAAACACAACTATATCAACAATCGCGCGTGTAATATCATCTGTCTCTTTTCCCGAGAATTCACGGCTTCTCGGAGAATTGATAAAATTATCCAATTTATTTAATCATAACAGACTTTAAACGATGTTCAGTGAAAACAAATAATTAAAGCAAATCAAAAAATAAGGGTAGAAGACAGCCGAAGGTGAGAAAAGCGAGGTAACAGGTGCTTGGTCACGATAATTACTGTATAAACACTGCCACAGGCGATAACGGTCATTTAGAGGAGTAGGAAACCCTAATTTCTATATGTGCAAGTGCAGTGAGTATTACGTTTTAAAACAGATTGTTTAATGCATTAATAAATAAGCTTAGAAAATATTAAAAAATATACATCCGAGTAACCGAGTACCGATTTTAGTATTCGATACTCGGACGTTCGATCGAGTACCCGGTTAACCGGGTACTCGTTGACATCCCTAGGATTTGGTAATGAAATAAATAGATGGTTTAATTTTGGTACAATTAAAGTTTATGCAACTGTTACACGTCCAATGGGAGTTAGATTACGTCTTTTCCATTGCTGAATCATTGTTCAAAGTGATTTTTAGCAATTGAACTTTGAAATTTAAACCAAAAAACTTTTTCTGGGTCAACAGAGAAATTTATTCCTAACAAAGAGAAAGTTGTTACCATCCAATCTAGCTTACGACTGGAATGGTGGAAAACCTCAGCAGAAATTTGTTTTGAGCCTATCCAGATAATTTTAGTTTTTGTACTGTTTATTTTCAAACCTGCATTTAATTCTAATGCATCAAACCCAGCATACAGAGAACCTGCAGAACCACCAAGGGCAATTTAGCTCTCGAAGTGTCATCAGCAAATTTACGACAATACCCTTTATATCGTGGTTTGTTTAATAAGAATGGCTAAAATTCTGCACAGAGAAGAAGAGTGTTTGGAGAAACAGGGTATACCTGGCGACATACACGCTAGACTGGAAATTGCTCAGAAAGGACACCGCTTTGAAGTAGAGAAACTTCAAATTTTGTGTTTAAAATTTTGATCCATTTAATTATGTTTTTAACAAAACCAAAAAAAGTATAAAACCTTGTATAAACAAAAGAACAGGAAATAGAATCAAAAGCCTTCTTAGAGTCAATGAGAACCAACAATCAAGGTATACTAGTATTATATATTAATTTCAGTATGACATAGGATCATAAATAAATCGTGTGTTTTCCCCATTTAGATATATTCAATATATCTCCCAAACAGAAATCCTGTTTGTGTTTTTAAAATGAAAAGATCAAGATCACATAATACTTAAAGTTTAATGAAATATTAAATATTTCATTCAGTCTGTTCTTAATTTCTTTTCAAAACACTAAAAAAAAGAAGATTGATAATCATATTTTTAATTCTATTGCAACGAATTAACTAAGTTTATTTTGATTGGATAACTTGCTAGGCACCACAA